GCGTTTAGGCTCCAACGTGTGTGGTGACGCGGTGAGAGGTAGACAAGCACATGTCAGGTGCACCGGGCCGTCCCGCGTACAATGGCGTGCAGCTTCTAAAACCGACAAGGCCTAGCCTACGTAGCAGGCTTATAGAACTGGGGGTTTGGTGGTCTTCGGCTGTTTTCTGACTAGCCCAGATCTAAAAAACGGGGGTAATTCAACCAGCCCGGCAATGTTGTCTATATGCAATCAGAAAATAGCACATAAAAGCTCCTGAAGAACCTGAAGACCCCCAAACCGTGCAGGTCATTGTAGCTTACAATCGTTTTTATCATTCACTTGAAAATATATTGTGCATAGTTGTGATGTATTGAAATCTAACATTGGATGAGCATAAATCGTATATGGTTTAACAATAATGCCATTTGTTGCCATAGAGAGTGGCGTAATGGTTCTTAAAGGCATCCAATGCGATTTCAGAGCAGCAAAACTGGAAATATTCGGATAAGGCAATCTTTATGATATTGACACATACTGCTTCACATTAGCACATCCCAATCAGTATTTCTTACTTTGGGTATTTAAAACTGCAAAAACAAGCCTTAAGATGAGTCCTCTATTTTGTGGGTGGTACCCTAAAAATCAGCCCAGGGCCCTTCCAGTAACCATTTTCCGTCAGAATCTTTAGTATTTTTGCTCCAAGAGGGTCACTATACATTGGGATAATGTGGTTTCAACTCAGTATGTAGATAGATGACTAGAATGAAAAATCGGATTTCCAAGTCCTAAAAACTGCATTGGGTGCCTTTAAGTTTAAGTAACTAGTTCCTGTTGTCGCACGTTGATTGACTTCAGAGTAAACGTTATCCAACTGGGGACCAAAAACCGCGCTCTTTGACACGCTACAACAAGCGGTACTGTGAGAAACTCGATCAGGGTCAAGACGCCAGAATAGAGCTTCTTTAACTGCGGGCCACCCAGGGGAGAGTGAAGTTCGCTGAGTGACATCAGGAGACACACACAGTATAAGGCCTCACCAGTTCGATTTGTTGGTTCTTGGAAATTTTGAGGAAATATATGCGAAAGGGCGAAAAATAGAAATAAACAGGCTTATGCGAATGAAAAAAAGTTTTGCAAAAAACAAGTTGCTTTCATTATGAAATTTACGTGGTCATGAAGGTTGAACACAGAGTATGGTATGGCGAATTATCTACACTTCAAAACCATTTCTTTACATTTTCGTCTTTTTTGTTTGATTTTGGCATTCTACGACATTTGTATCATTTTCTGGTATATCTTTGCTCATTTTGCAACTGTTTTGTATGATTTGCAGTATGGTTGAAAATCTTTTTTTTTAAACGGCCGAAAATTAACGGGAGGATGTCATCCATATAATTAAATCAACATGGCCTAAACACAACTGTCGGGAGGGACGCAGGGCACTCCCGGGCCGGTCTTGTCCCGGCTGCCGTTTGTCCGGCCGTCCCCAGCCCGTCACCTTGGCACCTGTAAATAAATACCCGTGTTACGGAAGGGCCTTGGACGAGTGAAATACTGCAGTAGTGAATTCCTGTCATTACTCTAATTTTTCACGGTTTCCGTTGGATGTTTGGTCAACGTTTCATCAGAATTTTGTCCGCTGCAGACGATATATTTTCCGATACGGCATTAGACAACTGTAGACGGGATGTCATCATTAAATACTAAAATGAGACTTTAAACAATATATACCTTCTGCGAAGTTCTATGCACACACACACACACACATAAAAATGAGCACGTCGGCAGAACGTACTGCACCTGTGCGAAACCCGTAATGTATTGTGTTAGCATCTTAGCAGAACGTCTCATATAAGGTCGTATTTGCGTATATAAGGTTCACGTTCTGTCTGTAGCTTCCATATGTTATGTCGAAAAAAATATCTTCTGCAATAGGCAAAATGCTGATGCAACGTTGACCAAAAATCCTACGAAAACTGTGAAAAATCTGGGTTTCGCGCAGGCGCAGTACGCGCTGACTGTGAGTATCCCAGAGTGCACCTGTCAGATCCCGGATGTTCGTGTATCGTCAGACACACCTTTGGGGATCCCAGGAATCTCAGGATTTATGGGAGGGGGGTGACACTGTATCCAATAACACATGTACTAATCAGAGCGTGTTGGGCTGACACTGACCTTGTGTCTACTGCGTGCTCTTCGTGTTGCACCTGGTTTCCAAAGGCGGCTCGTGATGAATGACATCTGGGGTCCCAGTCAAGGCCCCAGACATGTACACCACCCACCACAGACCGGACGCGTATGGGTGGTGTCTGGGACCTTGAGTGGGTATAACTTTTATTACCTCCATGACAAATGGAGGTATTGTTTTTGGTCTGTGTGTGTGTGTGTGTGTGTGTGTGTGTGTGTGTGTGTGTGTGGTTATTAGAATAACCGACCACTTTTTGGACCGTTCCATTATACAGGGGACAGGGCACTAACAGTAGTGTTAATGACTCGTAGTATTTATCTATCTGTCAAAAACGTGTTCGCTCCGCTCACTTGGTAGTTTATTCGGTGGTTTTCGCACCTGGCCAGGGATTATCTCACCATATACACCTCGGGGCGGAACATTAACCCTTTATTACATCGCAGACAGCTCTTTCCAAGACTGTTGGTCCAACAGGACCCGTGTATATACGAGTTACCACGTATATTACCTCCTGTCTGCACCGTTATCTTCTAGTCCTTGACTCCGCCATGACCGGCGTGTCGCACGCCGAGATAAGTGCGTGTTTTGCGCGGAAGATAAACATTTGTCTGACCCTGAATAAATGTTTGGAGCGACAATCACTTTTTAAGGGGTTCTACTTCTACCGGCTTATACACTGGGGAACACTGGAGTCGCCGCGCGTTCTTGAGATGGCGGCAAACCAGCGGAGTATATTTACGTTATGAATAAACGGCAAAGGCATAACAATATGAATTGTTTTCAGCTCTGCAGGCTGCAGTTGCACATGGGTTTGCTTGTGGACAATGATAAGTCCAGAAGCTGTGGACGGCTTTGTATTATATATACGGGTACAAAGCACGTGAACAGGTACTAGTAGATATTCAATTATGGCCCTCTACCTGCCTTCTATGGTACTGCAGCACACCTTTCAGCTTAAAATTTGGTATCAACAATAGAACATTATGTCATTCAAGCTGCCAATGCCAATGACGAAAGTTAGATAAGATTACATATACCTTTACTTTAGATGAGAGTACTAACAATACTACATGTACGTTTAGTTTTGTAGACACGGAAAAAGTACCTTCTCCGGAAATAGCATGTCTACCTGTCACAGGAAAAATTACATCTGTCCTTAACTTTTGATTTGGCTATACGTGGTCAATCATGTTGACGAGACACATATGAGAGTCTTAGATGTTGTAGTAGTGTTGTATACCTAACACAGACGACGTGTTGAAAGACACGTTGCTCTTGACAAAGGCCTTGTTTCAGCAGCCAACTGTTTAATGTCAGCGTTTACATAAGGCCATGTTGATTTGATTATATGGATTACATTCTCCGGGAACCCTAAAACTGATGCGCGCGGGCGAATAAAAAAGTTTTGAAAGAAAAAAAAGTTGATTTCATTATGAAATCTACGTGGTCATGACGGTTGAACAAATGACACAGAGTATGATTTGGCGAATAATCTACTCTTCACATTCATATCTTTACAGTTTCGTCTTTTTTTGTTTGATTTTATCATTCTACGACATTGGTATCGTTTTCCAATCTTTATAAAAAAAACTTACGGTATATATTTGCTCATTCTGCAACTGCGATTTACAGTGTAGTTGAAAACTTTTTTTTGGAAAGGGCCGAAAATTCATGCGCGCGCGGATGTCATCCATATAATCAAATCAACATGGCCTAACCCAAGTTTTAAATCCTGGCCAGTTCCCAAACTCAGCAGATGTAAGTTGTGAGGAAACCACTTGAAGTGTTATTTCTGTGTAAGTTATCCTTTGTTAACATTGACCGTAGACTGGCTGGCAGTTGGAAGTAGAAAACATCCGGCTGACGACTTCAAGTCTGTTTAAAGTTTGCAGCTAACGATCCTATTAATCTAAATGGATTTTTCAACCTGCTTTCAGTTGTTTGCTTTTCTTCCAGTAGTGTGATTTATCGTACTGGCCGTGCACCATATCTGTTAAAACGTGTTTGTTTTTAGTACAAGAAAGAAGTTGTTATGTGGGGTCGTGTGGCGTGGCGTGTTCGGCTCGGAATCAAGAGGTCCTGGGTTCGAACCCTGCCTTGTCCCCGATCTTCTTCCCTTGGGAAAGGCACTTAACACGACTTTCCTCACTTCACTCAGGTGAAAATGAGCATGCCAGAATGATCATTATGATGATCGTGGGCATTAAAAAGAAAACCAAAAACCAAATAAATTCATAGAATGATGAAACTATACTTAATAATATAGCTACATATGTAATACAGGATAGAAGGCACGTACAGTGACTATGAATATAATGTAACCGTATATAATGTCACTCTTTTAAAACTCTTTTCAGGGCAATTCCCCGTTCTTTTTATTAGTTTGTCTAACCTGACGCTAGCAGTCATTTCAGCACCTTTTTCAGCAGTCGATTTCTTTCGTCTTCTCCAGCAGCCTATTCAGTACCGAGATTAAACTCCTGGTATCACGAAATTCACGATACAGGCACAATTTTTTTTATCGCAATGACGTTGATTTTTATGTTTACCGAAGGAAACATATTGTTTTTGCTCAGTTTCCTCTTCTTCTCCAAACAGTGACCTCTGACCTGGCCAATGGCATGATTTGTTGACGTCTGTCACCATGGTAACTAGTGTTGGGTAACATCATGTTGCAATTTTATAGTAGGAAGGATTTAGACTCCTGTCACTATGTACGTGAATGTGTCTGAGTAAGAATTAACAGAGCAGACCATATGTGAAGGTAAACATTATGCATTTGCTTTGCAAATGTATCTTTTCTAGTTTTTATCTTCTTTATTGTCCTCAGTAACTGGTGCGCCTACACAGTGTCCAAGCAGGTGTCCTGTAAGGTTAAGAACGGCTCGGCAGTCTACAAACAGGCGTACTACATGCCGGGATGCTCCATCTGGAAACCTGGAAACTGTTACAGGTAGGCTGTGGAGCTTCTGTTTTTTCTTTTCTTCAGCAAATCGGGTCATATATGTGCCCACAGGTAAACAGTTGTTGGGTCATTTTAGCCGAGACCGAAAAAAAAGAAGAAGAAAAATCATAACCTTCTGACCCTAGTTTTTTTCAGAACTGAATCGGAAATTAATTTTTCTAAGCCTTAGCAGTCGTATTGTGCACCGGGTATCAGGCATCATAAATCCGGTGAAATATGTGCCCACAGGCAAGCAGTTGTTGGAGTATTATAACCGAAATCTTTAAAAAGAACTACAAAAAAATGGGGGAAATCCCTACCTACCGACCCTAGTTTTTCAGAACTGAATCGGAAATTAATTTTAGATTAGCAGTCATGTTGTGCACCGGGTATCATGTTGACTGTCTCTGACAGGTACCGGCGGACAGTGCGCCCCACCTACCGCGTGGCGTACAAGACAGTCACCGCTATGGAGTGGAGATGCTGCCCGGGCTTCCAAGGCGCAGGCTGTCAGGACAGTACGTAACTAGCCTTCTTAAGCCCCTGTCACATATTCAGAACCTTCCCCTGACCTTGCCCCAGAACACCTACCGAACGATCGGGAGCTGTCTGACCAGAATCAGGCCCGCCTACCTTTTTATACGAATCAAAACTAATTTGAGTTAAATTTGACTTCCGAACGGAGTTCTGCTGACGTACAGCCAGCGATTACCAGCCAACCATGGCCGAACCTCCCGACTATTTTAAAATGTACGGCTGGCGCAGCCGAATAGTAGCCAACCTCACCGAAAACCAGTTGTGATTCAGCCGACGTTGTTCCGACCTTCGAGAGACCAAATTCTTGAATATGTGACATGGGCTTTACTGGCAAACTCCGGGCCTTGTATTTTTTGCTCTTTTAATTTTTTTAATTTACAAGAGGCGATAACGATTGGCCGGATTGTTATGATTTTGATATTGCTGTCTCTCCACAGCCTGCTTTAACTGCACTCGTCTTGAAGCCCTAGAGAAGCGGATGAGTGTTCTGGAGAACACAGTAAGTCATATCACCTCCCTTGCCTTTTTTACATTCGGAAACTGTAGATTTTCCCAAACAAACACATATTCTGAACATCCATTTCAATATACTCGAGTTATCCTGTGCTAACAAACGACAAACACAAAAGATCCACTGCAGTAACGAAGGAACCCCCCCCCCACGAAGCCCATTTTTGCACGTGACCTTGGTCTCCCAACGGTAACCTGCAAGCTGCCTGCCAAAACTCATGCTACTTTAAGTTAACGTTCCTTTTTCGAATTCATATAATTGGACTATGACACTTAGATTCAGATACCCCCTTCTGCTACGTATACAGGCAGCTAGCCTAAGTCTTTCTGGAGTACAGAAAATACCCGACGTAATAAAGATTTTACTCAGCGTTTGATGTTTTAATTGCAGGGACAATCGACTGGCAGTGACACGAAAGACGCAGATATGCCAGTACGCCCACCCCCTGTAGCGAACGGCAGAAATCCGGAGGTGATACCGACAGGACCTACCGGCCCCGTTGGTCCCCGCGGTCCGCCGGGTCCTCCGGGGATTCCCGGGCGTGCGGGTCCCGAGGGCCCACGGGGAAGGCCCGGGGCACAAGGACCCGTCGGTCCGCAAGGGCCTCCGGGGCAACCGGGCTTACGGGGAGAGATTGGACTACCAGGGCAACAGGGTGAGTTGGTAAATGTTATAAATATTTTAGTAAATTACATCTGACTGTTGTTTGCTGGTAGGTTTTTGTTTTTTAAGAGTCGCGTTTTAGGCGACAGCGAAGAATATAGTCATGAAACCAGCTGCAGGTTTATTGGTCTGTCAAGCTTATTCACCATTCATGAGGCCAGAGGGTATAACATTGAACGCTGTCGGCCATGTTGGTGTCTCATTAGAAATCACACGTCACTGAAATACTGAGGCACCAATATGGCGGACGCACCGATGACGTCAGGTGGTCCGGCATGTTGGTGTCCCTTTATAGAAACACTTCTCTGAAGTGTGATCCACTGAAATAGTATAAGCACCAACATGGTGAACAAACGGACGCTTTGTATCATAAAGTTTTCTAACCAAACGCTTTTTAAAATTTTCTTTAAATTTCTAGGTGAGCCGGGTATACCTGGAACGCCAGGGTTCCCCATGGAGGGTATGCCTGAGGGCATGCCTGACATGACGGCACTCCTCCGCAAGGTGGACCTTCTAGCGAACAGAGTCTCCTTATTGGAGGAACTGATGGCAGTGACGTCAGAAGGTATGAAAAGGCAAAAAAAACTCAAGTCATTGAAGGTCACGTGCCTATGACGTAATGTAGAGTCCGCCATGTTGGTGGGTTAGAACAGCCTACCAGTAACTGTGCCCTCTAAACACTTAATACTTTAAATATTTAAAGAACACATGAATGAGAAGGAAAAAAAAAGAATTATTCACTTCTAAGAATTATTTTTGTCTTTTGTAAACAGCGGGTGGTTTTCTGCCAGGTGGAGGACCATCTTTACGCCCAGGCCCGGGCAGTTCACCTAAACCGGAAGTCTCGTCCCCAGGACCAGGTCCTGACGTCATACCCGGATCTGACACGTCACCGACTCCTGCTGAGTTACCGGAACCTGACGTCATCAGTCCAGACGGAAGACCCGGCTCGACTATTTACCCAGTGTACCCCGGGCCTGACTATGAAGGCTCAGCCGACCACAATCTACCATTCCTGTTTGAGAGCGAGACCGTATGACGTCACCACTGAGCGGACGTGACGTCACGGTTTTAAGCCCCTGTCACACATTCAGAACCTTCGGGAAAGTTCGGGAGATTTAGGCCACGCCTACCTTTCAATACGAATCGAATTTGAGTTGAATTTGAGTCAAATTTCATGTTTCAATACGAATCGAATTTGAGTTGAATTTTAGTCAAATTTCACTCTTAACTATGCCTCGACCTACTTCCAAACAACAACCTGCCAACCATTGTCGAACAACACCCGAATGCCTTAAACATTTTGAAACATTTGGCTGGCGCAGCCGAACAGTGGCCTGCCTGTCCGAATCCCAACCGACCTTGTTCCCCACCTACTCCTAACCATGGTTGGGGGGAGTTTGGCCATGTGTGACAGAAGTTTTACCTGTGACACATGTACACATAACACTGTCACGGCATTATGCCATTCCTGGTCACCACAATTGCAAAATGTGCACTATAGTATCACTTTTCAAAATAGATGCCAGAACAACCATATCTAAGGTGATGAGGCGTGCCAGTTAGCGCTAGAGTTTTACGTTTTGTTCAAACCGTAGATCGTTTTTGTTATTATATCAAGGACACAGTGTACCTCAAAGTTCCATAGAGCACCAGACATATTCTATGATATCAATGAGATGTGTTGTCATGTATCAGAAGGTCGAAGCATTCCTCACTTTTCTTGTCTTTCACATGAACATTTTATAATTAGAAAATCAACAAGAACATGCCATCATCTATAGAGTTTGCAATTTGTATTGAATATAATTTAGTCAAGTTGTCATTATTTGATTGACTATCAAACTTTTATCTGAATGTATCATATGTTACTATCATTATAATCTCCAGTAAATGCAGACTGTGTGATATTACAAAGTTTAGTTTTGAATGTCAATTGTTTGTGCGGATTTGGATGTCAAGTTTTACACCAACAAAATAAACAACAGGACCAATTAATTACGGTTTGGGCCCACAACCGTCTTTCACATTCTTCCTTTTCAAAAATTAAAGGGGCATTACGTACCATTTTTGAACCAAAAATGACATATCGTATCTGAAAAATATTCGACGTGTGACTGTAGTTTCCTTCCACTCTTCAACATATTTTTTCACATTTCTGACGTCTATGTTTAGCGCTAAAACATCCCACATGAGTTACACTGAGTTTGTGGTGCCACCACAAAACTATATACAAACATGGCTGACAGCTGTTTACAGCTTTTAAACACACTCGTAAGCTTAGGTGTTATACTATGATTTTAGCACCTCCACTTTCTGAATGGCACATATTTGCAATAGAGTAGGGCTGATTCAACTTATTTCATAAAGAAATGTCCAGAAAATTGCCTTTTGTGTTGTCCCAGTGTTACATAATGCCCCTTTAAAGAACCACTGCCAAGTGATTTCTGTGGACTACTTCTCTGGTCTAAGTCCCGGGCTCCCTTCTCCTGGAAATGACGTACTCTATGTAGCTGATCATGCCGTCGTTATTTGTGTCATCTTCAGACAGGATCTTGTCCACCAGACCTGAGGAGAAAGTGACAAAAGAGTAAGCAAGACAAAACTTCTTTTCACCACGTGCATGTGCGTTGTAAACATCACATTGTCGTATGAAGACAGGCTATACCTCTATATGATGGTGCTATTTCGGCCCACAATCACTACCAATAGCTTTACTACCTGCTATAAACGTTTTGGTAGTGCTTCTGTTACCCTCCTGATAGGGCAATAATGAAGTTCTACTTCCAACTGCTAGGTGGCGATGCAGTGAGGAAGATGCAGTCCAAACGGAATACAGTGAAACTTTACCAGTATACAGTGCAATTTAAGGGACCGGAATACAGTGCAATTTTTCGGAATACAGTGCAATTTTACGGAATACAGTGCAATGATTATCATATTAGTATACAGTGCAATTTTACTAGTAATAGTATACAGTGCAATTTTACTACACTGTATACTAATACGATTGCACTGTATTCCGTAAAATTGCACTGTATTCCGAAAAATTGCACTGTATTCCAAAAAATTGCACTGTATACTCTGGCACCCCTGAAGGTTGTACCTGTGAATACGGTCATCCTCTCCTGGTGTTCCCGGTCGGTCCTGTCCCGCTCCTGCTCGGCCGTCTCTCCCTCCGGAGCCGGGCGCCGGAAACTGTCGTAGTCGGAATTGTGGGATACCGCCGCCATGATCTCCAACCCGTCCAGGTAGTGATCTTTGTCGCTGTCGTGAGACCTGAGTTTATATGACGTAACAAAATATGACCAACCTGAAGTAAGCCTTCGATTCAGCCCCTTTGATTGGGCCTTCGAAGCCGAATCGAGGACCCAATCGAAGGCTGCGAATCGAGGGCTGAATCGAAGGCTAACTACAGGTTGGTAAAATATAAAATATGAAAAAGTTATGAGTTTTCATAAAAGTTCATCTGTGTTGGTAGTAATCATAGTAAAACGTTAAACTTTATTCCAACACACTCGCGAGATCACGTTGTGAAGTGATTGGTCATTAATTATCCTGATGAAGGCGACAGTGGTCGCTGAAAATTTGATCCCTGTAAATAGTGTGTTGGAATAAAGTTTAACGTTTTACTAAAGTTAAGAGTTCGTACCTAGCGGGAATTTGCATACGGCGTTTGTGCGCGGCCCGACAGGATGCTGACCCCGTGAATTCGGAAGTATGACTCAAAATAAAAACCCTGATACCAAACCTCCTCGCGAGGTGGCGTTTGAAAATCCGATTTAAATTCGATTTGGGTTCAGTTGGGCTAAATTCAACCCGTTTATCTCCGTTGGATTATGTATCCGCTGGTTTCATCCGCTTTTTCGAAAAATCTGGTATATATGAACGGGGTCTAGTACTATTTATTTTTTCACGCCTGATGTGTAGCCAAAAATATGTCATATATACTGCGGTAAGACTGTAATTCGCAACAAAATAAAGTTTAAGGTAGGTTCCGTACTTGAAGAAATGAAACTCCCTCTCCGCCGGGGTCATGTTGTTGATATCGTCTTCAGATAACTCCTTGACGTGTTCCTTTAGATGCCTGAAAAATACGTATTCACGTATGGACGTATACTTAAGCTTAATTAGATATACCAGTACATAGACAGAAAAATTGTCTGACCGCAATACCGCTAACTACCGCTAGGTGACGTGGCTGGAGTCTTTTATCAGCAAGTAGTGGTGTCTTGCTCGGAGATACGTATTACGAGTAATCACACAACTAGAGATACGCTATCTAAATTGACTTAGGCCAGATGGTAGTTTTCTCACGTATTGAAAAGCACATAACGTTTGTTTGCCCTGTTGGTAAATACAACGAATCACCTTATGCCACATAAAACTTTCACGGAATTTGGAAACGCAACTTAGGTCTACATAGGTCTACTAAACAAGCAGTGTAACACTTTACAAAATATCTTTGTGACCGATACAAATACTACATATTTTCAGGCAACTACGAACCTTTTAGTAGTGGTATATACTAGCAAATTATATAATGGCATTCCCATACGGTAATAGACACTGTTTCTATATTGTTCACCTCACCCCTTGTCCTGAAGCATTTGAGCGTCGCGAAATTTGTTCTCGCCGTAACCCTCGGGAGACAGGCAGCGGGAGTGTGGGACCAGGAACAAGAGCAAAGCTAGGCCCACCACAGTCGGGACAACAGCCGGCCACATGGCTACACCACCCGCCATCCCTGTGTCGCCTGCCGCCGGTTATCACTACGAAGCTCGTGTTTACTTTCGTAAATATTTAACCAATATTGCTTCTCATATCAGTTGATACTTTATTATTCGTGATACGAAAAAAGCTAAAAATTATAACAGAGATGAAAGTCCCTGATCATGAATTGCAAAAAGTTTGCGTGCCAAATTACAAATTCCAACAGACGAGAAAGGCAACATATACATCCCTCATATACATTATAATATTAATTGATCTGTGTGTGATTGGCGTTAATGAACTATCATATGTAAGACGTGAACGTATATAAGGCAATCTTCATATCCAAACAAAACTGCTGATCAAGCTACGATCAAATAAAGAAACAACTCGTTTGAATGATATCGAAGTATTTTCTTTATTTGTTACACGTACGTCTTGGTCTGTTTGTTTTATGATATAACCACTATACGCAATAAATATAACAGAAAAGCACATCTTTCTAACTGGTATCTAATATTATTACGGTTAAATTTATCTTACCCTAACTGTTATGACAAACTACTAGCTTGCTTATCTCGGGTTCTTTCCTAGTCTGTCCCGCTGACAGCCATGTTTGTTTACATTCTGGTTAATTTGTTTGTGATGGAAACACAAACTGAGTGCGCCTTACTTGGGTGTTTTAGTGCCAACCATAATTGTCAGAAATGTGAGATAATTGCACAAATATATTGAAAATTGGAAGTAACTTACAATCACACGAAGATTTTTTCGATTAAAACATTTCTAATTTTTGGTGCAATATGTTACATAATGCCCCTTTAATGTAATAATTTATTCGCAAAATCATGCCCGAAGGCTAATTGCTTTTACAATCAAGAATAAAACACATTGCAAAACAGTAGCATGAGACAAGTAACAACTGTCTGGAAAAAACTTCTACTTCTACTACTACGCTAGCTATTATGGGGTTCGACTTCTTCTTTGAAGGCAGTGGATAATGAATAGTCCCACATTCTGCATAATTAGTGGGTTTTGTGATCTTAGTAGAAATGCAGTTTTTTGGTGATCTTCTAAATGACGAAAGGATGGAGAAATTGTCGTAACTGTCTGAAATAATCTGTTTCTTTCGGTCTCTGATGTTGTCGTTCAGTTCCCTTTGTCACTGCTGTTGTCAGGCCTGTTGTACGCCTTTTTCATGCCTGCGTCGTGACAAGGCGAACTCGATGTAGCTCATCATACCGTCGTTGTCAGTGTCATCCTGCTCCAGTATCTTGTCCACTATACCTTAAGATAAAGACAGAGACATTTAAGTATCAGTCGTCTTTCCTCAACAGTATTTTTCAAGATGTGTAAGAATTTTTTTAACACTTGGGCTAAAAGGTTCCAACAATAACACTTAACAATGCACCAGGGCTTTCTCAAGGACCCGTTCACCTACATGTATTTGCTTGTGGGCAAATATTTCATCAGGTTTACTGAATGAAAAATTGCTTATGAAAATGCGTTAAATCACGTTTCAGAGGGTGTGGAATTCAGGCCTATACAGTAGCAACTTTTCTGACACTCTACCAGACAGTGAGAGAGATATAGGAATGGAAATTTCGTCTTGTCCCAAACGAAAACTGCATGGAATCCTATCTTTAAGCGCTCCTTATAATTAAAGCTTGCATAAAGATCCACGCAAGTGGAGAAGAAACGAAACCTTTACGTATGCTTTAACGTGTGCGTAAAGAGTGGATTGTATGCAGTGGAGGACTAGCCTGGTATCCAGTCTTACGTGATTGGGGGCGTTGGGATGTTCAGGCAGGTTGTGCCTTTGGGGGGTCTAATATAGCTTCCCCCGCACAGTGCAACAGGCCGTCTCGATAGGAGTGTTATGCTTATAAGAGACAGTATACTTGGGGATTTGGTTTCCCCCCAACACGTGGAGGGCTAATAAATCTCTCGTGAAATACACATCGGGAAACCTATGTGAGGTGGCCGGGACAGAGCTCTTGCGGCCCCGACCACGATCAGACTGGATACCAGGATATGGAGGACTGACCTGTGAAGTAGTTGAGTCTCTCCTGGTGTTCCCGGTACTTCCTGGCGCGGGTCTGCTCGGGCGTCTCGTGTTCCGGTACCGGCGGCTCGGCGGCAGGCTGGCGGTGGGAGTGCTGGTGCTCGATAGCCGCCATGATCTCCAACCCGTCAAGCTTCAGGTTCTTATCCGTGTCGTGAGACCTTTAGAGATAGAAGGGGGTGGACGACATCAGTGCCGATCAACATTTCAGCACCAAGGAAAGACCCTCTTATCTATCTAAATCAGACATTGATAGGCCACACCAATTTAATTTGTTGGTTCTTGGATTTTTTTCAGAAAAAAAATGAAGCGACAGGGCGAAAAAATCAAAATAAAAACAGGTCTAGGCGTCCTATTAAAGCCCCAAATGCTACGAAAGGAGACACGAAGTCGACACAAAAGGCTGGGTTAACATTTCAACAATGAATTGTGAACTTTTAATCAAACCACTGCATTGATAGGTGGAAAAACTGTAACAAGTAGGAAGAAAAAGACTTTCCTCAACTGTTGGGGGCAAAATATGAGAATATTTGAGTTGATTTAGAACCAGAATCTTATTATTTTTTGCAGCTACTTTGTACAATTTACAGTATATATGGTCGAAAACTTTTTTTTTTTAATTCGGAAAATTCATGCGCAGGGGGATGTCATCCATATACTCAAATCAATATGGCCTCACAAAACAAATCTGTGTTCTCGGCTACTAACGTACGTACTTGAAGAAATGGAACTCCAGCTCTTCAGCTGACATCTGGTTGATCTGCTCCTGGGTTAGCTCCTGGACGTGTTCCTTCAGATGACTGCATGAAAACAACATCACACTATTATTATGAGAACTCAACTGGCAGGGAGCATAGGAAACGAGAATTCGTAAATCTTAGATCTTCATGACATTTTTGATATTAATATCAAATCGTTGAATATTTAGATCATGTGTAATGGTGACTGCGTCCTCTACTTTCATTCACCACCATGGTGTCTAGAAGTCTTTCTTTCTCGTGCAAGGTAAACATCAGATGTCAAGGAGGTCATGTAAAGAAAATCCTCTGAAAACAGCGAGATCTCCCTCTGGTACAGACTGAACCCAACTATGTCCATTTCAAGACCGAAGGGTCATGAGGAACACACACACACACACACACACACACACACACACACACACACACACACACACACACACACACACACACAGACATACATACCAATAAGAATACCGGTTTATATTTAGCGATTTGTAATGCGTACTTTGTTTGCATTTGATATCCAACACAAAAGAGGGTGCATTTGAGAGGCCCAGCTGCTCTAAGTCACACGCTATAGAACCTAGACCGGCCCAGAAACCATACGTTAAAAGGTACGAGTTATAACTTTTAGGCATGCCTAAGAGATGGTACCTAATCGCTGCAAGTTAAAACAAAAGACACCCGCCAACTTGAAATATATAAAATGACCTTGCTTGAGGAAGGCAAATGTTGGTTTGTTTATCTCCATTAAATATTTTCAAAACGAACAAAGGTCAGGACAAAAGTACAGAGGTTTCCGATACGTGTCCTTATGTGTCTCGTACTCCATATGGAAAATCGAATCACACGAATATCTTTAAAAAAATATTTCAACTTTTAGGTGCGAAAATGTTTCATAAAACTACAAATTAAATCTTGTGACAAAATTTAAAATGTCCATATGGCACTACATTATGCCATATGGTTTGAATAAGAAGACAAGAGAACCCTACCCTTTGTCTTGTACCATGGTCGGGTCCCGAAACCTGTTTTCCGTCTGTTCTGCATTATCAGTACCGAACACGTTAGGTACCAAAGTTAGAGTCACGACCACTGCAAGACAAGTCCACAACACCGCCATGACTGTACTGTCGTACTGCCGCTATAATTTTGTCCGTAGGCTGTTGTATTGGCGTCGTGTGAGAGTAAACATGATTATTGCACGAGTACACGTGTACCTCGAGTTAATCATTAGCTATATAGTACTACCACGTAATTGAGATGGAGGATTCGTATGTATACTTTAGGCCATATCAATTTTATGAATTGGTTCTCGAATTCGACCGCTTAACTTTTTCTGATTTGCAAAAAAGAAAATATTCAGGTTATATAAATTAAAATAATTCTTCAAATTGTAGTTACCTCCATGAAAAATGGAGGTATTGTTTTTGGCGTGTCTGTGTGTCTGTCTGTGTGTGTGTTTGTGTTTTTTGTAGTCAGCATAACTTCATAACGCCTTTATGGATTGTGATGATATTTGGTATGCTGATAAGTCTTTAGGAAGACAAAGGTCAAAGTCAAATATGGGCCTCCTGGTGGCTGACCGTGGTACTGCAGCAGCACTTCCTGTTTTTGTATCTTTTGTTCTGAACATGCTATGGTCTTGACTTTTTGGTGACAGATAACTTTTCCTGTCAGGAATATGTGGTGTGGGTTTGGTCCCCCTAGCAGCTTGTTCTGGAACTGCAGGGGACTTTCTGGCGAAATCTTTAAAAGCCAATAAGTCTAGATAGTCCATGTATGAGATCTCCGAATTCTTGTTTTTGGTCTGTGTGTGTGCGAGTGTTTATTTCCGCACATTTGTAGTCATCATAGTTTTAGAACGCCTTTATGAATTGTGATGATATTTAGTATGTTTGTAGGTCTTAGAACGACAAAGGTCAAGGTCAAATATGGGCCTCCTGGTGACTGACCTTGGTACTGCAGCAGCACTTCCTGTTTTTGTATCTTTTGTCCTGAACATGCTATGGTCTTGACTTTTTGGTGACAGATAGCTTTTTCTGTCAGGAATACGTGGTGATAGTTTTGCATTTGTCCCCCTAGCGGCTTGGTCTGGAACTGGAGGATTGACAGTATCATGTGATCATGCATCTTTAAATAAGAAGAAATATTACAAAATAGTATTCGATGGACTTTCCTAAAAATGTAGACAAATGATAATGCCATGTATTGGTGGCACACAACACTTTTATTTCATCATTTTACAATTACAAAATGTTTGACATATGTGAATTTACAATATTGATAGATAAAATCAACTGGTTATGGCTATTGCAGCCGTCATCTATTAAAGTAAAGCATCGCACATTTTCCATTCCACTGATAGTACCATGTAGCTCATTAGAGCTAGAAATACATGTACAACAACATTTAATATTACTGCATATAAATAGAAAGAAAACTTAAAGGTAACATTTGCAAAGCAAATGCATAATGTTCACGTTCGCCCATGATCTGCAGTTCTGTTAATTCCTACTCAAATACATTCATATATATGGTCAGACAGGAGACTAAATCCTTCCTACTATAAATCCTTCCTACTATAAGATTGCAACATTATGTATCCCAACACCAGTTACCATGGTGACAGACGTCAACAAATCAGGTCATTGGCCAGGTCAGATGTTAGTGTTTGGAGAAGAAGAAGAAACTGAGCAAAAACAATATGTTTCCTTCGGTAGTCATAATGAATGACCTTGCCTGGAATAAAATGTAATGATATCACTCTGGCCAGACAACTAGCAAAACTACTGTGTGTGTGTGTGTCTCTCTCTCTCTCTCTCTGTGTGTGTGTGTGTGTGTGTCTGTCTGTTTGTCTGTGTGTGTGTGTGTGTGTGTGTGTGTGTGTGTGTGTGTGTGTATGTATTGGATTTAGTTTGTATGATAAAACTTGTCATATCAATCTTAAATTTTGTACATAGTATTAGATTGTGCGGCAGCCGCCCCTGTCGTGTATATACTTTCCAGCGATTCATTTTGATCAGTTGTGGTCTGAGTCTGACTCGTTTCCCTCTGATCATTTTCACATTTGTACACAGGTTCAGGCGCTGAAACAGCCACCTCTGCGACGTATATCATCGAGGTTCCAGTACCCAACGATTCATTGTGATCATTGGTGGACTGAGATTGGGCCTGTTCGTGTTGGGTGTCCACGTTTTCATACTGGTGACCATGAGCACTGGTCACTACAGTAGCTGTGGTGTTTGTGTTGGTCCCAGGGATGGCCTGAGACAGGCCCGGTCCTGCCTGATTATGTTGGTCACAATTTTCATTCTGGTGAACATGAACACTGGCCACTACAGTAACGTTGGTGTCTGTGTTGGCCTGAGACTGACCCGCCCCTCTCTGATTATGTTGGTCACTATTTTCATTACGGTGACCATGAACACCGGTTACTACCGTAACTTTGGTGTCTGTGTTGGCCTGAGGCTGTCCCGGCCCTCTCTGATTATGTTGGTCACTATTTTCATACTGGTCATCATGATCACTGGGATTATGTTTCTCACTATTTTCATACTGGTGATCACTGCCTACTACAGTAGCTGTGCCGTATGTGATGGTGTTTTGGCCTTGTTGGTTTTTTGGCGGAGTAAAATGTTGTAAGGCAGCTAGGTGTGTCTTAGCTTGAAGACTTCTATCATTACAAACATTTTTCGCATTTTTGCCTGAATGACGATTTTCGGCCCTCCTCTTGTACCAGATTCTGAAACCGATGGCACCGATCAGGACAGGGACAGCTATTGAGCTACAGACAGAGCTCAAGGTAATGACAACTAGCATGGGGACACTGCGATCAGATTCGTGAGAAGTGTTTTCTGGTTTTCTTGCGTCGACAGATAGTGTAGTGAATGCGGTGTATACATGGTGTGCTGTTGTTCCAGCGTTTGATTTAAAGTACCAATGACAGTGGTGGGGAGTGGTGGGATTGTGCGATTTGTTACTACTTTCCAATTGGGCATGGTTGTCTTTAGAAACCAGGTCTTTTGACGCGCAGATATCTTTTACCATTTGTCCAGGGAACATGGTAGGCTGGTGAGTCGTGACATTGTAACCCCTTTCCCATTGGCCACAAGAAGGAAGAGTTGATATATTTGATCCTTCACAGATCAGCTGTTTTGGGTTGATACCTTTAAGCTTTTGTCCAATGAACATGGCAGGCTGGGAACATATTATTTGGTCTTCAATCGAACGAGACGCATTCATTTTTAGCCTGACAGGTACCATCCTACAGTCACACTGCCAGGGGTTTCCTTTAATTCTAACAATAGCAATAGATGCCAAGATGTCATAAGCTGACAACGGAAGGACAGATATCTTGTTGGATCCAAGGGACAACTCTGTCAGCCTGGGTAGACTTGAGCATGCAGTGGGCATAATGTCAGTTAGCTGGTTGGAGTCTATGGCCAAATATGTGAGCTTTGGTAGATTTGAGAATGCACCATGTGCAATGCCTGTTATCCGGTTGGAGTTTAGGTACAACTTTGCAAGCTCTGGTAGACTTGAGAATGCATGAGGCTTAATTTCAGTTATCTGGTTGGAGTTTAGATACAATCTCGAGAGCTTTGGTAGACATGAAAGTGTACCAGGCTTAATGTCAGTAATATTGTTGGAGCTTAGAATCAACGTTATGAGATTTGGTAAACTTGAGAATGTACCAGGCTTTATGTCAGTTATCCGGTTGGAGCTCAGACACAACTTTGTGAGATTTGGTATTCCTGAGAATGAGCCGGGCTTTATGTTAATTATCTGGTTATAGTCTAGGTTCAGTTCTGTGAGCTTTGGTAGACTTGCGAATGTGCCAGGATGAATGACAATTATATTGTTGACGGCTAGGTACAACATTTTGATATTTGGTAGATTTGAGAATGAACCAGCCTGAATATCAGTTATCTGATTGTGTTGTAGGTACAGCATTGTGAGCTTTGATAAATTTGAAAATGTGCCAGTTTGAATGTCAGTTATCTGGTTCGACTCTAGGTTCAAAATTGTTAGCTTTGGTAGACTTGAGAACGCAGTAGGCGTAATGTCAATTATCTTGTTACAGGATAGGGACAAAGATTCGAGATTTGGTAAATTTGAAAATATATCAGAATGAATGCCAGTTATCTTGTTGGACTGTAGGTTCAACCGTCTGAGTTTTTGTAGACTTGAGAATGTATTGGGCTTAATGTCAGTTATCTGGTTTAAGGCTAGGTTCAAGTTTGTGAGCTTTGTTAGATTCGAAAATGAGTTGGGCTGAATGTCTGTTATCTGGTTTCTGTGTAGACTCAACTCCGTGAGCTTTGTTAGATTTAAAAGTGTACCGGGCTGAATGCCAGTTATCTTGTTTGAGTGCAGGTGCAAAACTGTTAGCTTTGGTAAATTTGAAAATGAAGCAATTTGGATGTCAACTATCTTGTTGTTGCCTAGGTGCAGTTTTTCCAGGTCCCTATACCTTATGAGTTCTGACTGACTTAATGATCTAATTTGATTTGTGTCCAACTTTAACTCAAGAATGGTTGTTGGCAGGTCCTGAGGGATGCGGTTGAAGCCCATACGGGCGCAGTTGCAGGATGAGGGATTGCACTTACTCCTGCAGGTAGCTTCTGGCATGTTGGGCTCCTTCAGGATGATGAGAAGGAAAATCAGCACGTGTCGCAGCTTTCTTCCCATGGTCTTTTGTGACCTATAATAACGATAATGAAATCATCACATCATATGACGTATGTTCTCTTTTCACTTGAATACCCCATAAGGAAGCATTTTCATTAGTCAGGAAGCCTTGGAGGTGGACGACGCACTACCAGACAGAACTACCTTTTAATATCCGTTATTTTAATACCAACTATATGAACTGGTAGACCTTTGTCTAGGATGCACATATTTCCCTTACAAAGAACAGTCCTTCAACAGCTGCATACTAGTATCTGAAAACCCATAGGTTCGAACGGAAACCCATTGTTTCGAACGGAAACCCATTGGTTCGAACGGAAACCCATTGTTTCGAACGGAAACCCATTGGTTCGAACGGAAACCCATTGGTCCGAACGGAAACCCATTGGTTCGCACGGAAACCCATTGGTTCGAACGGAAACCCATTAGCTCGCACGGAAACCATTTGGTTTGAACGAGGAGTTAAAGAGTAGTGAGGGAATGTAGAATCCCACACTCAACAAGAAATGACTGGATTGTACCAGTGTATACTCTTTATTTCTCTCCCCCCTCTCTCTCTCCCATCGAAATGGTCTAAGACTTATTTCTTTATCATATTTCATACTAAAATCTCCTTTTGATCCCAGTGTCTTGCCATCGAAATGTCAGTTCTCTCTGTGGATTTAATGCTCAGCACTACCACAGCAGCACAGTAGTGCGTAGGTGGGTCGTTCAAGCAGGCACAAATCTCCATATACACACGCATACCAAAATGTATTCATTGAGTATTCATATTTACCTTCGGGGAAGGAGATATCCTTCCGCGAGGAGGTTTTACTATGGTTTACATTTCTGTCAGCAGCTGTTTCTCGCGATCGGCTGGACGGATTTGTCTGTGGTTCGGTATACGTATTGCTATTGGGCTGCAGATGATGCAGAACGTTTTTGTTTAATTGCATATGTGTTTATGGGCGTCGAAATAAAAGGTTTTTAAGTGCTCCGGACACCCCCGCCATGCTGAAAATGGTAATTACCATGTTGTTAAGGAATGGGGCGGTTGCAGTTTTGGATCTTAGCATTCAAAAGGGGTCAAACAGAGGGGTGTCTGGTTCCGATAAAAATTTTGGGTGACGGCGCAGCAATGACGGCGCGGGATGACGGCGGGGGTAATGGCGCGGGTGACGGTGCAGGCTGTCAGACTGTGAGACACGTTAATCAACAGTCCATACCGAACCAACCGTCAGTAGCCATCAAACACATACAAACATATTACGCACATAACTTTCATACTACACACAAACAAATAACCTAAACCAATAGAACACAAAAAAACCCGGAGGTTTGAAATCTACGATTTCCCTTGTTCATTTCTTTCTTTATTCAAACTGCAAGAACAACACACACTGATAGATTTAGCTGTTACGCAGCTTCGTCTTTTTTTCGTTTTAGAGATGAGGGAGCAAAAGTAATGATTGAAATATTATAATATTATAAACCAGCTACAGGGCAACATTGCACAATGTAGTCAAATACTATAATATCATCATAATTAATATGAATCTCATTTGAATTCGAGCTACTTTACATTGTCTTTTTACTGAATTTGGATATTGCGTTTTCTCAATTCTTATCATATTTATCTAGAAATAACTGGATGGGGGGCAAGAAGTACAGTTACAATAGCTGGATTAAAGAAAGATGGCGATAGCACTGAAATTGTACTCCAGCCAAGACCAAGCAATGGGAATGATACAAGCAGTGACGAGTCTGCGAGCTCAAATTGACATTTTCGTCAGCAACACGGCCGATCATTAGCCTGGTAACCAGACCGCCGTGAGCTCAGCGCTGTCCCTTCGGCGCCGAGAGCGTTTGGGGCCGCAAATCACTTACCGCGCTTCGGGGGGTTTTAAGTTTCTTTGCTCTTTCGGGGTCGGCGGCAAAAGAAGACTAAGCGTAATACAGGAAGTCAGCGGATACAGGGAAACTAGCTGGAGATAGGTCCGTGGTATAACTCGCCTGTGCCTGGTAAAGGCCGAGACTGAAAAATTACCGCCAAGCCAACCAAAGGTTTGGAACCCAGGCTACCGATCATGGGCCTCTCGATTACCTCACAACGAAATGTTCGCAGATCACTCAGTGAAAAAATAAGCTACGGCATTATATGCGACCATACGCTTCTAGGAATGTGGCGTCGGTGGCGCAACGGTTAGAGCGTTGGACTCGGAACCGAGAGGTCCCGGGTTCGATACTCACCGTGGCCCGACGTTGTGCCCTTGGGAAAGGCACTTTACACGACTTCCCCACCTATGCGGTGGAGTGACGCCCACCGAGCCTCTTAGGCTAATCTGTCTGTCAGGGTTCCAAAAACACCTTACGGATTTGGTGTGCCTATGTGACAACTTCTCATATTGGCCACTGAGAGCTGTAAATTTTTTTTCATATACGCTTCTAGGCATCACCAAATCCGGCATACTGGAAGGGTGTGGCTGTGAGATACTTGTGTCATATAACCCTCTGAAATCTACAGAAAATATCTAAAAAAATATTATAAAAAAATGATTTAGTTTTACCTCTCGTGAGAGTATCTTCAGTTGGTCGATGTACTGGCCGGAGGTTACGAAGGACGTTTCGACCCGTTGTAGCTGTGCTTGTATGACGCGTCATCTGTTGAGTTCTGCCGCAGTGGAGTGCGACAAACAACTCTAAATTAGTCTGGCTTAACTCATATTTATGATTTAAACCCTGCTTTTTTTAAAATTTTGAATATGAGCGGCTTGTTTACTCGCTGTTGCTGCTTTTCGCTGACATTTGGAGTTTTCTGAATTAGGAGATTTAAATCAACGAGCTTTAGGGCAAAAATACCGTTAGGGCTACAAATAGAGAATGAAGTTTTTGTGTTCTTTTAAACATGGAACATGTGGTTTGTAACGTTACAGCATCAGTATAGCGTTACCACTATAACGTTACAAACAATTCATTCCAAAAAAATTATTCTCTATCTGTTGTCAGATTCAACCCATAGTAATTTAATTAACCTTGAGCATAAAATGAGCCAACACCTCAAAACACGCACTGAAAAACAAGCTGTTTAACGTTAACAGGATCATTCCGATGCCTTCCTGTCCTATGCAAATGAGGTTAGACCCCCTGTTTTCGCTAAGCATTCTGGGGATGGGAAACTGGTGAATAGTTAAATGGTCATTACAGTGTATACAGTTTAGTAACGGCAGTGATTACCTTTCTCATATCCGCCATTTTGTAATACCCCTGCTATTTGTCATTATCATAAATTGTTATTGTATATATTATGTTATATGTTATTGTATAATTATAGCTGATACGTTGGTGAAGGTTTGTACTGATGAAAGCTAGTGGATACTAGCTGAAACGTCTACACATTATATTTTCATAATCCAGTGTGAAATGACTAAACAACTTTATTTATTTAATTATAGCTGATGTTTGGTTACATCGTCACTACAGTGTATACAGTCTAGTAGTGATCGTGTAGTGACGGCAATGACATCATTAGAACTTTCATCCATATATCCGCCATTTTGTATTTCTCCTGCTGAATGAATGAACGAACGAATGAATGAATGAATTTTATTATTGTGTCTTACGACATTGTCGCCCATCCCATATGGGCTCATAAGACAACAGTACAGATCTAGAAGTCACACGATTGAAACAAAAGTAGAAATTCAACATACATCCAAGTCAAATCAAAGGCTATACGTATACTGGAGACATCAAATAAGGCCACTGTAAGTAAATTTTATGGATAACGCCCTCCTCAGATTCAAATCTAATGCGAGCGGGCGAAAAAAAAACAGGCGGGCCGAAAAAAAACAAGGTTCCTACATTTTAAAATTTTAACTCAATCATTGTACAATTGGTTTTGATTCAGTAGGAACATCACATGTACACAGCCAACATCACATATCACTGCATCAAAGTAAGAAACAAAATTAAATCAGAGCCTTTTTTTATCCCCTCTCTTCATAGTTATCTGCCATCCACCTTCCGGCATGGCAACAGACATCTTTGCCCATTTTCGGCATGTTGACCTTTGTTAGAAGGCAACAAAATTTATTGTTTTTTTTTTTAAATCAGGCGAACATTAATGCGCGCGCTGATGTCATCCATAATAATTACTTGCCGTAGCTTAAAGAACTCCTGTTTGTCTCTACTGGTTTTCTCTATTCGCCTTTGCGTTCGCCTCCCTGTACTTGCGCGTTGACATGACGTACTCGATGTAGCTCATCATCCCGTCGTTATCTGTGTCATCTTCCTCTAGGATCTGGTCCACCAAACCTTTCAACAGAAAGAACAAAAAAAGTCAATGCTATACCGTACTCCACCGCTAGATGGGGCTACCAAGTGTGTACGTCTTGTTGCACTCTGTATTTGCTACTAGTCAGGCCTGCTACTAGTATTATGAACTTTGATATGACGTTATAGCAGGTTGGTGAAAAAGACGTCTGATTTGGCATTTTAAAAAAATCATAATTTCGGAAGTATATGATTTCCTAATTTATCAAGTAACGTTAACAGGTTTTATGTTTTCTTGGTCCAAATGCAATATCCTATCTAATACTTTTGCTGGGAATTGCATTTATATATATAGAAGAGATAGAGAGAGAGAGAGTTTGATTCGTCTCTATAACTATATATTATGCTGCTACAGTTATCACAGTATAATGTCATGGTATTTTGAGTTGTGCACGCTACCTGTGTAATATTCTATCCTTTCGTTAGGATCCGGTGGATAGCTATACTCAGATCTATGTTCCATGGCGGCCATGATCTCCAGTCCGTCCAACTTCAGGTTCTTGTCGCTGTCGTGGGATCTACATGCAGTAAGAGGCAATTCAGATAGGGGGCATTGTTTTGTTTGGCATATCATTTCCCAATACATGTATACATACCGTCATCAATGTACCAATACATGTATACATACCGTCATCAATGTACCAATACATGTATACATACCGTCATCAATGTACCAATACATGTATACATACCGTCATCAATGTACAATTTCAGTTAATAAATAATGGATGAGTGGACGCGCGAATGAATGAATGACTAAATGAATGAATGGATGAATGAATAATCCAATGAATTAATGGATGGATGAGCGAATGAATGAATGAATGAGTGAATGCATGGATGGATGGATGGATGGATGGATGACTCACTTAAAGAAGTGCCACTCCAGTTCTTCCGGTGACATCTGGCTAATCTGTTCCTCTGTCAACTCTTGTACGTGCTCCTTCAGGTGACTGAAAAAAAAAAGTTACCATGAATAGTGAAGACAACAGTCTGAGTGGTTGCACCCTACTCTCCAAGCAGAGGTTGTGGGGGAATGATCGTTAGCTTTTTATGTATGGCCGTTTTTTTGTCGACGTCGCTACCCCACCAACCCGCCGGTGGCTGGCGACCTTCTCTGGCTAATGGATACTGCCACCGAAGGGGATCTGCTTGGAGATTAGTTACACATACACACACTCACACACACACACACACACACACACACACACACACACACACACACACACACACACACACAAACACACGTTTACACGCGTGGAAACACGACCTTCGCGTTCTTCCGCTTTTTCCCTAGATATCAGTGTGCTGTATCAGTTTGAGTAGATAACAGACCCAGCTGCGGTTGTTCACACCCTACAAATCACCCATAGTCTGTATAGCCGTATTGTATTGGAAGAAGAATGAAACCCAATTGCAAATATCATTAGGCCACACCGACTTAATTTTATGGATGAAATCCTCTGAAGACCCCCAAACTAGTGCTTGCGGGCGAATAAAAAAAAAATCCGGCCAAAAATAAAAATGCTACTAAACCACAGGAATACAAAGCTGGTATTCTGAATTTGCGGCAATACATAGCGACGTATAGCACAAGCCGGCAACTGCTGGTTTTTTGCAGAATTTATGAATCGGCACTGTACTGAGGTCTTGAGTCGTGGAACTTCGGTAGCCTGGTGTTGCCTTATATAAAATAGAATGAAAGGTGCGAAAATAACATCGTATTGTTTTGAATCGTTGTATTCAGAAACCTATGCAGCGATGAAGCCGCGTACAGTTATAATTCTTCGCCAAACCCTAGCCCTGTTCCATACGGCTGCACACGGTCACACCTACCCTCTATCCTGGATCATAGATGGATCCCGGAACCTGTTGGTGTCCCCCTCGGCTGTAGACACCGCCGCCGGCGGCACTAGCAGTAGGTAAGCGCCGATAGCAGCTAGCAGAGCGGACGGTAGACGTGGTTGAAGCACGGCCATGATGAACACTGTTCTACACGCACATGCTCACGTGGGTGTCTGTTTGATTTTAGTATTTGCACTTGTGTTTAATCTTTAATATATAATGGTGACGTGTTCTACTATGAGTACACGAAAAAAAACTTCATAACCAGTCTTATCAAGGAGAACTTTATTTTAGTTTTTTTGTTAGAGATAGTACATTTTCTGATACCAATTATTGCATGGACATGTATCTCAGTTTGTTCTAGATACTCTATTGCGTTTTACATCTACTTCATTACACTAGTACGTTTAGCTCATTGCACTAGTACGTTTAGTTCATTCCACTAGTACGTTTAGTCATTGCACTAGTACGTTTAGTCATTGCACTAGTACATTTAGTCATTGCACTAGTACGTTTAGTCATTACACTAGTACGTTTAGTCATTGCACTAGTATGTTTAGTTCATTGCACTAGTACGTTTAGTCATTGCACTAGCACGTTTAGTCATTGCACTAGCACGTTTACATTGCACTAGTACGTTTAGTCATTTCACTAGTACGTTTAGTCATTGCACTAGTACGTTTATTCATTGCACTAGTACGTTTAGTTCATTGCACTAGTAAGTTTAGTCATTGCACTAGTACGTTTAGTCATTGCACTAGTACGTTTAGTCATTGTAATAGTACGTTAAATTTAGTCATTGCACTAGTACGTTTAGACATTGCACTAGTACGTTAAGTCATTGCAATAGTACGTTAAATTTAGTCATTGGACTAGTACGTTTAGTCATTGCAATAGTACGTTAAATTTAGTCATTGGACTAGTACGTTTAGTCATTGTAATAGTACGTTAAATTTAGTCATTGGACTAGTACGTTTAGTCATTGTAATAGTACGTTAAATTTAGTCATTGGACTAGTACGTTTAATCATTGTATTAGTACGTTAAATTTAGTCATTGGACTGGTACGTTTAGTCATTGCAACAGTACGTTAAATTTAGTCATTGGACTAGTACGTTTAGTACATTTAGAAGTTCTCCTGCTGTTCTTTTTGTTTTTTTTCTGCGTCTCTTTGTTTCCGCGCAGCTTCAGCCTCGATTTCGCGCCTTCTCCTGGCGATGACGTATTCAATCCAGCTGATCATGCCGTCATCGTCGGAGTCATCGTCCGCTAGGATCTTGTCCACCATACCTGCGCAAGAGAGACACAGACTTAGGGGCTAGACCATGCTTTCCGCGGGGGGAGTAGAAAAAAATTATAAATAGAATCTTTATTTGCAAAATCATTCCCCAAGGCAAATTGCTTTCACAGTCAAAGACACTATTCGGTAGACTATTATAAAAGCACTAATTTACAAAAGAAATGCTTCGGACTAACCCCTCCTCCCCCCCAAAAAAGGGGGGGAGGAGGGGTTTTGTGATTTTTTTGGAAACGTACGTAGTCTTTTGGTGACGACTTAGTTTCCCCTCTTCATAAAAGACAACAAAAACACAGAGGCCAATAGTGCTAACTTGGGAAAAATTATATTTATGAACAACCTACAGGAGTTAGGAGCATGCAATCCCATAACCAAACCGTACTGTATGTACCTGTATAGTACTCCATCCTCTCGTTATAGTCAGGAGGGTAGTTATAGTCAGACTGATGTTCGATGGCGGCCATGATCTCTAGTCCGTCCAACTTCAGGTTCTTGTCACCATCGTGAGATCTATGGAGAAACGAGTACAGAATTCTCTAAAAAAATATATTTTTTTACCTCCACGAAAAATTGAGGATTTTGGTATGCCTGGAAGACATCAGAAAAGTATAGTGCTAGTAAGCCGTCAGTGGGAGGGGGGAACACAGCTGCGCCGTTAACACTCTGCTATCGTATCTAGACGTACATCGCAAATCCCTTCCATTATTATGAAAATTTAATATTTTTACGTCACAGAATGCCTTATGTTTCCGCATGGCCCTTAGGTCAGTTTGTAATGGATCTATTTGGGATCAGTCTGGAGAAAGTCCCGGAGAAAGTTATCTACAGATGATAGTGCTCGCTATTTTCATGGGTGTTTTTTTGTTACATGACCTCCTTCACAGCTGGTATTTTTTCCTTCGTACAATAAAGAAAGTCTTTTACACACCAAGGTGAATGAGAAGAGGAAACGTACACAGTCATCATCACACAAGATCTAAATATTTCATGGAGGTCTGAGATCTCTGAATTCTTGTTACCGACTGCTTCTCTAACTTCCTGTATGGTGCAAATTTGACTCAGTAGTTTTAAAGTTTTATGTTATCTTCTATTCATCAAATATAATTCTTCAAAAGGATTTACTCACTTAAAGAAGTGAAACTCTATCTCTTCAGGCGACATCTCGTTTATCTGTTCCTCCGTCAGTTCTTGAACGTGTTCCTTGAGGTGACTACGGGAAAATATAAGAAAAGTATGATTGTTGTACACCACAGTGCTACAACCATTCGGCATTCTTCACTTAGGCCACAGCAAGTCAATTTTATGGATGACATCTTCCGCAGACTCCAAATCTAATGCGAGCGGGCAAAAAAAAACGACGGGCAGAAAAAAACAAGGTTCCTACATTTGAAAATTTTGACTCAATCATCTGATCTGCCTCCTCTCTTCATAGTTATCTGTCATCCATGTTCCGGCATGGCAACAGACATCTTGTCCATTTTCGGCATGTTGACCACTGTCAGAAGGCAACAAAATTTCTTGTTCTTTTTCCGAACTCAGGCGAAACTAATGCGCGCGCTGAAGTCATCCATAAAAATTACTTGCTGTGGCCTTATGTAGTAAGCCGACAGTGGGGAGGGGGGTACACAGCTGCGTCGTTCCCACTCTGCTATCGCATCTAAACGTACATCGCAAATCCGTCCCATTGTATATGAAAACTTAATATTTATACGTCACAAAAATGCATTTGAAATTATCAAATGATATAGATAGTCAATTCACTCCATGCACTAATAGAAAAGTTAGTTGATTTCTAGTTCGAGATAATTATTATTGACAATTAGATTGCCTTATTGTCTTAGATTGCTACCCATATTGCTCCCTCCATATGGAAAGATCATAAGCATAAAACAATAAAAAAACCTACTGTTTATCTTGTATCATTTCCGGGTCCCGAAATTTGTTGGTTGCACTAGTGTCGCCGGTACCAGTGCTTAGAACGTTCGGCAGTAGAAATACAAAGACGGCCGCAACCAAATGATATAAAAACTCCATTTTAGTGGTTAAACTTTGCGCAGCTCGTACCGTACTACCTTGCCAGCCGCACGTGAGAGGGTATGTGTGTGCTGAAGTTAATCTGTAACAGCCACGCATCCGCACCCACATGTTGTCCACACTCCAGAGTAAATTTGTTTACATAAGTATACAAATAGTGGACAGCGCATTGCTATTGTAAAGTGTCGAATTGAGGGCTCCGAGAAAACATATTTCTAAAAGTATCACAACAGGACGAATATTGTAAAAAATGGGTCTACGTCAATTTGTCCTGTGTAACATTTTGTAACATTGTATTTGTATTTGTAACATTTTCTAATTATCTCCATGTTTCAACCATACTAAAATAGGCTAACATAACTATATAAATATTAACACTGTAGGTCTACAACAACCTGCTAATGCACGCTAAAGCACAATGGCTCACAGTGAATACCAACGTACCAAACATAAGATCATTGGCCTGAATCACAAACGAAAAACGCAATGCTTTTAAAAAAACTGCAGGGCCACAGCAAACAGCTAGGGGGCACAAATTTACACCATATAAACCTTATGCCAACAACTACGTATCACCTAAACATAGGCCAGCCAGCGCCAAAGATGCTTTTTTAAATTACTACTGCAGTAACAAGGTAGATCACTAGGGGACCAAAATTGACCTGCATGATCCACTTCACTCTACCTGCCCACTTGCTAGATACCATCGCAATCCATTGAGCGGATCTTCAATGAGATGTCGATATACCCCCACACATGGTCCAAACCAAAAACAGTACCTCCATTTTTCATGGAGGTACTACCATATGGGAAACTGTGGCCAGAAATACCATATACAGCACTAGTGATATGAACCACTCTAAATGGTGACGAAGATGACATATCCTAGTGTGGACTATGTAAGGGCGCTGCCATGTACCATCACCCCTCTATGACACCACCATAATGGGACTGTTATGATATAGTTGTGGTATGTGACAAGTTATGGGTGTGGGAAAACGCCTCTTCACAGATAGCATCGATATCTAGATATCTATGTTATATACGCATGCATTTTCTAATGGCTAAACGTGTCAACAAATCTTATGTCTTATGTTTATGAGTTGAGGCGTAACGTAGCTAGTAGTAGTATGTTGCAATTTGTGAGGCCAATATAATACCATAACATTGTACTTCATGCTTTATTCCGATGACAATGAAACACATCCGAAAGTATAGTACGTAATTCTACAGAGTTCTAGTTCTGTCAATGTTTTATTTCTAGTATCTATCAGGCTAACAACGTGGGTTAAAAAACGGTCAAATTTAGCCCAAAAGGGGAAGAATTAGCAAGAGGAGTTTGGTTGTCGTCGAGTTCATTTGCCAGCGCCTCTAGAAAGGGGAAATTAACCCTACCGCGGTCTGACTCTCCTGGCCAACTATTTCCCGACGAATTCTATGATCCGTACCCACGTAGGATGGCCTGGTGGATTCTACTTTTACTTCTACTACAAAATTGCGTCTAGAAAGTTCTCCACGTCCTAAAAAATATGTGTTATTGCGATGATGTAGCCTGGGTGCCAGACATGTGTCTGTGCTACCCTAGACTCAAAGTTACCCCTACACATAGGATAACTTTGAGCCTATGGCCTAGTGTGTGCTGTTGGACTTCTGGTACCCAGGCTAGCGATGATACGATCCCCTCACACATGTTCTATAAGGAATGACGGATTCACCAGTTTAGTAACACGCCTATATATACATAACGGAGTGACTGGTGATGACCGCATCGCCAGCTCTATATATATCCCGGGGGAACAGCTGCAAAGTACAGTCCCTGAGGGCCGCACAGTGTGGCCGCTAGAGTTCCAACTTCTGCACCGTGAATTTATCCCCAAAGGAAAGCATCTAAACACCGCAAGCTCACACTAAACGAAAAGGTAAGATACAATTCATCTCTTTTTGTCAAAGTGTACACGTTGGAAGGTGCGTATGTTATGTTGATTCGTTGTAAAATTGAGGAAAGCGAAATGTACGTGCAGCTTGCATCGCTGTTATGATAGACAGGAACAGATGTTAGAAGCGCTAGTACCCATCAAAAATTATTGTACCCCCCTCCCCAATGACTATCATTTTGAAAACCGTTTTTATGTTGCTAGATAGATTACTTAATGGTACACAGGGACTGTCCTTCTGTTCCTTGTTTGGACGTGATATAACTTGAGTAACATTTCATGCAATGATATTTGCTTCGAAACGGTACCTTTCGTTACATCTAAGTAATCTTTCAAGAAATGGCTTTGGATTCAAGTTTGTAAGGTACATTTCCAAACGTTGAATCTACATACAACATTCACGAATAGACATATTTAATAACAGTTTTTAAATTTAGTCTAATGGCTGCAGATTAGCGTATGCCATGATATCAATAGTACACGGTTCTGTTCTTACACAACGGTAGAACATTCTGGTCTCTGACAAACGACTGAATCATCTATCATGACGTCGACCCTGTTATTGGCGAGAAATTTAGCTGATTCACAGTCGTAACTGTGTTATGAAACGTTGAGCTTCTGGGAAGGCGCGAATCTCCAGTAACTGTTACCCTGGGAGTTACCCTACAGTGCATATTAGAATGATCATAGTATTCACGCGAGTTTCCAACTTATACAATTTTCTAATTTTTCTCACGGTGGGTACTGTAGGGGTTGGAGTACCCTGCCAATGTGTTTTTGAGTCTTAATCACGGGTTTATAGATTACTTTTGAACACTTTTGTTCGGGAATAGTTGCCAATAACAACATAGAAAGCCTATCCCTTTGCCCTACCATCTGCAATGTCGTAATTTCGAGAGGGCCACCATCTTGTCGAAAGTATAGCTTGATGATTTGTTTACTTTGTCCCTTTGCTACAGGAAAAAGGATTTACAGAGCGGCAAACAAAGGAAAACAACACCATGTCGGGTGGAATGAAAACCCTGCGCATCAAGTCCGGAAATGACATCAAACTTGATCTGCCAATCAGCGGCGACCCTCCACCAACGGTCACGTGGTACAAGGATAACAAAGAGTTGCGTAACCTGGGCCGGTGTAGCATCCGGAACACCCCCATCTCCACCGTACTGAAGGTGCGGGGTGCAGACTGGACAGACGCAGGGGTGTACACGTTAAAGGTAACGATAGACTTTGATTGACACGACTATATAAATAGGCAAATGGACTATTGAATGACAACTTAAAGGGGCATTATGTAACATTTTGAAAATTGAAATATTTATTTAGAAATATTCGTATGATTGTAATCTACCGTTGCAATTTTAACATAACATTTTAGCATTGACATTTATGGTTGGCACTAAAACAGCCCACACGAGGTGCCCTCAGTTTGTGGTGCCACCACAAATTGCCAGAATGTAAATAAACATGGCTGACAGCTGTGCTTCAAGCTTTTAAACACACTCGTAATGCGTCATATTTTTCACCTCGCAGTCCACTTCCTGAATGGCACTAATTTGCAATGTCGTAGTGTTGATACAACTAACTTTTGTATCGTCCTAATGTTACATAATGCAGCTTTAATATAACTTTGTGGCACAATTGCACTGAAAAACAAAAGAGTAAGATTCATCAAATGAAATGATAAAAATCAATTTCAGCAATTGAAGAGTAGGAGCGCATATTTGACAAACTCCATCTTAATATTTGTTATGCCTTTCTCATTTTTAACAAAAAATTCCTCGTCCGTTTTTTTTCAGATTTCTAATGAGCTGGGGACTAACAAGGCAGATATCAAGATTGAAGTGATTGGTCCTCCAGACCCCCCTAAGGGCCCCCTGACCGTTAGTGACGTCACCGCAGAAACAGCTGTGCTGACATGGGCGGCACCACAGTACGACGGGGGAGCGGAGGTACGTGTTTTTTGGCGACAGCTCAGGAGTGGAGCCTATATTACAGTGTTGCAATCAACTTGAAAATGTCCCCAAAACTGCCATGATGAATTCATTTCAAACTGTTTTTGGCCACGCCTCATGGGGCTGGTTCACACATTCAACATTCACACTTAGCACACCTTGGAACAACCTCTTAGAAGTTCATCTGTGATGTTAGAAGTCATTATGAAGCAAGTTTAAACTGTAATGTCATCACAAGAAATTGGACTTACCCAAATTTTCGACTGTACCACTCCAGTCAGAACTGGCGTCACGTTATGCAGATGACACACGTGACTCGGTGATCAGTGGATCATAATGCACAAAGTCTGTGGCGCCCCCCGTCTCAGACGGCGTATTGATACATTTGTGGGTGCTGCTTTTCAGGTGATGAACTACGTTGTTGAGAAGACGGACAGTTTCGGGGTGACCTGGGTGTTCGTGAACACTAACGTACAGAGGAACACGATCCGTGTGACCGGACTGATCACAGATGGGGAGTACAAATTCAGGGTCAGCGCAGAAAACAAGTAAGTTATAATGGTTCAACTGGCACAATATATGTTTCATGCCAGCCTTTCAAATGTTGGCAAAAACTTCTATGGTGCTCTAATTAAAAAAAAAACCTACACCACATCATAGATCGTGATCATCATATACAATGGCGAATAAGTCTCTACATGTAAAGGCTTAGCAGAATGAATACATATTCTTTTTGCTTCTTCGGCTTTGTCTCCAAACTAATAAGGTCAATGACCTGGACCAGACGTCTGTCTCCATGGTAACTGATGCTGTAGCAGACACCCTGTGGTGTTGGGTTATATTTTGTGGCAAGACAGTTGGAGGGGCTGTTCCCCATATATACCATGTATGAATATGTTTTCAAGAGTGACATGTACAATAAACCGAGGGCTAGACTATGTGAAGACAAATATTATGCATTTGATTTGCAAATGTTACCATTCAAGATTTTTACACGTATTGTTCCAGGTTTGGAACGGGACGTCCCATAGAGTCTGACGTCATTGTCGCCAAGAACCCGTACGACATCCCGCCCTCCCCCAGAGACGTGCGCATCTTGGACGCGTCCGGTGACACCGTCACGTTGGCATGGCGACCACCTGCAGACGACGGCGGGTCAGAGATCACAGGTCAGCATCAACCAATCACGAACCACTGAAACCTTTATCTCAAGTTTCTCATGTTTGTGATAGAATGCTCTAAATCTATAGATAACCAAAATTTCATTATATAACATTAGGAAGATACAAAAAATAATTTTCTGGTCATTTCTTCACAAAATATGGCGCCTTATAAGTTAACACAGCTGTTATCCATGTTTGTTTGTTTACATTCTGGTAGTTTGTGGTGGCACACGTGTGGGATGTTGTAGTGCCAAATGTAATAAATGTGAGATAATTGCGCAAATATATTGAAAAGTGGAAGTAAATCACAATCTCTCGGGTATTTTTTAAATATGGAATATTACCAATGTTTATGCAAAAATGTTACATAATACCACTTTCATTCTAATATATATTTTTTTACCCAGGATACATTGTAGAACGGCGTGAGAAGACCAGTCGCCGCTGGGTCAAAGTTAACAGAACTCCCGTCAGGAAGTTGGAGATCCGGTCACAGGGGCTCGTTAAGGTAGATATTACACGCACTTAAAACGCTGAATTATCATTCGTGCATTATTTTGTATTTTCGGTTAATTACGAAAAACATCCTGGCACCAATCTAAAACCATCACACTTTTGCTGTTCCCAGGGTCTGGAATACGAGCATAGAGTGAGCGCAGTGAACGCCGCTGGAGTGGGGACCCCTAGCGGACCTACCGAGTTGGTGGAGATCATCGATCCTGTTGACCAACCGACAGACTTGAAGGTATGGTATAATTGTCTTCATCAGAAAGACTATGGAATTGTCTCGCCGCATGCATTGTGGGTGACTGCGGGTTTAGCAATATAACTCTGGCAGGCATGATTCGACGTCCATGATTTTTGGCAGGCAGATTACCGTTGTGAAGGCCAAAGTCAAGTGCAAGTTTGGGCTTTGTGGGGGGTCCGTACGTCACGTTATTTAGTGCACCTTTTGTGTCTGTGGCTTGTTTGAAATGGGTATCAATTCTGTGGTCCACAAACTATGGCGTTCTTGCAAGCACTGCTTTTAAAATTTGCTTTTCATAGTTCAGATGAGAACCTCTACCCGCCTTCCTAATAGGTTACAGAAGTATCTAGAAATTCAGTGTCCCTGAAGTGGACAAGGCCCCTTAGCGACGGTGGAAGCCGCATCGTGACGTACATCATCGAGCGACGTCAAATGAAGGACGCGGAGGAGAGCTGGATGCTGTGTAACGACTCTAACGTGCAGGACACCAACTTCACCGTGAATAACCTACCAACAGACGAGGTGACTGCTTTCAGGTACGGACGAGATTTCAACCTTGCACTCAACTAGTTCCACCACTCAGAACTTTTAAGCGTACCACTAGGTTCTCCACTAGCTCACACAACTTCACCTTCCAAATTCCTTGTTCGAAATCTTTTTACAGTGACAGTTTCTTTCCCCGTACGGCCAAGCTTTGGAATTCCCTCCCTGACAAGTGTTTCCCACCAACCTACAATCTACAGGCTTTCAAATCAAACGTTCACCGCCATCTCTTGACATAGCCATGTTTAATTTCTCTCATATTTCTAGCTCAAGGCCTTGCATTAAACCATTCCTTAAAAAAAAACGAAAACAAAAAATCTTCAAGTCTATGTGATCCTTTGTGTTGTTATGAGGTGGCTGTGGCGTAGCATCTGACGTCACCAACCATCCGCCATGTTGGTGGGTTAAAACATGGCGTGCATAGTCGTCTTGAGAGACGGTTTTAAGCAGTAAATGACCTCCAACATATGCATGCGCCCTCTTTGCCACTGTAAACTGAGCCTTTGGATAATCATAGAGGTAGAATTGGAGATAACCTCCTTGGGATAATTAATACCTCTCTCATACTATTGTGTGATCTGCATGACCGTTCGCCATCTTGGATTTATACACACCCTCCAACATGGCGGTGTCTTTTCATATTTTATACCTTAAGCTTGTGACGTCACATGCAAGCCCTGTATGGCTGTATTTCGGAGACACTAATGTTTTCCATATGGCATTTGAAACTGGCCTGCGTCCAATATGATGTGCAACATGAAATAACTAATCATGCCCCCCCCCCCATCAGGCATATGTAAACCCGCGATTTTAGTACACATGTTTGCAACAGAATGCGTTAAATCTCTACTCCAGGGTGTCTGCCCGTAACGCCGCCGGTGTTGTCAGTAAGCCCAGCGACTCCACGCCGCCCGTGGTACTGAAAGACGAGGAACGGCCTCCTGTCATTCAGGTGATGATCACAGAACACTAGTTTTTATAGATCGCAGCTGGATAACATAATGATTATGGTGATCGTGGTTATAAGTATTTTGTACGCCAAACTAGACATAAATTATTGTAGGTCATAATAGGTCAATTCATAAGTCATTTTTTCATCATCCACGATTAATCAACTTGTAGAATTAATTATGAAGCATGTAAACTGTAATTTCCATCTCAAGAATTAGGACTTAACCAAATTTTCGACTGTACAACTTCAGTCTTTCTCAAGGAATGATCAAGCCACCGCTTCTGTGACGTCACGTATGCAGATAACACACGTGACTCGGTGAGCAGTGGATTATATATTGCAGAAAGTCTGTGGCGCCCCCCGTCTTTGTAGAATTAAATGTTTCATCATTTATGCAGGTGGACCCTCAAACGAAGACATCTCAGCGGTTACAGGCCCCAGAGTCCGTCCATCTCATCGTCAGTGTCGTTGGGAAGCCACGCCCTGCTATCTCCTGGACCAAAGATGACGTTGCCATCCTGAAAGTTCCCGGAGTCAGGGTAAGGAAAGTTAAACCCCTAACAGTAAGGCACGTCGTTTATCTATTTATTTATTTCAATAAGTTGGAATAATTGTAAACAACAACATGAATTCCAAGCCATACAACACGAAGTTGTTTTCGTACATGTTTAGAATTCAAACTTCTGTTCCTTCACAAAGACTTGTTCTCACCTAGAGCTTTTGACCAATTACTCTGGGCTTCTTGACCCAGTGTTGGCGTCACACACGTGACAAGTTTCACTGGGTCAGTCTATTGAAGAAGATCCGAGTGACTGGTCGAAAGCTCTAGCTGGGAACTAAAAGCTCTAGTGTTGGAACAAAAGTTATAACTCTAAAAAACATACATTCAGGGATTAAAAATAGTTTGGCACATTTAAACTGTAATAATTCTTGAAATAATTTTTTTCTCTTTTACAATTATTCTCACAACTATTCAAACTCATTAAATCCGTTGGACTATCCTACAGGTAACAAGCACGGAAAAGAGTGTCGGGCCAACCTGTGAGCTCTATATTGCGTCATCAGAACGTGTGCACAGTGGGAAATACGTCATCACGGCAGAGAACGAGTTAGGGACGGCGTCCGAGACACTGGAACTAGTGGTTACAGACAGACCACAGCCACCCGAGGGTCAGTCAACTTCAATTTTTTTATCTCAACTCTCACATGGCCTAAGAAAAATAAGTAGTGTTTCCGGTTATTTCCTGACCGATTTTTTCATCTACCGCTGATAAGACTATGAATTTCCGATCTGACATATGAATGTCAAATCCTCTGAATTATGAAACCTCATTTAACGTATTTCCAAAGGAATTATTTTCAGGAAATCGGGTGAAATATTTGTTCACAAGCAAATCTAAAATAAAGAAAAAAAGAAGAAAATCCCTACCTCCTGAACCTAGTTTTTTTCAAGAGGGAAACCAGAAACACAACATTAATTTTGCCTTAGCTCTTCTTTTTCCCCCAACACTCAACCCAACAATAATTTTAAACAAACATCTGCCCTTTGAAAATAAAATGTGGAAGTGGGACACCTTGAGTAAAATTTGCACTGTGCAATTGCATTGTTGCCCTCACTACGAAGCTCCAACTAAGTTGTTTTACGAAAACATGTCATTGATGTAATTTTCCATCACGCCTTTAGATGTTGAAGTGACTGAGATTACCCCTGAGTCCGCCACAGTCACGTGGCGCCCGCCTGAGGACGACGGCGGTTCAGAGGTCACCAGCTATGTTGTGGAAAAGTATGACTTCAAGGTCAGTGGCATAGTGTAAGGAATCTATTATGAAAAAGATTTTTTAAATAAAAATCACGGATAGGAAGTTTCTTGAAATAACGCGATAAACTAGAAAGCTTAAGGTAACATTTGCAAAGCACCATGTTTACCTTGGCGCGTTTTACGCTAACAAACTATCCCTCTGTTTATTCCTGCTCAAACACATCCATGTATAATATGGTGACCAGATCCTGTCCTGCCACTTGCTACATAATGTAATCCAACATCACGGGGTGTCTGCTACAGCATCAGTTACCATGGTGACAGCCGTCTAGTCCAGACCATTGACCTTATTTGTTTGGAACTTTGGAACTGAAAAAGAAGAAACTGAGAAAAAACAATGTTTCCCATCTGTGAAGGTGTCATTAAACATTTACTGATTTTGTAGAGACGAATTTAACCACCCGTTGCCTAAAACTTAGGAGAAAGAGTGGACGGAGGCAAGCCGCAGTGTCCGTAAGACGCCCTGCACCGTGACCAGACTGGTGGGCGGCCGGATTTACAAGTTTGGAGTGCGTGCACAGAACATGTACGGCGTCAGCGACAGGAGAACGACGCCACAGATGGAGGCTAAATACACCTTCGAGCCACCTGAAGCACCTGACATGCCCAGACCAATACAGGTAACACCGTTACATAGCAAGGAATATTCGTACCAACTGTTTCAACAGCAGCAGTTTTGCGTAAGCGAAAAAAGTTGTCGTTGTGGGCCTTCGTATTGATCCGTCAAACGCACAGTGCATTTGGTTTCGATGATTGTACAGTTTTTGCTTGCTTGCAATTTTGTTTGAAAGGCTAGGAGGGGGTAAAAGCAATTTTACAGGATAAAAGGTAATATAATAGAAACAACCATACCGTTAAAGTCTTAAAATTCTGAATAAGAAGTAACGATTGTACTCGTTTTAAAAAGCCACACGGTATACGATATAACCCTTGAGGAATATTGTAAAGGTCTCCAAGAAAGAGATAGTCCTGCGCTGGAACGCTCCTCCGGCCGACGGGGGCAGCCCTGTGCTCGGGTACGTCCTGGAGAAGAAGACCGGTACGTCCGTGCGCTGGGACCGGGTCACCACGGACCCCATCGCCACGGAGATCTACACCGTACCCGCCGTGGAGGGAGGGGAGTATGACTTCAGAGTCGCGGCGGTGAACGCAGCGGGGGTGGGCAAGTGAGTGGGCACGCACACATTCTGTAACTAACAAATTTAGAAATATCTAAAGTACGTCTTGGTCGGTCATCGATCCTCCACAGAGGTGAAGCGTGGCAAAGGGTTCGAATCCTCTGTCTACGGGTTCGAATTCTCTACATATACCCCAATGCTGTGCCCTTGGGAAAAGTACTTTATACAACTTACCTCACTTCACTCTGTCTAAAATACATATCAGCATATAGCCTAAAATTTTACCAACAATCTCTATTTATATAGGCTATCGGTATGATACAATGATTTGAAAATTTGATATATTCGCAGTGTCGTTCACATAGTAATTTGTATCTGTAGTACATCATCAAAATCAATTAATGAAAGGCATATACATCACAGTAAGTTCCATACTAATACCTAAAATTATCAACACTTTGCTTTAAATTTACATGGTTTTCAGTCCTACAGGCATTCTACACTCTCACCCACACTTACTCACTTTCTGTGCTTGCTATAGATTCAGCGTATCGTCGGGTCGGATCGTCGCACGGAACATTGGAAAGCCGGGCCCGCCGCCCAGTGTGACCGTACTGGACACTACCCGGTCCTCCGCCACCGTGCGATGGACACAGCCGGAGGACAAAGGTATATCCAAGGGCTAAAAAAAATCATGTACTCGTTTAGAGATTATGCTAGGCATGGGTCTTCTAGTAAGCTTATTCTTCGTCTTAGATTAGTCACAAAGCTAATCTTCGTCTGAATCTGTACATTTTTGCTTTCTCCATTGCAAATTGGCATTGATTTACCGCATTATTCATCACATTAAAATTAATGTCTTGTCTTGGTTATTATTCAACAACAAAGATGCATTATGCTCTATCGTTTGCTATTTCCAACTAATTATCCTTTTCATACCCATAGTTTAAGTGTGTCTGTCCTTGGTGCTGAATGTCACGTTATTGTACCATTGGCAGTATCCATTGGTAGATGATTGCTCACTTTGCTTGGTTTCCACCTCGCAGGTGGTGCCGCCATTCAAGGATACGTCCTGGAGGTGAAAGATGCAACAGCAGATTGGCGCAAGTGTCACACCTGTGACGTCATCAAGGGTTGCAACATGACCGTGACTGGACTGGATCCAGGTCAGGAGTACCTCTTCCGGGTCAGCGCCGTCAATGAACATGGCCAGGGAGAGGGGATGGAGACCGTTCAGTCTGTAGAAGCAAAGGATAGGTACTTTATAAACCTACTTTACTAGTATACTACGGGACACTTTTTAACCACAAATGCCCTATAAGTGTGAAATATATAAATAAAATTTGTCAAGGAGATTTAGGTCAAATAATAATAATTCTGAGCAATAGAGGATGAGATGAAAGGTAGAGTATGGATGTACAGGATAGATAATGATTTCAAAATAACCTTTACAGGCTTGAGCCACCGGAAGCGGATGTAGATCCCATGAAGACCCGCGGCACCGTAGTGCATGCTGGGGAGACTCTTCACCTCAAGGCGGGAATCAGCGGGAGACCTGCCCCGGAAGTCACGTGGTCCATCCCGCAGGAGGTATACCATGATTTCATTACATGACGTTTGTTTCTTCATCGGAGGAATGTGTTTTAGTACAACCTCCCTATTCTTTCGACCACTGTTTACACACACACACAGACATGCAGGTGATTATAAAGTCACATGTCTTAAACAATTGGTCATTCGGTCCTGATGAAGGCAGTAGAGACTTGATTGTTCGCTTTTTGGATCATAATTTCATGCGGAGTATACACTTTTGTCGGTACGTCTTCTTCAGGAGCGCGAAGGTCGCATTGCAGTGGACACCACCACAAAGGACACACAACTGATGGTGATGAACTGTGACAGAACTGATGCTGGGAGGTCTGTGTTCTAGTTCTACACATGCCATATTTCTGTCTTTGGCTAGGTTCAAGAACAAACCCACTTTCAAGTTAATAGAAAAATACGCTATTTTGAACCTTTTTTCTAACATCTTAGCCTTTGTTGATTGTGAAACTTGGTTCATTTCTTGCTTCAGATATGTACTTACCCTTAAGAATAGTGTCGGTGCCAAGACGGTGACGTTCAACGTCAAGGTGCTGGACAGTCCTTCTGCCCCCGTCAACCTGCGCGTCAAGGACGCCAACAAGAACGTGGCCGTGCTCAACTGGGATCCTCCAGAGAAGGTGATGTCTTGTATTTTCTCCTCTCAACTGTTGTGGCGTCGGTAGCGCAACGGTAGAGCGTTGGACTCGGAACCACTAGGTCCTGGGTTCGATGCTCGCCGTGGCCCGACGTTGTGCCCTTGGGAAAGGCACTTTACACGACTTCCCCACCTGTACGGTGGAGTGACGCCCACCGAGCCTCTTGGGCTAATCTGTCTAACTAAATCGAGAGCCGTTAATTTCTTTCTCCTCTTAGCTAGCTCTTAGTTAGTCTTTGCGTACTTTGTTGCTGTGAATGTGACTCTTTTAAAGGCATCTAATGCAATTTTCGATAGGCAAAACTGGATTTTCAAACTCAATTTTCTTGTCAATCATGAAGTAAGATGAAGTATGCTACCCTATAGCAAGCTGATATCTGTGAGGCAAAAATGCTATGTCGCTGACGGAAAATGGTTGCTTGTATTGTTTGTATTGTAGGCTGGTTCTAGCTATTTATAGGTAGTATAATTGCTCGCGTTTTGGGGCTATTTTTAATGCTAAAAAATTGCTAAGAAATGGCAGTAAAACAGATTTTCTCATCGAGAATACTTTTTTATTTTGCCGCCGTAAAATTGAATTGTATTGAATGCATTTATAATATACACCTGGTACTGATCTCAAGTGCTCAATACGTAAATTAACATATTTTACAGGATGGCGGTAGCCTGGTCACACACTACATTGTTGAGAAGAGAGAACAGTCACGACGCACGTGGGGTCCTGTGGACAGGGAGGTGGAGAGGAACTCCTACCGGGTCAACATGGTCGAGGGGAACCACTACTACTTCCGGGTCACGGCCGTGAACGAGTATGGAGAGGGCATACCGGCGGAAACCACGACACCGACCCTGGCGGCCGACCCGGTTGAGGTGCCCGACCCACCACGAATCCTCGAGGTACTTTATCTAGACCTTTTCATACTTGCTTCTCCTGTTCAACTTTTCAATGGTTTCATCCTATACTATAATGAAAGTTGAACTGTGTTGGTAGGTACAAGTCTTTTCATCAGTCTTCTTCAATGGACTGACCCACTGGGTCAAAGCTAAGGCATCTGGTAAACGATGTCGGCCCCCGTCGCGGTTGGGTAATCGACCCTGCCTGTAAATCGACAATGTTTACCTTTGTTGACCTAGCCTGTCACACCTCAGAGAAGTCACGTGACTAGTCTCACTGGGTCAGTCTACTGAAGAAGACTAGAGTAACGGGTCGAAAGCTGTAGGTGAGAACAATTCTCATGTGTTGGAACAAATGTTTAACTTTAAACAGGTTCCATTTCATGTTTATGGTACTTGTCAGTCATAAAACTTTGTTTCCACCACTGACGGTAAATGTACTGGTGTTTCAGGTGACCCAGGTGACGGAGACAAGTATAGGTCTGTCCTGGGAGAAACCTGACTGGGACGGAGGCGCCAGGGTGGAGACTTACGTTATAGGTAAGTGCGACACCTAGCGGGATCAAATGTCATCGACAATTTCAAAATCATCAAGGATTAAGCATTTCTTATAAAGAGCACGTACTCTTAACATGTGAAACGATTTCCGTTTGAATTTATAGAGTAAAAGGTGATTAGTGTAGTTTTATCTAAATCCCCGCCAGATGTAACATTGCCTTGAAAGTATGGGTATCCGTTTGATTAGAAGTCATTATGAAGCAATTGAGTATAATTTCCAACACAAGAAATTGGACTTACCCCAATTTTGGAACGTATAACTCCAGTGTTTTCAAGGAATGGACAATCCACCGCTTCCATGCAAATTACACACGTGACTCGGAGAGCAGTTGCAGAAACAAAGACAGGGGCGCAACAGACTTCCTGCAAAATATAATCCACTGCTCACCAACTCACGTGTGTCATCTGCATAAGTTGACAAAGACAGGAGTTAACGTTATATATCGACTAAAAATTTCAAAAATTAAAAAGTTCAATATCTTGCGTTGTAAATTTCAGTTAAACTTGCTTCAAGATGTAACATTTCTTGTCTCTCATTCTGTTCTTACAGAGGGATTGTGGGAAGGCAGCAACTCCTGGACTTTCATGAAGAACACGTGTCAGACCCACGTGACCTTGATGGGTCTGGACGAGGGGATGACGTACAGCATCCGGGTCCGTGCGCAGAACGGGGCGGGAATCGGGCATCCGGCGGAGGTGGAGGAAGATATCGTCTGCAGACATCAGGGGAGCCTGCCCATGGTGGACCTGGGAATGCTGTAGAAAGTGCCAAACTTTGTTTAATAGCCTCTACCAGGCTTCGGAAGGGCTAGAAAGAGAAGAAATTGGACAGATAATTGGCATTATGACCAAAATGGCTAAAATTTCTAGCCAACACTAAGTAAATTGGGACTTACCCAAATTTTCGATCGACTCCGTCGGCCTTGTTCACGGAATATGGACCCCTCCATTGTAGCTTCCGGGACGTGATGTCGGAAACACGTAATTGCAACAAAGGGTAGTACGTGTCAGGTAATCTGTGTCGCCCCCCGTCTCTGTTCAGTCCCAATTTACTTATTGTTGGCTAGAAAGTTAAGCCCTTTTGGTCATACTTAAGTATACCAACACAGATGAACTTTCATGCTAAGATAATTAGCATGTCACATTTGCCGGTGATTTAAGGATGAGCAACTCCCCTGGTACATTATCTGTCTATTTGGCCATTTTCTAGCCTTTTCAGCCACTTCCTTAAGAGTAAAGGCTAAAACGATGTGACGAATTGAGCTGTCATTTAATGCCGTTGCGATATATAAGTCAGTCTTAGTTCGAAGTGCACATGTGCAGTCGTGATGCATTGCGGTCTGAGGTCAAAGGTTGAGGCCTTTCATTAGACCACATTGCACCTGCGCAATTGGAACTGTGAGCTGGCTTATTGGGTAAGTTTTATCTTTTCAACAGGCGATTAAATGGAATAATGAAAAGAAGAAACCCACAAAGATTTGAATCATGAGTCAACGAATGTTTACCTTTGCTACGGTACTTTGTTCTAGCTCAGTTTGCTTGTAAATATTGAAATGTGCAAATGTATAAAACAGCAAGAACACCTACTAATGATTATCTATACATACAATGTAAAAACTGAATGAAGTGGGTCGTTTTTTTAAGATCAATGACTTTAAGATGTACTTCGAACCGGCAATGTAGACCTTTCATAAACCATGCCCTACCAATGCCGGCGATCCTGAAAGGTCTTTCTAATTCTGGATATGTTATATCAAGGATGTTAACCTTTTTCTATTAATATATGACTTAAATTTAGCACGGCTGTCGCATGACACATAGTACATGATAGCCTCTACCAGGCACAGCGGATCGCTGGAAAAATAGTAGAAATTGGCCAAAATAAAGGGATAGTATACCAGAGAAGATCCCGGGCCATAGAAGATCCGCGGTGCCTGGTATAGAGGCTAAGTACATGAAACCATGACACGTGTGAAGCTAAACATTACCACGAACAGCCCACTCCCAGGGCGTAAGGCCTAGGAAAATGTTGTGCTTCCGGTTTCGATCCTGAAAAAAAATTAGTGTCGATAGGCTGAGACTTCGGACACAGCATTTTTTCTTAGGCCCTATCATGTGACAAAATAGCCGAAATTCGTGCTATTGCCTGACGTGACAAAACTGGTAAATCTTGCCAGATTATATCAACTTGAAGGCTTTGTAATCTGACAACGACAACGAGTTTCTTTGCATGTGTGTGTATGATTTGTATCTGATTTGTAATACTTAAATAGATAACTGTTGTTTTTAAAGTAGTTGTCACACGCCAATTAGGCGCTCTAACATAGTGGTCTAATAGAATTTTTCATTTTTCTTTAGACTTTTAATAAAGATGACAACAGAAATTGCTCAATTCACCTGTTCTCAGTAGTCTTCTTTTGCTACTGCAGTCAGTATCGGTGGTTTTTCTACATAACGTCTGCTTTGTCTTAAATTTGCATTATGTAACGCTAGGATGATATATTAGGTCAATTTTCTGGCCATTTCTTTACAAAGTAAATTTGAATCAAACTTATACTCCATTGCAAATAGGTGTCATTCAGGAAGTGGACATGTCAAAATAACAAGAATTCGGAGATTCCAAACCTCCATGAAATATATGTGTTTTTGCCTTCGACAGAAGGCTATGAAATCGTTTTGGTACTGTTTGGCAGATTATGCACGATAGATTTTGAAGGCGTGGTTGTCTTAGTGATGGGCATTGCCAAGGCCCACAGAAAGCTCAAAGGGGTGACAAAATCCAATTAAATCTATGATTACCTGCATCCTGCAATCTCTGGCGCAGGTGAGAATCGTTACTCTCCAAGCAGAGGTTTGGGTTTTGAGTTATTTTGGGCGTGTTTTTAGGCTTTTTTTATCGGGGTTTCTTTTTTGCACTGGAATTTTTTCTCACCCCACCCAACCTCTGCCGGCACTCACCCCAGGGCGGGGCAAACCTATTCAAGAAACGTGACAGTCCTCCTCCCCGGGAACCATCAAATTATCATTAGGGATAGCCATTTTACAGTGCCGGATTATCACACACGTCAGCGGGGTTGGGTGAGAAAAGAAATTCCTTGGCAAAAATGAAACCGGTAAAAAAGTAATAAAAAACACGGCAAAAATAACCCAATCACTACGTCTACTCCAATTGCAGTTTTAACACTCACTCACTCACTCACTCACTCACTCACTCACTCACTCACTCACTCACTCACTCACTCACTCACTCACTCACTCACGCACTCACGCACTCACTCACTCACGCACTCACTCACGCACTCACTCACTCACGCACTCACTCACGCACTCACTCACTCACCACACGTGTTTGCACATCTGTTTTCCCTCAAAATACAAAAGTTCTGCTGCAGTACCAAGGTCGGTCACCAGGAGGCCCATATTTGACCTTGACCTACCAGCATACCAAATATCACAATCCATAAAGGCGTTCTGAAGTTATGCTGACTACAAATGTGCGGAAACACACACACAAACTCAGCTGATAGCCCTGCTTCTTTACATTATGTTAGTTTGTGGTGGTGCCAGTGTCAAACTGTGCGCGCCTAGTGACCCCAGTGTGGTGGGCTGTGAGACTGGACCGACTTTCTGCCTCCCGGACTGGACCGCTCTTTCCACCATGGCCAACCCTGTCGTAAATGTGGAAGAGTCCATTGTTAACTGTTGTATGAATACATGTAAAATTCATTCTATTGGAGGGGTTAATTTTAGAAAAGTACTGGGGATTATCCATGGAAATGAAAGGCTAGGGTATTTTATAGTTCCCGCGTGTGGCCCTAACATCTGCTTTGAGATAAACATGATCTGACCCAGGAAGTAAATGCCAGCAGGGTCAGGAAAGGTCATGAGGATCTATGACAACATATATTTACGCGCAGCATCGAAGACCCGCGATGCATTTACTGGTCTTTCAGGTACAAAAGCTGTGGAAATAAGAAAGCAGATCTGTGTTATACAGTATTTAGTTTTAATGCTAATGCTGAACCTGGTAAATATCGCCTGATCTGCTGAGAAAGGTCTGTTACAGCGATGTTGTTGTCGCGTCGGAAGATCCATGGTTACAACCGGTTTGACAGGTAAGCGCCCTCCCCACTTCCACATACCTTTACTGTCATATGTCAACCTTCTCTGCGCTTGCTCAACAGAATTTGTTTCATGCCATGCTATAGATAAATTTGATTTCATCCTAGAAGGTAATAGCCCTTACTGTGTACAAATAGGTAAATTTATCAAAGAATGTTTAGACCTTAGAACAAGTACTAGTAGTATTAGTTGACTTTGTATGTAAGTTAATTTCGTTGTACCTATGTATTTGTCTGTATATCTACATGTAGTTTTAGACTTTACGAAAGTCTCTGTACTTTTGTTGTGTCAATAAAGTTCCTATGTTCCGAAGATGTAAATTCCCTTGATAGGCTCAATATAAAAAGGTATTTTTAAAGTCGACTTTAATCTTGTTTGCATTTGATTGTATAATGTAGGTCAACGTTAATACCTGGAAAACATCACCTTATTAACCTTTGGTGTAGTCTTGTAGCTAGACAAAGTTCTGTTACAATTTGTACAAGGGATGTGGCTAAAATTGTCACTTTAATATAATGAATAAGTTATAACTGTAAAAAAGAACTTGACTGATATTATGAATGCAATGGTTTAGATTATATAACACTCTTTATTGCTATGATTTATTGCTTTATTGCTATATATTTAAGACTATGAAAGTTAAAATTACTTTAAATAAATACAGTGTGCTTATCTATAATGAACTTATTTACTTATTTATTCATCTTATTAATAAGTAGATCAACTAAACTGATTTCCATGGGAGCCCACCGAATTATTTCATTTTATTGCAGCATTGTATCGTGTACTTCATTGACTCTTTATAATTGTTCACAACAAAAATACTTTTTTCTGCACAGTACTAGTGTGTGAATCCAAAGAAACATGGGTTGTGGGGCATCAACAAACTATCAGTATGAAGTAAACCTTACCTGGGAACAGGTGAGTCGTACCGTGGACACGCCCAGACCCAAGAAGGACAAGCTGGTCCTAAGACATTCCAACTGGAAGACCGTCCGCATCTTCGTCTCCTCGACCTTCAAGGACTTTCACTCAGAGCGAGACGTCCTTGTGAAGGAGGTGTTTGCAGACTTGAGACACTGGTGTGAGAAAAGGAGGCTACATCTTGTGGAGTGTGATCTAAGATGGGTAAGAAAAATAATGGGATGGCTGGGTTTCGATAAGCATCTTATATACATGTATGAGTGACAGATAATGACATAGAGTGTGATTTTTGTGTAAAGCTCCTGTCATAGGCAAATATGGCCTCCCGAACACTTCCAGACTCCCCCAGCCATGGTTAGGAGAGCACGTAGGCAGTACTGCACCTTCGTGAAACCCGTAATGTATTGTACATAGCATTTCAGCAGAATGTCTCATATAAGGTTGTATTCGCTCATATAAGGTTAGAATTTCGACAGTAGTTTCCAAATGTTGTGTCAGAAAAGATATCGTCTGCAACAGTGAAAATTCTGATGCAATGTTGACCAAAAATCCAACGAAAAACGCGAAAATCCAGGGTTCTGCACAGGCGCAGTACATTCTGCTGACGTGCTGGTTAGGAGAAGGTTGGGCTGTACCAACTAGTGATGCATACCGGTTCACTGGACTTGGATCCGGACTTGTAAGAATGTTTAGGTTTAAGTCCAAAAAAACCTAAAAGTCAAGAACCGAGTCTGGACTTATTATCATAAAAGACCATTTCACATACCCCTTTTCTTTCCAAACCACCTAAAACCTTCCGTAGATTGTAAAATCTTTGCTGCAAAATGAAGAAAATATTGCCATCGGGCATCCTCAAGTACCGGCCTCCATGTTATGTGGCCAAAGTTTCACCCAGACAACATTGCAAGGTTGCCATCATGCAATTTTTATATACCATGGGTACAAGTCCGGACCTGAACCTAAACCTCTGGACTTGAATCCGGACCTGAACCTAAAATTGTGTTTAGGTATGCATCACTAGTACCAACCGAATGTAAAAATGTTTTAACACATTCCGGTGTGGACAGGAAGATCAGTGGTTGGCTGGTAGTTGGACAACAAATGTCTCAAAATGTTTAAAACGTTCGGGTGTGGACCATGGATCAAAGGGGCTGGATGGCTGGTGGTTGGGACTAGGTCAGGACGTGATTGGCAGAGAAATTTGACTCAAATTTGATTTGAATTTGATTTAATTTCTGTAGTAAGGTAGGTGTAGACTAAATCTGGTCAGAAGTTGCATGGTCGGATGGTTTTTGGGGGAAGGTTCTGAGTGTCCAGCAGTATGGAAGTGTAGACATTCTATCCACTGTAATGTTGTTAATTTGCCTGTTGTAAATTTCAGGGGATTCCCAAGGATACAACAACAGAGTTTACACTGAGGACATGCTTAGAGGAGATCGACAGATGCTATGAAGACAATATCATGCCTTTCTTTCTCAACATGACCAGGTATTCACATACAAATATTGTTTCTAGCAATACTTACTTGTTAGCGACAATAGGGAGTCGGCGGTAACTCTGGAGGACGGCACACGAAGCTCCACGAAGCTCCAGATCTCAGTACATACGTACTAGTACAGTGCCGATTCAAAAATTCGCAAAAAGCCAACATGTGCCGGCCTGTCATATACGTCGCAAATTCACAATACCAGCTTTGTATCCTGTGGTTTAGTAGCATTTTTATTTTTCGTCAGAATTTTTTTTCTTCGCCCGCGCGCACTAGCTTGGAGGTCTTCAGAGGATGTCATCCATAAGATTAAACGTTGTGGCCTAACTTCATTCCAAAGAAGTGAGTTTGGCTTGTCTGTATCCATCTTTGTGTCTGCAATGCAGTTTGAGTACGTTCTGCTACTAAACTGTCTCTTTATCCTCAGTGAGAGGTGTGGGTGGATCCCAGGTGTACAGGAGGTTCCTCCACAGTTTGCGGCAGAATATCGCTGGATCCACGGCTTGTCTGTCACAGAGATGGAAATCATGCATGGAGCGTACAGGAAAGGCAACCCTAACTGTAAGTGGACTTAAAGGCATCCAGTGCAATTTCAGACTAGAGAAGTAACATTTGCAAAGCAAATGCATAATGTTTACCTTCGGACATGGTCCGCTCTGTTAATTCTTACTCAAACACATTCACATACATGTACTACTAGTAAATGGTGACAGGAGCAGAGCAGAGCAGACCATGAAATTGCAACATTATGTAACCCAACACCAGTCACTATGGTGACTGACGTAAACAAATCATGTCATTGGTCAGGTCAGAGGTCACTGTTTGGAGAAGAAGGAGAGGAAGAAACTGAGTAAAAACAATATGTTTTCTTTTGGTAAACATAAATAACGGCACAACAAATATATTCAAGATGAGGAAATCTGCCTGATATTGACGTTTACTGCCATTTCTTTGTATATTTCATACTTGAAGTGTGTGAAATAGCCCCAAAACAAGCTACGGGATCCGGAGGCATCCCTTTACTTTTCTGGGTACCTCCCACAAATACATTTTTTCGGTAGAACCAGCCTACGATACAAAACAAGCAACCATTTTTCCATCAAAAACATAAAATTTTCCCTCACAGATATCATTTTGCTATGAGATAGGATTGATTCAATTTACTGCATCATAAAAATGACCAGTACTTCACAGATATCAGTACTCTGTGGGAAAAGATTGATTCAACTTACTACATTTTAAGAAAAATGACCACAAAATAGACTTTGAACATCCTGAGTTGTGCCACCCTAAAATTGCATTGAATAACGTTTACCATACGTGTTGACTTTAGAGTGCATTTATATTGTAGTTTTAGAGTAATTCAAGATTACAGAAATATACTTGTTCCATTTCATTCCCTCAGCTCTGTTCATGATCAGAGATGGGTCTTTCCTGGAGTCTGTACCTGAGAGGCATCATCAAGACTTCATAGACATCACACCAGAGGCTCCCTTCAAACTCAAGATGCTGAAAAAGATGCTACAAGACAGATTCGAGGTATGACACCTTCCTTACAAAATCATAATTTAGAGGCTGTGTAAAATCTTTCTTTGTTGTTGAACTTTTTACCTGGTCATTCTCTAAATAATACTAACCAGCTTTGAGCAACCCATTTTGTGTGTGCAAATTTGGTGCATGTGTAAGAATTTTTTTATTCAATGAAAGTAAAATCTTGATCTTTTACCGGGTAACATATTACAAACAATCAAACAGCTTTAACAGCTTTTCCAGCTTCACATCATCCTTAGAAGTGTCCGTAGGGCTAAATGAGTCAAACCAAGGATTTAACACAAGTTCTAGGGTTATATGAGGAATTTTGCATACTTTACAGTACATGGCAAAATTTGACACTTGTTCTGACCTGTCTCCAGGCTAACCAGGTGTGCCTGTACCAGTGTGAGGTCGCAGGGGTCAACTCAGAGGGCAGAGTTCAACTCAAGGGGCTGGACAACTTCAGTCAGAAGGTGTTTGAGTTCTTCACACAAAGGATAGGGGAGCAGTACCCATTGGAGGAGATCCAAACAGACCCGTATAAACAACAAGAGGAGGCTCATGAGGTAAAGATGGAGGCAGTAGTACATTAACATCTACATGTTTAGGGACGCAAATAGGGTCACAGGTCTTAAAGCTGCATTATGTAACATCATGACGTCATACAAGAAGGAAATTGTCTGATCATTTTTTTACGAAGTCAGTGGAATCAACCCTACTCCCTTACAAATAAGTGCCATTCAAGTAGAGATGTCAAAATATGACTCATTACTATTCAGTGTTGGATTAAGTTGGATTAAAATAGCTGTTAGTCATGTTTGTTTACATTCTAGTATTTTGTGGTGGCACCACAAACTGAGTGCATTTCTTGCAACTGTTTAGCGCCAACCATATATGTCCAAAATGTGAAATAATTTCACAAATTTGTTCCAAAAATGGAATTGAATTATAATCACACAAGGACTTTTTTCAAGCAAAAATGTTACAAAATGCCCCTTTAATGTTTTTTAAGTGGAATAAATTGTGATTTCCAGTGTTGTTTATTCCTGTCGCAGGCCTACATGAAGAACAAAGGAGACCTTGTGTTGGGGAGGGACTTTATACTACAGGAGATCCAACAGTACATCACAGAACTGGGAGTGGACTATCCCATGCTGCTGGTGGGGGAGGCAGGGTCCGGAAAGTCAGCCATCCTGGCCAGGGTAGCCGATGTAGCCACGACAAAGGCTCTGAGCAGGGAGATACCCGGGTAGGAATTTTGGAGGGATGTTTCTATTATACAGTGTGTCTGTGTAACATAGTGTTATAGCCATGTAATTTTGCTGCGTCAAAAATTTTGCCAACTCCATCATCTTTGATGGACAAAGTTCGGCTTGTACTAGTAGTTGTAAAGAATCTGATGTAAAAAGAGATGTCATAAAACTAAGCTTTGTCTATCAGCAAAATTTGCCTCTCAAAATACAGGAAATAGCATTTCAGGGGGTCAAGATTTCCCCTAGGACTGTTGCATTTTGGGGTTTGAGATGACGAAAAATGTCCTTGTTTAGCCTTGAATCTGACAAAGGAGGTGGTATGGCATGGACTAAGCAACAGAAGGAACTGCATCTGTATCTGTATCCGGTAGCCAGTATAACCGCCCTTTGGCGTAACACACCAGCTTCGCAGACACGTGGCGCGGCAGCAGCTAGCTATGAGTAAAAACACACTGAACGACTTGTTACACTCAATCTTTGCACATTTACTAGTAGTTGCAGTTGTTTATTTAGGCTTCATAGTGATGATGCCCCAACTGTGTTCGGTGGCAACGAGTTCCAGTCTATGATAGTTCTGGGGAAATACAATAGTTTTTGAACACCTCAATTCTTGGTTGATAACTCATATATTCTTGTGCATCAAAATCTAATTTTTCAAAGCCATTTATGATTGATACATGTAGCTGGAGCCTGGAGGTCTGTAGTCCCACTAAGAGAAATAAATGTGATATTTCTGTGTGTGTTCAGTGGAGGAGACACTGGCTGGCATGTGTTCTACCACTTTGTTGGCGCGATCCCCGGGTCCACTGATCTGGAGAACATTCTGAAGAGACTCCTGAGAGAACTGGACATTGTCAATGTAAGTCTGGCTGATTGTCGTTTAAAGGCATCCAATGCAATTTCAGGACAGCAAAACTGGATTTTCAAAGTCAATTTTCTGGTCATTTTTCTTAAAATGTAGTAAGTTGAATCAATCCTTTCCCGTAGCATACTGATATCTGTGAGGCAAAAATGCAATGTTGCTGATGGAAAACATCCAGAATATTTTTTATCTTGCCACCCTAAATTTGCATTCGATGCCTTTAACCCTAGAGGTTTCTGAGAAATTTGAAGTCCAACAAATTTTTTTTTTGAGATCTGTTGAAAAGATGTACATGTAGTTGATGCCAACAACTAACACTTGCTTCTGACCTCATATATATGTATCCAGGACACCACCATGCCCAAAGACATGGAGTCCACAGTACAGCTGACATGTGGTGTTCTGTCCAGCCGAACCACCAGGCCCACCATCATCATCATCGACGCTGTCAATCAGGTCAGACATCCTGGGATATGTGATGATTTTCTGTTTGATGAATCTTTGGAGGTTTTAAAGGCATTCATTAAAATTTCAGGGCGGCAAATTCAGCACCAAGGACAGACACAGTGTGTGGTACTGATACATGATTCAGCACCAAGGACAGACACAGTGTGCGGTACTGATACATGATTCAGCACCAAGGACAGACACAGTGTGCGGTACTGATACATGATACAGCACCAAGGACAGACACAGTGTATGGTACTGATGCATGTTTCCATGATTCAGTACCAAGGACAGACACAGTGTATGGTACTGATGCATGTTTCCATGATTCAGTACCAAGGACAGACACAGTGTGCGGTACTGATGCATGTTTCCATGAATCAGCACCAAGGACAGACACAGTGTATGGTACTGATACATGATTCAGCACCAAGGACAGACACAGTGTATGGTACTGATGCATGTTTCCATGATTCAGTACCAAGGACAGACACAGTGTATGGTACTGATACATGATTCAGTACCAAGGACAGACACAGTGTGTGGTACTGATACATGATTCAGCACCAAGGACAGACACAGTGTATGGTACTGATGCATGTTTCCATGATTCAGTACCAAGGACAGACACAGTGTATGGTACTGATGCATGTTTCCATGATTCAGTACCAAGGACAGATGAAGTGTGTGGTACTGATGCATGATTCAGTACCAAGGACAGACACATTGTAAGGTACTGCCGACCCAAAATTTCATCTGATGCCTTCATTTTCCAGTTATGGAAAACAAAACACAGTTTCTGATCAGACTTTGACACCTTCTTCCTTTACCCAGATGGATGAAGACCCCCACTCCCAGAGTGTGAGCTGGTTGCCACGGAAACTTGCCCCCCAGGTGCGGGTAGTGTTGTCCATGATTGACGGCACCCCTCAGCACCACGCCCTGACGGAGCGGCAGAGGAAACCACACGAGGTCAGGGTGACCGCACTCAGCAAGGAAGACAGAGAGGTAATTTCAAGGATACCTTGAAAATTAACACAGTCAAACCTGTCCAATCTGGCCACCCAGGGGACCAAGGGAAAGTGGCCACCTTGGACAGGTGGTCTCCTTGAAGAGGGTCGCCTCACAACATGACTGAGGCATAAATGGTTTCCAAGTTGAGATGTTTTAATGTCAAATGCTGTAGGCATGCTGTAAGCATCTTCAGCTCTGTGGTGAATGCATATGGGGAGGGGGGCGCATGGCATAATTTACCGTCGAACAAAAACATCATCCAGCAGTCGAGGCAAACTGGCTGGTTTCTCCATGATTTCTCTATTAGTTATCATCAATAATCAACATGATCAAAAAGGATGTGGTCACCATGGGCAGGTATCAGGCCTTGAGCTGACCCAACTCATCAGGGCGGTCGTAGTTGTGTTTGCCAGGTGGTCACCTTGGACTCGTTACTTAATGCTTGCATCAATGGGGAAATGTTTTTGGACTAAGAAAAAGCGGTCACCATGGACAGGTGGCCAGCTTGAAGAGGTCTCCTTGGCAGGTTTCTCTTTACAGTCAAACTTGTCCATTTGACCACCTCAATAAGCCAGCCATCTTGTCAAAAGTTGCACACTATTGGCACAACAGAATAACTTAGATGTTCACATTTTTCATGCTTACTACAGGAAATAGTGCGAGCCATGTTAGACAAGTACAACAAGCGGCTGGACCAGCACCAGATGAACAGCCTGCTGTCCAAGGACTCGTCAGACAACCCCCTCTGGCTGTCCGTCGCCTGCGAAGAGCTCCGCGTTTACGGCGTGTTCGAGAAAGTGTCGGACAAGATCAACAGTTTAGCTGATGGTTTGCTTAAGTAAGGGTAACTTCTTTCTTTGTTGGAAATTTTTTTAGGACTTGGTTTGAGGAAAAAGCTTGTAAACATAATGGTATGGATCCTTTTTCACTTTTATGCATGAGTACTTGAGCCAAATGTTCAAAATGTTAAAAAAGTTCGGTTGTGGACAAGTTTTGCCTTGGTTGGCTTGCGGTTTGCTGGTGTTTGGGAGTTGTTTGGGGCATGGCTGGCAGTCAAATTTGACTCAAATTTAACACAAATTTGATTTGATTTGTACAGTAAGGTAAACATGGCCTTAAAATCTGATCAGACTGCTCCCAAAATTCAGTAAAACTTGGTTGGCAGGTGTTTGGGGGAATGTATGACATGTACTTTTAGTGATATTTTGTCTGTGCCCAGTTTGCTAGCTCAGGTACTGGAGAGGTTTGAGAGAGAGTACGGGGGGACGTTACTCGTTGCCACCCTGTGTCTACTGGAGACGTCAGCGAAGGGCATGCTGGAAGTAGAGCTGCTAAGGCTGCTGGGAAATGAGAAGGACCTCCTTCCTCCTGATAATGGCAGCCAGATAGGTTTGTTGATTTTTTTGCATATTTATTTGTTTGTGTTTTTTTTTCTTACAGTCAAAACCTGCATTGTAATATAAGTTAACTGTTTTATGGAGGTTAACCATTGAATAAAGAGGCTCTTTATGCAACAAACTGTTTTATTTAATTGCAATGTTTTGATGGTAACTGTCTGTCAAGTTTAGCAGGGTAAATTTGACTGGTTCACATTGCACAGCACAGGTATCACTGCTTGCGCTCCCAAAAGCAAAGTATTTCAAGTCAAGTCAAGTCAATCTTTATTGTACAACAATTGTAACGGGTACAATGCATGGCAAACTCTTTAGTACCACTCTACAGCTAACATCTACTCCCACGTCTACAGTGATACCTACAAGTTCTATGTATTGAAAACAACATACTATTTCAAACCGTAATACATGTATAGTACATGTATATATATGGAACATGGCTTTTATTTAGCACATGGTTACAGAGAGCGCCAAAACAGAAGTTGACGGATGGTCACTGAAACATCTTCTTAATAAGACACTTGTTTGCATTAAACGAGTCTCTTTATTCAGCAATTTGCAAACCTGATGAAACTATTCACAGAACTTTAACTGTTTCCCTGACGTACAGATTGGGAAGCTAGATCAGACCCTCCAGTCGGCCAGGTAGCACCGGTCAGGTGGGCAGGAGTGTACCGGGCACTCAAGCCATTCCTCAGGCCGTTTGGGGACAGCGGGGAGGGACGGCTGGACTTCTACCACCGGTCACTCAGTAAGGCGGTCAGGCGCAAGTAAGTCATCATAGTTGCGATGATGAGAGAATAAGGTGGCAAAGATTTGAAATTTTCTAGTGACCAGACTTCAGATTCACTTCATGAAGATAATTATTTGAATGATGATAATAAATACACAGCTCTTATTACATCCATGAAAACTGGAGGTATTGTTTTTGGTATGTCTGCACATGTGTGTGTGTGTGTGTGTGTGTGTGCATGTGTGTGCATGTGCATGGCCTTTAGATAACCATTGTAATAGATATAATTAGTTTCAGTGTGACCCTGGCCTGAGGGAGATCTGGTACATTGTAGCTCACTATTTTCTCAGGTGTTTTTCATTACATGACCTCCTTGACAGCTGACAACTGGTGTTTCCCTTGCATGATAAAAAAAGATTTGGTGAATGAGAAGAGGACACATTCTGATCTGAGCTCTTCAAATTTTTGTTAATGGCTATATATAGTGAAGCTAATAGATATGTTTAACTTGTTTAATAATAATTATTGTAACTTTTTATAATCTATGAACAGATACTTTGGATCAGATGAAGAGGATGACAGTGCAGACAGCAGCTGGAGGTACAGGTGGTGGCATCACAAGCTGGCCAACTTCTTTGACTCCTGTGAGAACATAGACAGACGAGTGGAGGAGTACCCTCACCACCTGGTGCAGCTAGGTGCCCAGAAACGTCTGGCCGAGTGCCTGACAGAGTGGGACATGTTCGACAATCTGTACCATCCTGAGTGGAGTGCACAGCTGCTTTTGTATTGGAGAAAGGTATGCAACATTTCATCTGTGTATGTTTAAAGTTAAAACTTTTGGTCCATCACAAAAGAGTTCTCTCACCTAGAGCTTTCGACCAGTCACTCTGGTCTTCCTCAGTACATCAAGGCCCATCACCCTTCATTGAACCGTGACGGGGGCCAACATTGTCTACTAGATACCTTTGACCCAGTGTTGACATCACACTTCAAAGAAGCCATGTGACAAGCTTCACTGGGTCAGTCTACTGAGGAAGACCAGAGTGACAGGTCAAAAGCTCTAGGTGAGAGAACTTTTTTGTGTTAAACCAAAAGTTTTAACTTTGAACATGTAACTACCAACACAGATGAACTTTCATGATTTCATCTGTGTAGTTTAACTAACATTTCATCCTTGCATCTGAAGCTGATTTCAAAAGCTAAAGCTTCTGTCATACATAGCTGAGTATGGCTTACCGAACACTAGCCCAACTCCCCCAACCATGGTTAGGAGTAGGTGAGGAGTAAGGTAGGCTAGTGTTTGGCAAGGCCGGCTACTAGCTGTTATCCGTACGAGCCGTTTCAAAATGTTTGAAACATTCTGATCTTGACGGGAGGTCTGGCCATGGTTTGCTGGTGTCCGGAAGTAGGTTCGGGACATGGTTTGCAGAGAAATTTGACTCACATTTAACTCAAATTCTATTCAATTCATGTTGCCACTACTCCAGAGCTTCAGCCTTGGTTGGCTGGTGTTCAGGGAAAAGGTTCAGAATGTGTCACAGAGGCTTTATATAGAGATCATTTTATGAGAATTGAATTAAAGGATGTTTTTCTTTTTTTCCCATCCTAATTATTCAGGCAGGTGGATATGACACAATGGACAGGCAGTACAGAGAGGCCCTGAACAGGATCAAACAGGACCCAGAGGTGTCTGTACAGGACGTTGTGCTCAGGCACGAGAAGGTGGCCAGAGTCCTGTAAGTTAGCATCATCATCAGTCCTCCGCTAAGGCCTCACTGAATTAAGTTTATGGATGACCGGTAGTAAGAAACAAAGCTTATTTTCCAGAACGTAATTTGTCTTTCGTTGCTGACCATTGTCCATCTAAATTATTTAGTTTCTGTTTCTTTGAGTTTCTTTTGAGCTGGGATTGGTGTTGTGTAAGTTGGCAACCATGTAATGTGTACATTGTGCATTTGGTTCTAAGATGAAGTTTACATGTATATTCCTCAAGTTTTGCCACACTGTCCTTTCAAGATGTAAGGAAAGAAAAATAAACTTGCCAAAAAATTTATATATATTTTTCAACTTAGGGTTATCTATTTATTCACGAAATATTTTTTTTTCAAAATATTTTCAACTTTGTGTTTTTACAAAACCTTTTCAACTTTTTTTCAATTTGTAGGTTATCGTAACGGTTGAAACTTCAAAAATATTCTCAATCCAGAAGTAAGTACATGTAAGTTTTTTACATTTCTCATTCTCATGATTTTTCAGGCTCCAGGCAGGAAAACTAGAAGAGGCGAAGGGTGTTATCCAGTATGCATTAGAGCGAGAGGAGGCAGAGCTAGGAGCCAGGCCTGACAGGATGACTGAGCTGTACTATGTAGCCGGGCTTATTTATGATGAGGTGCTTCTTACATTTTTTTCTCATGTCTCAAGTGATGAAACTACAATGTATGACAGTAGTTTAGGCCACACCTATTTAATTTGTTGTTTCTCGCTCCGTCGCTTCATCTTTTTCTGAAAAGTCCAAGAAACAACCAATTAAATTGGTGTGGCCTTAGATTGTGTCAAAATTATTTATTTGTGACTGAAAAGCAAAGTTAACATATTTTGTACTGACATATTCAATATACAATATAATTTTCCTACTACATGTAGATTAGGTTAGTTAAGGTACAACAATTTAAAGTGTATAGCAGTTAAAAGGAGGGAAAAAACATTATGCTTTATGAATAGCAAGGAAGGAAACATTGAAATTGAAAGAAAATCATGAAATAAAGTGTAATTTTACATGTATTTTCACTCATTCTGCCCAAACATACTGGTATAAATTTTACAATACTACATAATTCATCAAGATCAGAATTTGTCTTAAATTTTTTCTCTGTCAGACTTGCATCTGTCTTGGACCAATCTTGGGGGAATATTTTTAAATTGTTCATCTATTCGACCCATCTCCCTACAGATTGTCAAATCTGTAGAATTTGTCAGCACAGAAACCATGGATGACCTTCAACCCTGTATGGACTACCTGCGGAAGTCCATCGCCCTTCGTGAGCAGTTAGAAGGAGATCACCACAAGGTGAGAAGCTCACCATGACTAGTAACATTTGCAATGTTTACCTTCACATGGCCCAGCTTGACAAACTACTGCTTTGTTTATTCTTACTCAAAGACACCCATATACACATGTATATGGTGACCGGCCCCTCTTGAACTCAGTTTGCATGGCACTTGCAAAATTATGTAACCTTACACCAGTTACCATGGTGACAGATGTCTGGTTCTGGTCATTGACCTCATTTGGAATGAAAGAAGAAGAGGAAGAAACTGAGCAAATACAATGTTTTTCTTTGGAAATCATAAAAATAGGAGAACTGAGAATTTTGACAATGAATCCCTGCATATATATAGACAGTCTATTTTTTTTACATGGTCTAATGGACTAAAAGGTTAATGTACGGAAACTTTCAGATAACACCTGCTAAATATATGTAGGCTGCTAATCAAGGTACATGTAGTCATGTAACCAGGAGCTTAGAAGGGCAATACAGGTCACTTGACTGGTGTTGTACTTTACATGTATGTCTTGCTATGAAATGACGGTCATTAATATTAACACTACCATAATATTATGCCTTAAAATGATCATGTCTATTTCTAGCTTCATGGGAGAGAAAACTAACTAATTGAAAAATGTTGATGTATTACAGTATCAGAGAGCGTTTGCCCTGGTGAAGCTGGCGTTTGCCCTGAATAACTGGTCTGACTGTGGGGGGGATGCCAGCTTCTCTCGCTCCAGTGCTGCAGACGAGGGCTTCCAGGTGGTGGGGGAGGCCATCAGGATACTCAGGGAGGTCAGAATCTCTAAAGTCTACCCTCATTTCAAGTTATCATTGGTCGAGTAGCACATCTCAACCCAGTGTTCTAGCTAGCATGTGTCTTTTCATCATTTTGCCACTCGTAACGAACAAAAAATTGGCCAAATCTGGCATCTTTGAAGGACAAAAAAATTGGAGTGTAAAGATATGACAGAGTTGTACATGGTCAATTAAGACAAGAGATGTCATTAAATTTAGTCTACCAGCAAAATTTGCCCCTCAAAATGCAAGAAATAGCATTTCAGAGGGACAAATTTCAACATTTTCCTGGGGGAGCATGCCTCACAGACCCCCCTATAGCTACATCTGCCTAGGATTGTCATACCTTTGGAGTGACACCTTTTGCATTTGTTGCTCGACATGATGTTTTGTCAAACAAAATTGAGATGAAGGAAAAACAAAATTTCAGAAAATGGTTAGAACACTGTCTCAACCTCACAGATTGTGTGCATTGATATGATTGGTCAGTCTCCTGCTACCATGTGATTTGTTATTACCTTGTGCAACCTTGATTGGCTGATCCCGTGCAACTTGATAATGACTTGATCTTGTGTGCCTTTGTGGTTGGTTTGCCTGTTGCATGATTGTGATTGGTTGATTTTGTGTAACTCAATAATTAATTGGCCATGTATACAACGCTGTCATTGGTTGGTTTTGTATTTTGCAACTCTATAATTGGTTGATGCAGCTCTGATTGGTTGGTCATTCCTTCATGTTTTAGTTAGGAGACAATGGACATCTGGCAGAAGCTGTGATGACTAAAGGTATCCTCATGCCTCGTTACAACACTCAAGGCCAGATGGACGTGAGTAACCTTTTAATGGGCTACGTCTTTAGTCTTAATCTGTAATTGTGAGCAACAGTGCAATTCAGAACCCCTGGGTTCTGCAAAACTGTTTTACATTGACATCAATAAACTAGTCATAAGTAACAAGATAAATGATTTAAAATAAACAGTAGTAATAAGGCCACACCAATTTAATTTGTTGGTTTTCGGATTTGCCTCTTCATTTTTTTTCTGATTTGCAAAAAAAAAGATTCTCATACTGAATCAACTCAAAAATGCTCATATTTGACCCTCAACAGTTGAAGAAAGACCTTTTCTTCCTAGTTCCTACAGTTTGTCTTTCATCTATCAATGCAGTGGTTTGGAAAATCCATTGTTAAAATATAAACCCAGCATTTGAATGTGTTGGCTTCATGGCTCCTATCAAAGCATTTGGGGCTATGATAGGATGCCTAGACCTGTTTTTATTACCTTCGCCAAGAAGGTTATGTTTTCAGGGGCGTTCGTGTATGTGTGTGTGTGTGTGTGTGTGTCTGTCTGTCTGTCAACACGATAACTTGAGAAGGCCTTGATGGCTTGTCTTGATACTTGGTAGGTGGGTAGGTCTTGATGAGACCTCAAAATGATTAGATTTTGGACCCCCTAGCGGCTTGTTATGGTACTGCAGCTGAACTTCCGGTTTTGATATCTCATGATTTAGACATGCTAGGGTGACGAAATTTGGATGGTAGGTAGCTCTTTTGCTGGGGAAGAAGTGACGTGAGTTTAGGCCCCCTAGCGGCTTGCTCTGGAACTGCAGGGATAAATTCTTGAAAATATTCAAAAGGGGATAACTCAAGAACCGGTTGACGGATCGTCGTGATTTTTGGTATGTAGGTAGCTTACGTGATGCTTAATATAATCATGTGACAATTATGCAAATATTGATGTAATTTGCATAATTTATGGAGAAATTCTATAAATCAGCTGCATTCAATAATAGGACAATTAAAGCTTGTAACATTGGTAATTGACAACGAGAGAAACACAGGAAGATATTGATTATGTTAATAATGACTTAATTTGCATAATTAATGAGAAAATTTTATAATTATGTAATGATAACTGCCTGGAATTTTATACTTGTGGTATTTGAAAGTTAAATTGAGGTGAACATCATTAAACATAATTTATTCAAATCAGGACCTCATTTGCATAATTTATTAGGAAATGCTAGAATGCATTGTTTGTTAATATAAGACTGTTTTTTGGTTGAGATTATTATAAAATGATATAATTCATGAAAATTAGGTTCCTATTTCTTAAATCTGGGGGGAATAATCTAATCTATAATTTGTCAGTCATAAAGATTAACATCATTTGGCGAAGGTATGAGATCGGGGAACTCTAGTTTTTTATTTTTTTGATCTCTCGCTTCTGAGAACCAACAAATTAAATTGGTGTGGCCTATGTTCACAGTTTCATGATTGTGGTAACAATGAAAAGAAAAGTACAGTGAAAAAATCAAGAATTACAGTGATTATTTTTCTACTCCAGCTGTATGAGGAAGCCTTGGAGCTGAGTAAGCAGGCGTATGGAGAGAACAACACCCTGAGCTCCAGGATCTACGGGAACATGGGCATCGCTTACGAGACAATCGGTCAGGTCAGGAAGTCCTACAGGTACTTCCAACTGGCTGCTCAATGCACAGAGGAGGTAAATATCCTTTTGTTTGTTTGTTTGTTTGTTTAGTATCTCCATTAGTGTGAATTTCAGACTACTCTTCCTGGAGTCCGTAGTGAATAATCAGATACATTGTAGGTATTTGGACCATCGCACACCGGGGCATGCCCCTACTCTTTTTTGAAAGGTATGGTAGGTTCTTTAACATGTGTGGGATGTGGCTCTCCCCAAACACGGGACCTCCATTTAACGTCCTATCCGAGGGACGTCCCTAACCAATGCTAGGTACTTATATTCACCTAAGTGAGGTGAGGAAAGTCATGTAAAGTGCCTTTCCTAAGGGCACAAGATCGGTGGCATGGGTAGGGTTTGAACCTGGGACCTCTCGGTTCAAGGCCAAACGCACTACCGTTACGCCACACGAAATACTATGTATACTATGTACTAAGTATGAAATACTGATTGAAATCTGCTAATGTGAAGTAGCATGTGTCAATATCATAAAGATTGCCTTATTCATAATATTTCCAGTTTTGCTGCTCTGAAATCGCATTGGATGCCTTTAAGTGATATATGTCTTGTGTGATATATTAAACTACAGGTGTTTGGCCCGGACCATCCAAAGACCTTACAGAACAAAGCAGTACTGGAGGAGGACACATACCTAGCAGTGGCCAGACAGATCCAACTGGAGGCAGAAAACAGGGGTGTACAGGACGATGATGACAATGATGGATTCTTTGATGACTCAGACAGCGATGAGGGTATCGATGAGGAAGATAACACAGAAGACAACAATGTACAGGAAGAAAGGCAGGAGCCACTGTAGGAGGACCAAGACTATTCAATTGCTATCTATGCATGTGCAATTTTTTTTACCATTATTTAGGACAGTTGTGATTGTGTGAGCAAAAGAAGGAACAAGATCCCAGTGTTGATGTCACACTTCAGAGAAGCCATGTGACAAGTCTCACTGGGGCAGTCTATTAAAGAAGACCAGACTGACTGGTTGAAAGCTCTAGTCCAGTTGAGAACAATCCCCACTGTTGGAACAAACGTTTTAACTTTAAACAAAATCTGAACCTTATGTATACAATTATGTGCATGACAGAAAAGGTACAGAGGGCCTTCAGAAAAATTTGGGTATTTTTCAGATGTTTTTGGTATATTTGGTTTTGGTACACTAAATTTCCTGTGCAATGGCAAATTTGGCACACTTAGAATAAAGTGTACGGGTGAGTAGGGCCCAGTTACATGTAGAAATATGTACAAATGTTGTTAGAGGAGATTTTAATGCATTTTGTACCAGAAAACAGTATACAAATAATGAAATAGGTATGAAATGTCTAAGATAAAAAAGATGCCAGACAAAGAAGGGCGTCTCAGGAAGTCTCAGGGTAATAGATACTAGGTGTCCCAAGATCTTATCCAGTTGCTTGAGGAACTGCTTTTTGGTGTATCTTATTACCTGGATGTCTAACCTTCATCGATGTAATAGATATTAGCACTAGAAATGGGGAAGGGGGTGGTGGCCCAAGGAAGTTAAAACAAGAGGACTGCAGAAAGGATATGTACAACCCTCCTGGTTTGCCTCTAAGTAAATGACCTGGTCCTGAAGTCCAGGGTAACTTTCATATATCTGTATCAGTATAGCTGGTATAACTTCCCTTCTGCATAACACACCAGCTTCACAGGCACACGGCACAGTGGCAGCTAGCTATATCACACTGAATGACTTGTTACACTCAATCTTTGCACATTAATTGCAGGAGGTGTTTAAAGCTTTCTAGTGATGATGCCCCAACTGTGCTTGATGGTAACGAGTTCCAGTCTATGATATTTCTAGGGAAATATGAGTTACGAGTTTTTGAACACATCAATTTTTGGTTGATAACTCTGATATATGTACATTGTGTACATAAGCATGCCTAAATATTCACATTAGGTTTAGTAATTTGATTTTTGTCACAAGCATCGTGTGCAATAGCTGCATGTAACAAAGTGACCTGAGACTTATCAAGTTTGTTTTTAATGTTCATTTTTGTTATATATCAGATAATCTGGAGATGGTTTGGCTATTTTTCCACTCTGTACATATTTTACATAAATAGCTTTATACCCGAACACCTTTTGTACCTTTTGCGTTTTGAATTTTAGTGTGAACATTCAAGGAGAGAAAAAAGTGTAAAGTACTTTAAGAAAGTCAACATGGTGTTTTGCACTAGTAGAGCAGAAATATTAGTACAATCATGAAGTTAGAAAATCAGATGGTATATGTACAATATACTAAGTAATTTTATATTTTGTTTGTTTTTATTGTGTGCTCTAGATGACAACTTATTACACATGCATGATCTTCTTCAAGCTTTCATTCTCTTCCATAACTTGAAAGTAATTGCTTCGTAGTGAGGACCTCTGTCTTTTAGATGAAGAACTACATCTACTCTTTTGCATTTCACCTTGACATGATCCAGAGAACAATCCAGCTGTTGACTCACAGCTGGTCCTGCAGTGTGGTCGTAAACCGCTGTGCGGCGCCACTGAGTGGTAGAAGTTTACTGTGCTAGCGAAGCCAACTATCTGCAGGCAATTTTCTGCATCCTCGCAAAATAAATGGCTTCTGTGGTACGCATTTTACAATGGTACAACAATGTGCAATATAACTTAACCCTAAACAGTACACCTGGGGTCCGCGCGGACCCCAGCACTATATATTCTGTAATATCTTTTTTGTTTCTAAAGATTTTTTTCTGAAATTTTAGGTAATTGTCACCCACAAAGTTGTCTCTCAATACAGTGCAGAAAACTCCGTTTCTACCATTTATAAAAAAAATTATATCTGATTTTCTTTTGGGGTCCGCGCGGACCCCAGCCGGCTTTCGATCATAATGGATACACTAGCGTTCTTATACATTACCTTATTTCCGTTTTCATATGTTTCTATGCACTCATCGTATGTCTACTAAGTTTTCAGAGAATGGTGTAGTAATAGAATTAAATTTCAATAACTTTGGTGTAATTATGACGTCATATGACGTCAGAGCTAATAATATAGTCCGCCATATTGGATTTTGACCAATGACGTCATCAAATTAGCATATTCTATGCATATTAAATGATTTAACTTATATTTAATTATGTAAGATGTTATTAATGTTGGAAAAGAAGTGTAATTTAATATAAAACTCAGAAAATTTTTATGTTTAAACCAAAATTACTTCTTATTTCAAAAAAACTGCCTGCTAGAAACCCGTTGCCATGGCAACACAAAAAAACATCAACTTACTAGTATCAAACTAATATGAACTTTTTTCCAGAGACATTTTAGGAAAGATCTCCAAATTTGATACTTCTAGCGCAAGCCGTTTAGCCGCTATCTGAGATCAAAGTTGGGCCTCAAAAGCCCCTTCAGTCTGAAATGGGTTTAAAAATCGGGTATTTCTTCTTGTCTTCTTTTCTTCACCAAAAAATAGAAAAAGTTCAAAATGTATGATTTTTGTATGTAATATGGACACAGAGGTGCCCACATCAGTTTGCAAAACAATTGAGCTGGTAGCATGTTGATAATTTCTAAAAAATTAGCAAAAAAACTGTTCTGGGGTCCGCGCGGACCCCAGGTGTACAGATTAATCAGTCCGGGAAGGTGTACTGTTGAGGGTTAAAGCGCACGGGGGAGTTGCTTGATGGGCCGGAGGTCGAATAGACTTCCATAGAGACAAGTTCTTTTGGCATCCTGCCAAACTGTCTGACAGTAAATATCTGCGTATGGAAACGTACAAGGGACAGAATGTTTAGAGGTATTCTTTAAAATTCAAGTAAACATTAACGTATTAACAAGTAGGCAAGCAAACGAACGAACGAACAAGCAACCGACGAAAAATATACCGTTAGCCTATTAACATTAAATATTGAAAGCAACTTTTTTTTGCCAAACTTTTTTTATTCGCTCGCTCGCATCAGTTTTGGGGTTCCCAGGGGATGCCATCCATATAATCAAATCAACATGGCCTTATCAGTAAATCGCGCCGCCTAGCGCCCCGGGCTGTCATCACCTGCTCCCGGGGAGTCGCAGTGGGTAGCCTCCTATGCAGGCGTTCCCGGTGCATTTCGTTTTGGGGGAGGAAGGGGGTAGCCTCTACCAGGCGTCGAGAGCGCGGCTGGGAAAAAAGGAGTGGAAATTGGTCGAATTCTGGAGCGGCAAACTGTACTTTCTCATAGACCAACTCCATTAGCATGTCCTCTGTCTAAGTAATTGGTCAATTTCTTTTACTAGCCTTTTCCCGAAGCCCGTTATAGAGGCTATGTAAAGGGAGGGGCGCTGCTTTGCACTATTTTCTGACTAGCCAAGTTTTCTGTTCGAACGCTCTTTTTTGATAGCCTGGGTGCCAGACCCATAGCACACAGGACACAAAGTATCTCCCTGGAACGCCTGCTTTTTTTTCGCTGCCGACAATGAACCCCACTGTTACACATAATAATTTGTTGCAGACCAAACCCTGAACGCCTGTGAAGGAGGCTATCCTGTGGTCCGTGTGGGAGGAACACACACAGCAAACGCCACATCTTGAAGTCTTCAGCCGGCCTCGTCACGTCACAACACCCGGCCGTGCGTTACCAAGGTAACCAGGTCAAGTCAGCTCCGCCGCTCCGCAACTGTTTATTTCGACTTGATGAGACCGAGTCGTGCACAAACAAGCCGGCGTGTGGACGGTTGTAGTTGTACATGCTGGGACGCTGAGAGAAGAAGCTCCCAGCGGTACCTACACGTTTCAAACCTGAGGTAGACGAGATATTTCTTCAGCATTCCTTGGCGCACTTCCTTGGACTCATCCTCTCGCGGCACGTAGACCACTAGGAAGACAGCCCCCCGCGCAAGGACAGATCGGGGGCAGGAGGAAAACGTACGATCTGTTTGGGATATCATTCGTGTTCTAGTCGATCTCATGAACACTACAGGATCGGCTTGACGCGAAGTGGTGCGGAGAAATGGCAACGACGTCGTTCGGAGAGACGTTTTTGGTTGCGAATGAAACGGCGGCAGGTGGAGGAACGACCGAGGAGGTCCCGACATGGCTAACCTGTCTTGAAGCCACCTTCATGATCGTCATCTTCATGTCTTCAGTAATCGCCAACTTGATCGTCTTCGCTCTCTTCTACAAGAAGCCGTCCCTTCTGAGCATCTCCAACCGTTTCGTCTTGAACCTGGCGGTGTCGAACTTCCTAATGTCTCTGCTGGTGACTCCGTCGGTGCTGGTGTCGGCCATGGCCCGCAGCTGGATCTTCGGAGACGCGCTGTGCCAGGTACGTGCCCGTCCGCTCCGTCCAACACACACTCAGATATACACATAGACGAAACCTTAACTTATTAACACATTACTAGCATGGATACCAGACCCATAGCACGATAGGATAATTTAGATAAATGAGGGGGCTGTGGTATAATTTCCTTGGGTGCGTGTTGGCTCTAGAGCCGAGGAACGTACCTGTTGAAGGCCCTAGAAACAGTCTGGCACGCAAGACTACCAGGCACCGAAAGGTATCGACATCTTTGGGTTGACCCCAACTTAGAGACAGTTTTACCCTTTGGATATAAGTTAGATAACTGAGGGGGGCTGTGGTATAATTTCCTTGGGTGCATGTTGGCTCTGGAGCCGAGGAACTTGCCTGTTGTGTGCCCTGGAAACAGTCTGGCACCCGGACTAAGTACTAGGCATCGGCATCTTTGGGTTGACCCTAAGTTAGAGACAGTTTTACCCTTTGGGGAGTAGCTTGGCGCCTTTGCCCTCAGGGATGAGTGAACTTGACCGACAAACAGGCCCGTGTAATGCGGAAGTCCTGTCTCTCGGGAGGAGGGCTGTGGTGAGAGTCAGAGGCCGGGCCTGCTCGGGACAAGGCCGGGGAGACTTAGCGACGAGGGCCCGGTAAATGAGAGGCGCTGAGAGACGGGCGTACAATGGGGCATCTCTCCGATGTATTGGTAAAGAAGTTCACACGAGGGCACCTGCCATTTCCACCAAACACAGATCCTCCTTCAGGAAATCAAACGACGCATGCAGTAGGTCTGGGAGAGTAGAGATCAGTAGACTGTACTAAAGTACACAGTAGCTACACATATTATGGCGGCCCTTAACGTCTGTATTAGTGTATTTTTGAACGCATTGCAACGACACAGGTTTAGAGTGGGTATAAGTTATGAATCTTGATGAAATGAAACATGACGAAGAGATTTGCGATGTTTAGTTTACATGTTCAATCTACATCAAATTGGAACCGTTACTTCAAAACCACCACATGAAATTTAAGTTGCCAAAACGTTCACACTTGAAATTGTACCGATAAATTTATGTTCAGATATTTCAGATGGTAGTACGTACAAATTGTTTCAATGTGGTGTTGAAAATGATTTGTGTTCGATAAATCTTAAGCAAACCGGGAAACTTGTGTTCTTCTCTGTGAAGACTTCGGAATGGCACGCAGTGAGTCCAACTGAGAAGAAGATTCTATCGATAAGACATTCTCAGCAGACGCGTTAAATAAGATACACGTGTATAGGTTGAAACCGAAATACATCATTCTGAAAGATATATAAGAAAAGGTGGCTACCTATTTTAGGCCATTTTCAGTTCGAAGCAGCGGACATTTTCTTCTGAGAGATACCGCCTGCGATGGATAGGTAGAAATGTTTACAAAAAGTCGACTTTGCCAGAAATAAAGGTTCTTTGAATGTCCATTTCGAGCGTAATTGAAGAGAAACTGTACATTTTTCCTCTACTTGGAAGGAATGCTAAGATTGTGAGGAAATCCTTTAAATAGATTCAACCGCCGTAGTACCAGTATCTAGTCTATCGTGGATTGGGCGGGCTTTCTTCGGGGCTAGAAGATCTCCGCCGCCCGACTCAACTAGGAGCTCGGTAGAATTTTTTCGCGGTTGGAGTTAGCCGTCCAACTTTTCGTATTTCACTGTAGGAAGTACAATATTTCACTTTCACAATGATGTCCTCGAAATTCACGTCAGAGGAAACTAAAGCAAATAGGAAGACCTATTTTAAATCCATTCACAATAAATACAGAGGAAGATAGTTTAGTCTATATCCGACCGCAATTCTATGATGTCCAAAGCGTCCACAAGAAGAAAAAGACCAATGTTATCCCTCCCAAGTCCAAAATCTCAAGAATTTTAAGTCTATGTATGTATCAGTAAGTTGTATACTGTATCTAGTTTTCTCCTTAATACTAGTATTAGAACATCAAGGGAAGAATCACTCTGTGCATTTGGCATAGATTCTGAAGGCATTCCGTCTTATTTCTTTACGGTATAGATACACTGGCTACCGACTTCCAAAGTCTCAAGAATTTTAAATCTATGGACGAATCAGTAAGTTGTATACTGTATCTAGTTTTCTCCTTAATACTAGTATTAGAACATCAAGGAAAGAATCACATCATACATTTGGCATAGGTTCTGAAGGCATTCCGTCTTATTTCTTTACGGTATAGATACACTGGCTACTGACTTCCAAAGTCTCCAAAGAATTTTAAGTCTGTAGACGTAACTGTAAGTCTTACATACTGTATCTATTTTTCTCCTTAAAGGCATCCAAAGAAGTGATTTCAGGGTGGAAAAACTGGATGTCCAAAGTCAATTTTCTGGTCATTCTTTTAATCTAGTAAGTTGAATTAATGCTTTCCCATAGCATACTGATATCTGTGAGGCAGAAATGCGATGTCGCTGACGGAAAACGGTTGCTTGCTCTGTATCGTAGGCCGGTTCTAGCTATTTACGGGTGGTACCCAAAAATAAAGAGACGCCTCACATAGCTTGTATTTATGCCTATTTCAAATGCTTCGGAATGGGGACGACTATGTAAGAAATGGCAGTAAACTTTAAGGTACAGTTGCGGCATTTCTTTTGGCGTTGGCGTTCATGATGCTACAATTTGATTGGTGGAAATCTTAATTAGATTTTCACCGCATGATTAGCCGGTTGCTCAGATCATAAGCCGGGATTGGTTCATGGCTTGAAGTGATGAGAGAAGTTCTGTGTGGCAGGCTTTGCCTCTGCTTTGGTGCGGTGCCGACATAGTTTCTACCGCACAATAACAACATTGACCTCAAAGACTCCATCAATACCTCGGCCGCACCTCTGGCTCAAGAGGTCCCCGCTAACTTGCTTTTGGCTCGCCGCTGTGTTTGTACGAATTTCCGCTGGAATTTTCCGGAAAAAAATACACTAGGCCTAGGAAAAATTCGGTTACCCGACCGACCCTAGTCTAGTACACTGGACCGAATTCAGAACCGGACCTAACGTTTCAGTTCAACACAGCACGAAAACAGACATTTAAGCAAACTTTCCGCAATATGTAAAGAAGTATTAAAGGTGAGAAAATATCTCAGTAGACTTTACGACTTTGTAAAGGCTGCTGAAAGGCAAGTTTCGCCACCTTTCAGTGTGCTTAAATTCGACGTAAACATATTTCATATCTTTACGCTTCGTTTACAAATCCGTAAATATATTGCAAGTCTAAATACCAGTGTACTGGTGCATTTCAATGTATATTAACTGTATTTGTTGGATCAGTTTGGCTAAAATGTAAAACAAGAAGAAGAAATCAAACAGTGAATCCCTACCTACCGACCTTTTTTTAGAATGTAATACGAAACACAGCATTAATTTTCCTAGGCCCTATAGTATACGTAGACCTCTCACAGTGGTTTCAGTAGTATGGATGGACCGCACAGTCTTCTGTTTTACCTCAATGTCAGTACGAACTATCATGTCTGTGTAACGTTACAAAAAACTAGGTCAACCAGAACCTTTCATGTGTTTCGACTCTTTGGATCTAAGAGGTTCTGTCAGTTCTTGAGGGTGACACCCCGGCCGAAGTCGTCTTCAGTCCTACAAACAAAGACGTACGATTGACGTACTAGACTTAGAGATGGTTAAATCCTTGTATAGAGGAATTGGATGTGTCACAAGGCGTGTCTGTAGTCTTTAGGGCTTGGCCGTACATGCATACGTCGTACGATCGACGTACGATTGTCGTACGAAACTGAATGCATTTCCTGGACAGTCATGGATGCATTGTGCATAGTTTATCTGTCCTGTTGTGGAAAATGCTGCCTTTTGTCGATTGGTGTAATGTATAGCCAGCTGCCTCCGCGCCACGTGCCTGCGAAGCTGGTGTGTAACGCTGAAGGGCGGTTATACCGGCTATACAGATACAGATACAGACCGCGCCACAACCAACTGGACTACAAGGCACAAATTCGGGACGGAAATATTAACTGTCTAAGTTTAAACACGATTTAACTATAAGACTTGACTCAAGTCGATGCCTGACTTTATTATATTTCCGATGAGAGAACTTTTTGAATACCATGCTTCCATGTTTTGAGAACGTCCTTGGTATCGCAATCACATAAGGTCACCAATAAACATTTTTAGATACGGGACCTTCCGTGAAAAATCGTTCAGTCCATTTTAGCAAGGTTTGCCTCGAGTAAGGTTTATGTTACATTCCAAACGCTGAATACCAGATTGGCTACCCTAGAATTGAAGATAATTTCACCGCGACCTCTAGATGTAGGGAAGACGAGCCGTTCTATGGCCTTGTCTGTTTCTTTGAATCTGAGTTAGATAAATTATAAACAGTCACATGTCATAACACGTGTCACACATACACCTCGAGAATTTAGCCATCACACAACGTTGTTACCCTGGGTGCCAAACTAGTATCGGGCCGTTAGCCGTTTTCCTTCGGCAGCCAAGAGCCCTTCCCCCACCTATCTAAATTACCGCTACGGGGGATTTGAGCCCGAGGGGTTTGTCCGGCCCTATTACTATCGTTTGTAGGGCCAGCCAAACTCCCCCCGGGCTAGACTCCCCAGTAGCGGTAATTTACACCAGCGGGCGAAGGGGCACGGAAAACGAGTTTGGCTTTCAGGGTAGGGCTAATACAAAGATTTAGTATCATCCTGTGTCTTCACAAGAAAATTTAAGATTCATGAACAGACAGTTGATTCTTCATAAAGCAATACTGTAAGACAATCTCTGTATCGTGAAAAGCGTACAAAATGCATTCGTTAAAGCATTAATATTACGTAAGTCAAAGGGAAACACGAGAAGAGCCATACTATATTGGCTCCAAACACTAACTGGACCAACCTTGAGAGAAGTAGAACATACTTGATTCAACTAGTTCGTGCTTGATCTAACAATGGTTTCAGCAAAGCATTCGAAACATTAATTGATCGAACGCTCGTAGTTAAAAATTTAAGAAAAACAAAAACATACTCTTACGTAATATTTAGGTCATATTTCCAAACCGGGGCCCGGCCGGGGTGTTTGCGTGAACTAGAAATAAACAATCAATATCAATAATATACACAACTGGTGCTCATAGGCTAATTTGTTTCAACGTTTCTTTGTTTTATTGTCTTTTATGATATACTTTTCGTTCTCAGTTGGTGTAAGGCGTTCCACGTTCCCGGTAACTGCCCGGCCGGGCCCCGTTTGGAAATGTGACCTTAGCATAACTGTGTACTTAAAATAATATGTAAATGAACAGTCAAACGTCTACAAACAATTTTATCTAAGATATTGATACAAAAAGATGAATAGCTTTTACCCTATAGCACGATGACCTTTCCATATTGTAAAATTACAACAACAGTAACAACTATAATTAGATTTTGACTTAAAGCCTTACCTGGCACGTAGCTGAAATTATTTTGTGGGAAGTTTAGTCGCCATGAAGAATTGATATCGTGTGCGAGCATCATTGATTCGTTTTGTTCTTCCGGATACACAACCCAGAGTAAGGAAAACAAATTAAGATTTGGAGGAGCGTAGTGTGTTTTCTTGACGATTTTTTTGGGATCTTTTCATCACATATCAGTTAGGCCATGTTGATTTGATTATATGGATGACATCCGCGCGCGCATGGATTTTCGGCCGTTTAAAAAAAGTTTTCAACCTTACTGTAAATCGTATACAAAACAGTTGCAAAATGAGGAAATATATAAGCTGAAAAAAAAAGAAACATTGGAAAACGATACCAATGTCGTAGAATACCAAAAGGAAACAAAAAAGACGAAACTGTAAAGAAATGAATTTGAAGACTAGATTATTCGCCAAACCATACTCTGTGTCATTTGTTCAACCTTCAAAACCACGTAAAAGCAACTTTTTCTTGGCCAAACTCTTTTTTTATTCGCACGCTCACATCAGTTTTGGGGTTCCCAGAGGATGTCATCCATATAATAAAATCAACATGGCCTTAGTTGAATATGAAGATTATCACATTGTACATTGTATAATGGTATTCAGAGTGCGGAATTGGAATATAATGTCATCGTCCCATATATACTACTAGTTTTATCAGTCGGATTTTTTTCCGTTTTCGCCAAAATTTTACACTGAGTCCCTTTAAGACGATATTTTTGTCCAGAATTTGGAATTCTAAAATTACATTATTAAGTGTCAAACCTTAGACCACCGCCCTGACCCTACCCACCACCTGTTTCGTGCAGTGACCTGAGCAGTAAGAGACACACGGAGGAGGTGGTTTTTGTTTACGGAGGTATTTGGGTCGGGCTATTTTTAGCGGGGGAAAAATTAACGGCAAATCCAGATCTGATCTGATCTGACCAGACTGTCAGGGACCTGACGAAAGAGAAACAGCACGTCACATCTAACTCCCTTGCCAGGGAGATAGTCTTTTTCGTTTTTTTTTTCGGGCCAGCGAGTGCAAAGAGCCCCGCTACAATTTATGTGAATCTTTATTTGCATGTTCATGCCCATGTGACTAAATGCATACATCGGAGTATCATACGATGTTACATGTATATCATACTGAGTGACATAGTACATAGGATAGAAGGATAAAAGAATAAAGTTAAAGTCTAATAAGGAACTACTAGAAAGTAATCTAGGTCTTGAGGATTTCTTCAACTAGAGATGAATTCACATAGTTTTTTCTATTGTGTGGTCATTACTGGTAGACATGAAATGACTGAATACCTCTTTCTTTGTTCTACCTTCATACAGTTTGTCTAAGTGTATTGTTCTAAATATTATGTCACGTTCGGTATCATACAATTTACAATCAAGTACAAAATTACAAAGTTACAAAGCCTTGACACCCAGGCTATCGCCGAGATGACTTAGAAACAAATTAAGTGTGTTAGTCTAGTCTCTACCAGCTGCAGACTAACTACGCTGGCTATATATAGGAGAATATTTATTACCAGGGGAGTTTGGCCGCCTTGTAGGTTTGACTGGCCGCGGAGGGAAAGAAACTACCTCCCCGCGGCCGGACGCCCTTGGCCAATTTTACTCTCTTTTTGCCGCTACGATACGTATTCCCGTAGTGTCAGTCAGTTTGGTAGTAAGAGTGACGGTAGTAGACCACGTAGCCAGAAATAATGATCACATATTTAGCTTATCGCCACTTGTACAAATTACGACGGTCGATAAAGACCGATTCGTTCCATTCTGCGATGAATCAAGTTAATACGATCAAAACAATCTGTTTTGTTTCCGTCCTAAATACTATCTGAAGACTGACTTCCCGTCCGCCATTGGTCCAAGTTGATCACCCCACGGTGGGTATTACTATGGTGCCACCAGCGATCGTAAGGTCGTTGACATTATAAACAGGTTACACAACTATGAAACAATGTTTTCTTGCGAAACAAGCTAAGGCCACTGCAAGTACATTTTATGGATAACATCCTCCGCAGACTCTAATGCGAGCGTGCGAAAAAAACAAGGAGGGCCGAAAAGAAAAAAACAAGGTTCCTACATTTTAAAATTTTGACTCAATCATTGTACAAATGGTTTTGATTCAGTGGGAACATCACATATACACAGCCACCATCACATATCACTGCATCAAAGTAAGAAACAAAACATTAAATCAGAGCCTTTTCTTGTCTCCTCTCTTCATAGTTATCTGCCACCCACCTTCCGGCATGGCAACAGACATCTTTGCCCATTTTAGGCATGTTGACCACTGTCAGAGGGCAACAAAATTTCTTTTTTTTTCTCTCCAAAATCAGGCGCGCGCTGATGTCATCCATAAAAATTACTTGCTGTGGCCTAAACATTCATTGACTGGATTTTACTGAGAGGAAAGAATGTACAAGATTGATAGATGCACGATAGACTGGATACTTGGCTTAATACAATGTAACTTGACCTCTGCATTATGCTGTCCAGTTTTAGATTTTTAGATAGAATTAAAAAAAAATCACTTTCCTCATGAAACGCATGTAGACCATCTGTTCTTACATTTACAACTGTCTTAAGAATCGAGAAGAAGCAGAACCTGTACATATGTAGTTTTACTATAGATATATTTTAGTCTACCATGGCTATTTACCATGACCTGTACTTAGTTCGCAAAAATGTACAATAATGGTCTTTTCATTCATTCTTTATACCAAAACACAACTATAAATGCCCACACTTGTACACCAAAATCTCGGTCTTGCGAGCTCGAATAAGAACATCATTGCCATCATTGAAACGTGACCAAAATCAGACTAGACGTCGAGTTGGCGGCATTTTGTATCGTTCTATTTTTACCATCGCACATCTGCTTTTGATAGCGCGCGCGCTTTACATGTGGCGCAGTGATATATATCTTTTCTAACGTTCCATGGCAGATTTGGATATTAGAAGTGTGTGATCAGTCTGGGATGCATATCAGCCTGGTTTCCAGTCCTATCCCGGTTTGGGCGAGCTATCTTCGGGCCTATAGACGATCCCCGCCGCAGTTTTACGCCTGTAGGATTTTTTTTCACGGCAGGAGTGATTGAACTCCCGTCATGTAAAACCTACCGAGGAGTCTAAATAAACTGGGCGGCTGGGATCGTCTACATGTATACAGGCCCGAAGATAGCTCACTCAAAGCACGATAGGACTGGACCGTGACCAGGCTGATGCTTACGCACAGTGTGCGACACGCTATCGTTTGTACAAATATACAGCACCACCTGTTACTATGTTCACTGCTCCATGTGTCCTTCCTCTTTTCTTACAATTTGGAAATTGGAAACAGTGTTTAATTTTCGGCACTAGGTAAAGGTTCGGTCTTGTGTCCCAGAAATTCGTCCTTCCTCTTTTCTAATTAGAATTTGGAAATTCGAAATAGTGTTTTAATTTTTGGAAGTAGGTAAATGTGTCCCGAATATTCGTCCTTCCTCTTTTCTTAAAATCTGGAAATTGGAAACAGTGTTTTGGGACCAGGTAAAGGTTCGGTCAAGTATCCCGAATATTCGTCCTTCCTCTTTTCTTAGAATTTGGAAATTGGAAACAGTGTTTTATTTTTGGCGCTAGGTAACGGTGCGGTCACAGTCGCCAGAGGCTTGTAAGGTCTTCTGATCTTTTGCCATGACTAAATCAGATCCATAAGAAGATGTTGTCTGCGGGCTATCTGTAATACCAATGACACGCACTGCTGCGAAGACAGTATCAAATTGGCCAGGCAATATCCATTTGCCAGGCAATACCATTTGGCTAGCGTACGAAAAGGTACCAGTACAAAAAAGAAAGCATGATAAAAACGCCTTAAAACACATAAGAAATAAGCCGAAGCCAAAGCCTCTGCAAGGCTCCATAGTCTTATGTAAAATCTGATATAGTCGAATCCTGGCGTCAAGTTCGAAAATTATTCACCTGGCGTTTTCCAACAGTACTGCAGACGGCTTTTTATGCATTGTTGTTTGTATGTGTAGAACATAACTGAGATCGTGGAACTCTAGTTTTATGATGGTATATGGACTTGTGTTACAGGTGGCCGGAGTACTGACCACGCTCCTGTTCGCAGCCAGTATCTGGACACTGGTGCTGGTCAGTCTTGACCGGTACTGTGCCATCATCGCGCCGCTGCACTACGCCATGCGGATCACCCCTCCGCGCTGTCTGTACATGATGGGCGCCGTGTGGCTGGTGTCTGCCGGGCTGGCCGTCCCGCCTGTAGCCGGCTGGAGTCACATCCAGTACCAGGCAGAGAAGTGCTCCTGTACGGTGGTGTGGGAGACCAGCAACCGCACTGACAGGTTAGTGTCACGAGTCTAGCCTGATATTCAGTGTATTGTAGATTGGGTGGACGTACAGGCTACTTGGTCTAACTCATAGCAAAGGAGCTGGCCTGTGTAGGTCCTGGAAACAGTCTGGCATCCAGGCTATTCTGGTACCCACTCTATTCGGAGCTATGGGAACTAGGTACGAGGCTTGTGCGGTTGGAACTGGAGTCCTACCGAGTTCACAGTTGAGCCGGGCGGCGCAGAGCCCCTACAGCCCCGAAAAGAGCCCGCTCAATCTGCGATAGACTGGATACCAGAATAGCCTGGATGACAGACTGTTTCCAGGACCTACACAGGCCAGCTTGTGGGTTCTGAGTTAGACCCTGGGAAGCTGACCTGTGTACAGCTTGTAGGCCCTGGAAATACTAGTAGTCTGGCGTCAAGGCTTTTTTTTTGGTCACTTTCCTCTCTCCTTCAATACATGTTCATATTCTTCATCAGCATGTAATCGTTTTTATGAGCGCTTTAAATCCTCATTTACAGTTTTCTTTTCCCCAATCAACAGGTATTACACCATCTTCCTAGCCGTGGTGTGTTTCGGGCTGCCGTGCCTGATCATGGCGGGCGCGTACAGCCGGATCTACCGGGCGGCGCAGAAGACCACTGCCCGGGCCCGCAGGAACAGCGTCTTCCCTGAGCCGAGTTCCAGCACTGTCACAGGTAAATACTACATCAGTTTTGCTCACACCAGTCCTTATGAAGCTGTTGATATTACTGGCTTCTAATTACATGTAATATAAATTCCACGCATGTTCATGGATATGTTTATGGATCTATGTTAAGTATTTTTGGGATTTAGTTGTCTGTATTTGTGTGTTAGCTTAGCAATGAGTGTTCGTTGGTATTTGAATGCAGTAGAGTGTTCGCGAGAGGGGAATGTAAAACCGCAGATTGACCTTAAGCCTTAAGGTCAAGTTGGCGGTTTCAGTGGTCTCCCCGCACACTAGAAGTATAGTCCATCCGCTCAGGCTAGCCCATAAAAAGTATAGTGCGAAAAAGCTCTAATTGTAGTTGTAATTCATAATTTTTAACCTTACGTAATAATTGTTATAAGTCCATGATAATGTATGTATGTACTGTTACCATAATTCAGTCTTATGACTGCAAGTGTGACATCTGTGAGTGAAATTTCAAATTTCAAATAAACCATTCTTATTATTAAAAAGTATCAAGCATTCTTTGAAAGGTGCACTGGAGCATACTAGTGATATATATTCAGGATAAGAATTGCGACTTTAAACGGACATAGGATGACATGGTAATCTTTTCTTTTCCTTATTTCAGGACTTCGTACTCCGAAGAGACGGCCCAGCACCGACAGCCTCTCCAAGAGAAGGTCTAGCACGGACAGCATCCGGTCAACCTTCCGGGGCCGGAGAGCGTCCAACGCGTCCGACCACCCCATGGCTCACATCCGGGACGACTGGATCGCCGCGAAGACAGGCATGGTGGTCATGTCCACCTTCCTTCTCTGCTGGATTCCACACTTCACCGTCATGGTCCTGGAGTCGACCCTGAGCCAGCCGAACCTGATACCGTCCTGGGTGGAGAGGCTTGCGCTGTACCTGGCGCTGTCGTCCTGCACGGTGAACCCCGTGGTGTACGTGTTCCGTTCCCGGGTCATGCGGTACCAGCTGCAGGCCCTGTTCGCTCGGACGAACTGCACCGCCAGTGGACGCAGGGAGCGGGTCTTAGAGCTGACCACGACGTCAGACTCCAACCAGCTACAGGTACGAGAAAAAAACAACAACAAAGGCCATGATTAGCATGAAAGTTCATCTGAGTTGGTAAATTACATTATGAAAAAATTAAACTGTTCTCCAACTCATAAATTTCACTCACCGGAGGATCTGGAGGGGGTTAGAATCTTGGATACCGAATTACATCAAGAGAGGCATAAAAGGGCCATATACATCAGGGCACTTCAACCTTCGCTCAACCGGGACTTCAGACAACCTTTGACCCTTTGCTGACGTCACAAGTGGAAAAAAATCACGTATCGGCAAGATTTTGGGTCAGATAGCTGAGGCCATGAAATATTAATAACAGCACATATGGAAAAGTTAAACTGTTTCCATTAAAATTGGACTCATGGTAATTTTTTTACTGACTCACTCAGACGTCTTACACGTGTGACGTCAGCTAAAGGTCAAAGGTTGTTGGAAGTCTATATCGCCCCCCGTCCTGGTAGAGACAATTTTGGCCTTATGCCTGTCACAAATTAGATCATGTTTGGTATCCCGATATTTTTTCGACTTGGATAACAGTTTACATTTTCCATATGTAATTTACTAGTACCAACTCAGTTGAACTTTTGTGCTAAATATTGATACAGTCATCTTGTAGTAAAATTTAGTGACAGCCTGTTAGTTCACCGACCGTCCAACAATGCGTGAGGTAGACCTAAGGCACATAGTTGGTAAACCGCCACCCTGGCACACACCAACACTAATTAGCCAGCGCTGGCAAGTGCAGCTAGATGACATTTGGTTTTTGGCAGCGCACTTCGGGCGTAACTTTATTCTTTTCTCCCATTGTAGCGATCTCTTCGAAATGTTTCTCTACGATGTTCTAGCTACCAGGCTAAAGTCTAAGCCCGTTGTGTTATTCCTCCGCAGGTAAACAGACGCCGTGCCTCGGGCTCATCACTCCCCACCACATCCACCTGCGCAAGTAGTTCCTCCCAGTCCACCGCCGGGCGGCGGGAACCAAGCGTCGGCTCATTGGCCAGTTACACCAAGCCCCCCATGGTCACCATCCACGAGCATGATGAGGAGATCACGTCGGCGGTCGTGCACAGCAGCGCCAGTCCCGAGCTCGTCCTGGACTTTAACAGTCTGACGCGGAGATCGTCCGCGGACGGTACGAGTAGCCCGCCACCACCGACCCCGCCAATGTACGTCATCCCGGCGCTAACCGTGTCCGGACCGGGCGATCTAGACGGGTCATCCGAGAACATACACGACGTTCCTCTTCCATTCGGTTGTGTTGTGGACATGGTTTAGGGTAGGAACATGACTCATGCCTTATTCGAAATAGAATACTGTATCAGACACGAGGTCGGTTTAGTGTCACGGGTTCGATTCCTAAACATTTTGTCCTTGGGAAAAGCACGCATAACCACACGCGTTTAGACGAACCAAGGACATTATACCCTGTGTATAATGTCCTAGGACGAACATACAGACAGACGCGTTTGACACGAGAAAGACACGCGTTCGGTACGAGATTGACACGCGTTCGGTGCGTGTTTGGTGCGAGAATGGCACGTGTCCGAATGGGACGTTATACGAGATCTGTACTGTACATACATGTACACGACCTTCCTCAACCCACTAAAGTGTAGAACCAAGGTACCTGACTTCGGTTGGGGAGGTAAAAGGCGGTGGATGGAGAGGGATGGGCTCCACCTACCAAAGAACTTCATCTACATGTAAACACAGTGGATATATAGTCACATGTTTGGATTACGTTGCACTTCCTAGAGAGCATTTAAAAATCAAAATAGGTTTTCTATGGATAGTGCTTTAAAAGTAGAACACACAAATACAGGGTATTCATTCATTCAAATTGTATCTATTTGACAAATTTGTATTTATTCCTCACTGCTGAGCCGTATAGAGCTTTTAGAATGTTCTGTATCATTCTTCTGGACAATCTAGATGAGTACTTGTTTTGTGACAGTTGTATATCATATTTAATATATCATATTATATTATATCACATCATATCATATTTGTAAAATCAATTGATATTCAAAGAATATAATATTACTATTACACGTTACTAATTTATTTGTACAAAGATAAAAGTCTTAAAGCTAGCTATCGAATCCTAACACAACGTTGTCTTTCTACGTAAGTTATATGATTTTATATATTATCCCGAACTTACTTATATTGTGTGTATGATATCGGTTTGGACCCATTGAGTGCTATCTTGTCCTATGGTACGGGTAACGACTTGAACAATTGTGTAAATGAAACGAGCGTTGACCTAATATTACGTGCAATATATTGTATGTCATACACATGGTTTGATAACACCGAATCAATAGCAAAATTAATAAAGATATAGAAATGATCAACAAGTTTGATCCGGTGTCTTTTTTTTTCAAGTCCAGGTGGTATGCCATAACTGATTAGGGATAATGGATTTCATGCCAATTTATAAAATTATAATATATTAATAATATATTATTTATTATTATTTATAATATGGACATTGTCAACGACCTGTTGTCCTTCGTGTATGAATAGGTAAAAATATCTCCAAGAAATGGCAGATATCTGACTTCCTGGATGTATGCAGTCCTTGGCTTCCTGAATCCCCCAACGCCTACCACTTATCCCTGCTAGATATCGGCTAGATTTGGGAACATTCGCGTTCACCCCGTTTCCTGTGTCTGACCTTTTAATGCCCTGTCATTCTGCCTGACAATCTCCCCTCCACCCACGTGCTGTCAACCTACTTTGTCCAGACAAACACATATATACACAAGCCCATAGTTCAGCCACTCAAAACGGTAGAAAAGCACCCCTCCCCAATCAATAATATTCCACGAATGGTTGTATAGATTCAACTTTTGTTAATGCTGAGGTCACATTTCCAAACCGGGGCCCGGCTGGGCACTTTCAATTAACGGAAAATCAACCATTTTTATCACGAATATATGCAAATAGTTACTTAAATCATAATTATTTTTTTTCAACTTTTTTGTGATTTGTTGTCTTTTATAACATATTTTTCGTTCCATAAAACTGCCCGGCCGGGCCCCGGTTTGGAAATGTGACCTCAGCATAACGTGTGAATACATATGCTCGTGTCATATTACATACTGCACTAGCTAGAACGCGTGATGTCAACGTGACACATACACATGTCGATCACTTATCGATCCTGACGTCCTTGTATGCTGAGTTTAAGATCATCACAGTGAGGTCAAATCTCACCTCGATACCGAAATTGTACCACAGATAATAAAAACTTATCAGCAACTTGGCGCGTATTTTAGTAATCTTAGGAAACTTTTGACTTATATCTGTATGTTTTCCTGTCTCAGTACCATTATGTTGACGTAACAGAATTATCAGTCCGACGTTTATTCCTGATAATGAAAACGTGGCGACCATGTGAAATTTCTCAAGACGGCAATTTTCAGAAACTTTTCCTTGAATATTGTCTCAAGATCAGGAATATCTCTGTCGGTGACGTAAAATTTTGACGTTTTCAGATAACGAAAGCATGGTGTCAATGTGACATAAGAAACCTTTTTTTTCAAATTTTGCAGGAAAAAACATTACGTAAAACATTACATTTTGATAATAACGTGACATCAACGATTGTATCTAATTTGTGAAAAATATCATAGCATCGAATAGTTTATAAAATGCTTGTAGTTTTACAACGTAAAATGTTGTCACAACTTGAATCTGATGTTGAATATAGAGACTGTATTGCCTCCTCACGATTACTTTTTCGTCTTCCCTCAAAATCCTCCAAATGACATACTAGTACTTACTGTTTTGTGGCAGTATCTTGATGTCTAGAAATAATAGAATTGACCGGAAATATTGTCTCAATGCGTCAGTCTTTTTGATACCGGCAGCGTGTCATTGTGATATTCTTTTTGGTATTCACGCCAGTTGTGTCATCATGTTTTATATAAGTCTGATGACGCAAACGACTACATTTTTATCAGAGAAACTTGTGTCAACGTGATACCATGTGAAAGGATGAACGTTCGCCCGTTTGCCTTGTATTTGCCCGTTTTCGTGTCTCGTATTCGCTGTGATGACGTAAATATGGTCTCGACAGGATAACGACAACGTGGTGTCAATGTGACATCTTTTAAAATGGTCGTTTGGGAATTTTCTCATGCGTTCAACAGCGGCAGACTTCTTGCTTCTCAGTTTTAGCAATTTTAAAAACATTTTTCCTTAAAAGTGTATTTTTATTTACATGTATCTGTCTCAAATTGATTACCGCGTCAGCCCGAAAACGAAAATCGCTGTTATGATCATGTAACAAATTGCCTGAATTTACCTTTATCAATGCTTACAACGTGGTGAAAACGTGACAATCTTCACTATGATCATTTTGTTTGAAACTTTGCCTTGAAAAAGCATATTTTCTTGTCTCGAAATCACTCTGATGACGTAAACATTGTCTCAATACTGGATGCCTTTTCTGATAACGACAACGTAAAGTCAACGTGACATCCTCTGAAATTATGATTTTGTGACCCACTATCTTTTCCTGTCTATGACTTCTGTCCCAAATTTACCCTAATTACGTAAAATGTTGTTAGATACGGGCGGTTTTCAAACAGGTGACGATAAGGTTGTGTTGATGTGACGTAAGGATGAGGTTTTGAAACTTTTTTAAAACCCTATCTAGACTGGGGGGGGGATAAAAGTGCCCGCGCCAACTTTGATATCGGATAACGTCCGAACGGCTTGTGCTAGGACCACCAAACTTGGTGACTTTTCCTAAAATATTGTTGCCAACAATTTCAGAACAGTGAGATAAATTAATCATTTTTCGTGTCGCCATGGCAACGGGTTTCTGGGGCATTTTTTTTGCAAAAATCAGTAATTTTGACTTAAACAATGAAATTTTCAGGCCTTTATGTTAATTTACACAAATTCCAATACTAATAACATCTTATATAATTTCATAAAATTTTATCAATAATTGTGCATAATTTATGCTAATTTGATGACGTATTGGCCAAAATCCAAGATGGCGGACCATACCATTACATCAGGTACATTGCGGCTATTTTCCTTAAAATTTCATCCCAACTTTGATTTTTTTTACAGAAAAGGTTAATTTGAATTCGAACCTCTTTAGTCTATTCCCATTGTAGTTTTAGGCTTGATCTATTTTCGAAAATTCAATATTGACGATCCAAGATGGCGGACAGTTTGAATATGCATGACGTATTACGTCAAATATGCATGATGTATTACGTCATAATGATATCAAAATTGTTGATATATTTGATTATTACTAGTACACCATACTCTGAAAATTTGGCGGTCATACGATATACCGTTCTCGAGTTCTGAGGGGAGGGGGCGAAATGATTCTCTGTCGACCTTCACGTGCCCTATTTTATCTCACTCCCACATTGAAATCTAGCTCTCACGGACTCCACATATCGAACCTGTCAACGATATCACAGTATCAGGAAGGTCGGAAAATCCTGAAACGATTAGCGGCATTCCCTAGAACGGATTGCTTTGATAAAACGCTGTAAGACGACTTTCTTTATCAGGTGTCTAAAAAAACATGAAGACATCCAGTCAGTGCAGTGAATATATTCATTCCTGATACATGAATATATTCATTCCTGATACAGGATTGTTATGTGTCTGGAAACAAGTAATTCCGTTGGAAATGCCTTGTTTTGCATCCATGACCACGTTTTTCCCAGTAACATGTTCTCCTGATTTGGCTCCTGGCTTCATGCATACAGTTCATTTAAGGTGAGCTCTAAATCAGGTGAATGCAGTCGTTCCAAACGCTATTAACCATCTGTTTGGACCAAGACCTCTCCACCACGAAAATCAAGATTATTCATTCACACATTCGACGTAGGTCGCCGTGCGATTTTGAGGTTTGTTTGTTTCGCATATTAACTGGTAATCCGCCTTTATAGCTGTAACACACCAGTTGTGTACGGTGAAAGCTGCGTAAGACCGGACTGAACCACTCACACCGAGAACTACGCACACTGGGAAGGTTCCCTACTCTTTTCGATAAGTGCGGTGGGTCCTATCCCAGGGACGAACCTAACCGAAGCTAGGTACTCATTTACACCTGAGTGAAGTGATGAGAGTCGTGTAAAGTGTCTTTCCTAAGGGCACAAAATCGGTGGCATCGGGCAGGTTGAAGTTTTAAGCAGATCAGAGGCAGCACAACCCGTCGACAAGGATCTAAACTGCTGTTTTCTTTACAATTCACGAATGTCCAAAGAATTCCTCAAGTTTCCGAACGTGATGATCGTATCACGAATTTGATCGGGCCGGAAGATAACTTATATTTGCCTACATATAGATAACTCATATTTATCCCAATCTCATACAACCATACGGCAGATCTTTTCCCTTTTTGTTGAAGTTAACAATTCCTTCTTGGAGGTAACCCCAACGCGACTGAACCATAACATTTGCAGACCGGGGAATTTCTAGTTCCCTGCCAACGAATTAACACAGGTTTCACATGTACTTTTCTCTGAATGTCTCTCTCCAAATTTTAAAATGGTTTTGACAAACGGATATTGAGTTCAGCATTGTTGCAGTTCACCCGTGGATAAGTTACACTGTGGTTGAAAAACGCAAATATTAGATGGACTTGGCAAGTTGTAGGTTTTTGCAGGTGGTCTTCTAACTTTTCACCTTACTGTCGATCAAGTAGACACTTGAGTTCTAACAACACCTCAGGGTAAGGAAGTATTGCTTTGAGTGGGTTTGTCTGTGGGTTTGTGTGTATGCTTGTCCAGCATGCACACAAATATTAGATAAACTTGGCAAGTTGTAGGTTTTTGCAGATAGGTGGTCTACCTGATCGACAGTAAGGTGAAAAGTTGGAAGACCACCTGCAAAAACCCACGACTTCCCAAGTTAAGTCTATCTAATATTTGTGTTTTTCAACCACAGTGTAACTAACCGGATGGTACCCAGGCTAACTAACCCACGGGTGAACTGCAATAATGGTGAACTCAATATCCGTTAGTCAAAACCATTTTGAAATTTGAAGAGAGACGTGTACGTGTGAGACCTGTGTTAATTCGTTGGCAGGGAATTCCTAGAAATTCCCTGGTATTCTAATGTTATGGTTCAGTCACTTTGGTGTTACCTCCAAGAAAGAATTGTTAACTTCACCTGAAAAGGAAAAATCTGGCTTTTTTCTTGGTTTGGAATCGTTATAAATATGAGTTATCTTCGGGTCCGGTCACGGTCGTTGTCTGATCATCACACAATTGTAAACTCCTCGGACAGTCTGAAAACCGAAGGAAGGCCCACGACAAAAGTCCGCACCGTTACTTCTTTGACACAGTTTTCGGTGTACCCTGTGTACAGTTTACAGTACCAGCAGTCGTATTTCACTTTTTTCCGACATGGCAGAGTGACAAGTGTTTACGCGTGCCGTTGTGTATCAAAATAAAGTTTGTTTGGGGGCCTGTCATCTGTGTCCAGCCATGTTTACTACAGAACGGTCTAGAAGAAACGGAGGTCAATGAACTTTGGGGAAGCCATTGCCTTTAAAGGCATCCAGGGCAGTTTTTAAGGCTTGGAAACCCGATTTTTCAAAGCCAATATTCTAGTCATTCTAATATCTACATACTGAGTTGAAACCGCACTATCCCAGTATATCGTGGAGCAAAAATTCCCAAATTCTAACGGAAAATGATTACTGGAATGGCCCTGGGCTGATTTTTACGGTACCGCTCAGAAAATAAAGGACTAATTTTGGCGCTTGTTTCTGCAGCTTTAAATGCCAAACGAATGAAATGCTGATTTAAATGTGCTAATGTGAAGTAGTATATGTCAACGTCATAAAGATTGCCTTATTCAGAATATTTCCAGTTTTGCTGCCCTAAAATCGCATTGGATGCCTTTAATCTCATCTATTTTTTTTAATTTACCACATTTGTGGAGGGATTGACTCAAAAGGTTGCTATCAATTTTTCAAGATGTCAAACCTTAGGAAGGTTTGTACTGGAAGGACTGTAAGGTTTGAGCAACTCACACCGGGAAGGACCCCTGATCTTCTAAGAGTTGTTGGATCTGAGGTGTGGGTCTCCAGGACCTCCTATCTCAGAGAAGATGTCCCCAACCGAAGCTAGGTACTCATTTTCACCCTGCTAAAGTGTCAATCATTTGACCGAAGAAAGGGAGAGGCGAAATGGGTCAAAAGCGTGTACCGCAAACGTGCCTGTTGATGTGCCAAAAATGTAACGCTACAAACTTTATTTCGGGTTAAGGCGACCTTTTTGCGGTTATTCACCCCAAATGATGGCTAAAAATAAGTGACTTTTAACCCCATTTTACTCCCTGGGGTCCCGGTAAATCGGGGGAGGAACCTCAAAAGGTCGTCTTAACCCAATAGTAATAGCAAACATATTTCTATTCCCCTTTCTCGTATATATTCATGTCAGGGAAGAGATTGCGATCTGAAAGAATCAGCGGTTCTACCGGTAGAGATCCCGATCCATGGACAGAGATCTCGATCAGGATGCTACGTAGACTCCAAATCAGGATCTCTACCTGTAGAATGGGCGATTCTACAGTTTTTGTTTACCGCAGGTTCTACCAGATCGGAGTCTAGATCTCTACCCTGACCACGGTGGTCAAATTTAAGCCCCGATCTCTCCACCTGCTAGCCTGGATGCCCGACCCAAAGCACACTGGACACAAAATATCTGGTGCTCACTGAGATACTTTGTGTCCAGTGTGCTTTGGGTCTGGCATCCAGGCTACCCACCTGTTATAGTTTAATGTAAACAACTAACATTAAAACTATGTAAAAATGATAATTTCAATTTATTTTGACGGAATTCGACTTTCAATACTATTTGTTTATTTTCAAATGTTTTACGGGAAGTCCAAAACAGGCCAAAATAGCGTCTTGTAACCCGACACTTTTTCGAACGCCCCTAGCAATGGAAAAGACTACCGTAGGAACAGACCGCCGTGGACGTACAATGTATACGTTATCTGTTTTTTTCTTAGGCTATGGGGCAACATTTTACACCGATCACAAGACAGTATACGACAGATACGCAGCAGTGCTAAGAATGTTCTGGAATCGTTTGTTGTGCGATGTATGTAAACTGGAATAACACCAGGTTTAATATTACAGCTGGCCTTCAACGGCACTTTCACCGCAACATCAAGTGTCATAATAATACCAACCCACTAGGGGGCAGGTCAACGACCTCAACTAGTGTGTTCTTGACCTAGAAACGACGCACTACCGGTCATTGACCCCGTACGGTGATAGGGTACGGTCACAGATTCCATCAGACCAGACCCATGAGACAAGACAGGGTGAACGACCTCTGGAATTTGTTTTCGTTACTAGGTTGTCACATAAACAGTTTAACTTCCATTTTTGGCAACGCCTCACGAGTGGAGCCCTTTAGTATGAAATCGTAGAGACCTGGTTATTTGAGCCACGTATTTGTGTAAATTTGACCGTTATAAAGTGTAAAATCATGAACAAGACAAGTCAATGATGCTGGTATATAAAGAAGCATTTTCTTCTATTTAGTATCGCTAGTTCACAGAATTAGATGTAATTTTATAACAAAAAAGAAATATCTTCACAAAAACTTGAAGTTTTTAATCATCTACATTGCAGCAACTGCAAAGATGACATATAGGTACACTTTTGTACTAGCACAAGTCTAAATACTACTTTCCTCATTGCCATGATCAAACATGCTTTTATGTTACTGTTTGCAACGCTACATGGCAGGGATATACTTTAAAAATCTGGAATACATATCTACATAATAATATGTATATTATTGCCAGTGATAAAATTAGTACCACAATAAATACATTTCTTAACTTGTTACTTTAGATCTATACAATGTTAAATAACATTGTAAATTTTTGGCAAAACTTTCAATTTATGGATGAAAATGAGGTAATAAATTTGACTGTGTTCCCCAGATGAAAAGGAAGGGACCTGCTCACAAGTTCAGAATCACATCTAAATGTCATCATTTTCAAACAGCCTCCAGTTTAATTCCGGACTTCCAGTTTAATGTCATGGGTTTAGGTCAGGACTTACGAATCTGGAACTGAACCTAAACCTCTGGACTTGAATCCGGACCTGAACCTAAATAAAAATGTGGGTTTAGGTACACAGCACTAGACATGGGCAATAGCAGTTTAAAGATCCTTCTTCATAAAAACTGGCAATGTGCCACATTAGGACTATCCGTACTGGACGGTATCGAATTGAAAAAATAAAGAAACATCGTTGAAATTCCTGAGATGAAATGGTATCAGTTGTCCAGTAGGCAGGAGCCTTCTTGCTTATCTGTAAAAAAACAACAAGGACAGACAACGCTGTTAGAGGTATCTTCTCAAGGATGGCCTCTGTGTGCACTGGGTTCAAAAGTGCACGGAAATGGGAACAATAGCAGGGTTTGAAAAATACCACCTGTACATGCAGGTAAGTACACTCAGGTAAAATTGGGCTATGTACTAGGTGTTTCTGATGTCTACCTGCACCTAACCTGCACCGTACTATGTTTACACTATATAGCTATAGGTGTACATGTATGTGGATTTTTATTTGCTGCATTCACTGCGCATGCTACCACCTATGAACTACATGTATCTATTTACTTACCTAATATATTAAAGGTACACAAAGGACAGGTCCGCTTTTTAATGAGCCAGGAATCTACACACTTCCGATGGAACTCATGGAAACAGGGTAGAACTCTCACAGCCTGAACAAGAAAAAAGTTCTATGAAATACACTTTAATCTATGTATACTGAACGTTGTCATCATTTGTTTGTTTGTTTCTTCTGCATAACCTGTAAAGGCGTAACACACTTAAGGCATAACACACATGCAGCGAGGGGTCTGCTAAGGATTTGAACCCAAAACCTTTAGATTCTAGGTATACAACCCTAACAATGTCCTCTAAGCAATTATACAGCATTATAATCATATACTAGTATATTGAATAAAGTGCCTTTCCCAAGAGCACACATTGGGGCCTGCTGAGGATTCGAACCCAGAATGAACAATATTAATATAATTTTAAAACTTGAAATTAAAAATATGAAACTTTAAAGACCCCGAAAAGGTATCTGCATTTTTCCTCCTTGTAACTTACACTGAAATAAATGTCAGGACCATAGTTTTGTACATGGGCTAGACGCCAATTTTATGTCCTACAGTGTAAATTATGCAATACACACCTGTCCTGGGTAAAAGTGGTCCAGACAGACAGCACAAGCATCTTTCTCCTTCTCTCCGTCATGTCTCCTTCTGTGAAAGTGTTTGTATCTTTTTACCCGCATTCTGGACAGGGCATCGGAGGCCAGTCTCTGCAGGGCTGTCTGTATAGGATAGGGCGGGAAAACACATTTCGATATGTGAATTACTCAAAGCAGCACACATGTACTTGAATGTTACATTCTATAGATACACATTGCTCAAAGTAAAAAAATTGAAATGTAGAAAATCCACTGAAGTTCAAAGTGTAACAGTGGGGGGTTTATAGGCGCTACCAACTGACCTGGCCAATGGGTCTAGACCTTTTAGCCGAATAGGTAGGAGCGTTGGGTTTGAAGCTGGTGCTCAGGTTTGGTCATGGGTTCGAACCCCGGCCTGGGACCAGGAGTGTCTTTCTGTTTCTACTCTCTAGACTCTCCTAATTCTTACATGTGGAATCAAACAATTTGGTATGGATACTGTTTTTGGTGTGCATGTTGTGAGTGTTTGCTTGTGTGTATGTGGGTAGTGGCAGGAAGGGTCAGATTTAGTTACCATAGATTGACAGGAAGGTCCACCCACACAATTACTTACTGCAAGTCCTTGGAGCTACCCACTTAGAATAAGGGCTTGTCAGACTCACAAGTTTGGTTTATACACTTCCAGTCTCTCAGCCTACAAGGTTTCTGTCCTAGGTACATGTACGTTGCACTACAGGCCATTCTGCTACATTGTAATGTCCAATGAATACACAAAATCTTTAGATACCTTCTAGAGGTTTGGAATCTCTGCATTTGTTGTTTTCTTAGAGAAGACAGGCTGAATAAAAGTTCTAAATGGGAACTATGCGGCTCCAGATGTCTTACTGAGGGACGACTGCGTGTGCAAGATGTCGGTAGCTTGAGGAATGAATCCCCTCTACTATATATTGTAATGTCCAATGAATACACAAAATCTTTAGATGCCTTCTAGAGGTTTGCAATCTCTGCATTTGTTGTTTGTTTAAAGAAGACCATACTCTTATCAATTGATATAACACAAGGAAGTTCCTTACATGTAAGATAATGGACAGATTTTGAAAATGCACTTAAACAACTTTGTTTTCTTCTTATTGCCTTTGAATGTTTGATACAATCTTGTTTTTCCTGTCATTCTGCTGGGATGCCTACATCTTTTCCCTGACCAGTCCTGAATACCAGACAAGTGTCCCTGACACTTGTTGACCTTAGTTTCTGTCAGCCCCTATTCCCTGGTCTAGTGGTTCGAACCACCTGGGTGACAGCACTGTTTACAAACTGTGGGGGTGATGGGTGACACCAATGTTTATACACTGAGGGGGTGGCAGCTATCTCTAGGGAGGATCCCTTTCTCCAGATGGGTCTCTGTATCATCAGGCAATTCATCACTCTTTATCTGTTATGCAAGGGTGGGGGCCACTTAGATAATACTTGGAGGTAATTTCCGCTCTTAAAGGCTGACTGTTTTAAAACCATAACCCTTGTCACGTCTTTATTTCAAAGAAGTTGGTTCTTTTCTATTGGGACACAGCAAGTAAAATGTATGGTTGGCATCCTCTGAGGAGTCCAAATCTAATGTGAGAGTACGAAAGAAAACAGGATTTCTAAAGTTTCAAAATATAGACCATAGATTTTGTAAAAAGAATTGAAGTTAAAGAACATGGTAACAGTCACCTTGCAAGGCTTTTAATTTTATTTCTGTATTCAAGAAGTGTTGAAAGTGACACAATTGTTATCATTTACCACATGATAACTACACTCAAGGCTATCTGCCTTACTAATGTGGCTTCTATATGTACAATATATGCATGTAGAATCAAGGCTATATATGTGTGAGCCGAATGCGCTACCGACTGCGCCACACGACCCCCCAGTCAGTGTCAAGCCTCACAACAAAAAAGATAGAAGGTTAGGAACACAGACCTCCACCTGTTCCGTGGTGTAGGAGTCGTCCTGTGTCCGCCAGCGGACCTGTAACATCAGCAGTACGCTCAGCGTCGTCACAAAGATTAGAACCATATTCCACGCCTGCGTGAAGTACGTCTGTGAAAAACATCAGAAATACACAAAAGTTGTAACACATGTACTGTACTGTGTACATGTACATGTGAAGTTACAAAATAGTAGAAGTATGATGTTTCTATGTCCTTTGTTGAAATTTTACTTTTAACCAGTGTTTTATTACCTTATCAACGTTGATAAAATACTAGACGAGTACAAGTGTACAATGTATGTATATGCCATTATAAGCCTTATGAATATTTGCCATGCATAGTCACTGTAAGGTCTTTACATCAGTTGTACTGCTCACATCTGATCATACACTCAGACATATTACAATCTTTGCACAATCATTAGGACATTCGATTCAATGCAGTAACTGCAAGTTTTGCATCATAAAATTGTTGATCAATGTACATGGTAGGTGTTCTCTGCTGTTTCCCCTGTCATAAGTCCATCCTGTCCCTACCTGCGCTGTGTCCCACCAGTCCCTGTCCTGCCAGTCCAAGGCCAGGGTACAGTTATCTCAGCTTTCTACTGTTGTCCAACCCTACAAAACAGATAGTACAGGGCTGTCCCTACCTGCCAAGGTCTCCTGCTTCCTCCCTTACAGACTGCAGCAGCTGCTGTGTCCCAACATTAGGGAAGGTCAGGGTACAGCTATCCCAGCTGTCTACTGCTGCCCAACTGACAGGCAGTACAGGGCTGTCCCTACCTGCCAAGGTCTCCTGGTTCTTCCCTTACAGACCACATCAGATGCTGTGTCCCACCAGTCCCTGTCCTGCCAGTCCTTAGGGAAGGCCATGGGTACAGCTGTCTGAGCCATCTATTGCTGTCCAACCCTAGCTATTACAGACAGTACAGGGCTGTCCCTACCTGCCAAGGTCTCCTGGTTCCTCCCTTACAGACCACATCAGGCGCTGTGTCCCACCAGTCCCTGTCCTGCCAGTCCTTAGGCTAGGGAAGGCCAGGGTACAGCTATCTCAGCCATCTATTGCTGTACACCCCTAGGTATAACAGACAGTACAGGGCTGTCCCTACCTGCCAAAGTCTCTTGGTTCCTTCCTTACAGACCACATCAGGCGCTGTGTCCCACCAGTCCCTGTCCTGCCAGTCCTTAGGGAACACCAGGGTACAGCTATCCCAGCTGTCTACTGCTGTCCAACCCTACAGGACAGGACAGGACGAAATTAGAACTGAATCGTGCACCAACCTGTGTCTTGGTCTCGGCCTGCATGCACACCACGCCCTGCCACTCCTTATATGGACCACCTCGGGACCGGCCGCAGGTTGACCATAAGACTAGCGGCCCGGGTGCCTGCAAGGAATTATGGGATATCTGTAGGTGTGGTGGATGTGGAAAGGGTACTGATATACCTGTGTGTTGCCGGAAGTCCGCGGACAGACTCCGACAACGACGGTACCACCTCTGGTGCGGCCACAAGGACCCCAAACCAAGAGACTGTCCGCGTCCTGCAAAGCATGATGGGATAGGTCTGGTCACTACTGTGTACCTGTGAGGAAAGGTGTGGTCTATCTACCTGAGTTCTACTCGCACCACCCGGACACACCACGGTCCCGCCACGCACTCGCCAGCACGACGCCCACAGGGTCAGGGTGCTCGCAGCCTGCAAGGAACCATGGGATACGCGTACATCATGTTCACCACCATGCCTTGTCTCAAACTTAATCAATTAGTCAGTTCTTAGGATTATTGACATGGATTAATGATCATACATCAGAGTGGATTTTGATTCCTGTAAATTCATACATTTTGGCAGCGAGGAGTGACTGAATTTTGTAGAAGACTACTAGTATGAAAATGTTTTCACATTGTTTTAAGTTTCCTGTTGACACAATTCAAATGTTATACACTGGAAATACATGTTTACATTCACAATGGAGAAGTCACTGTGAAAAGTATGAAATAAAAGGAACACCAACATGTTTAGATTTCCTGCTTTACATTTTTGGTTTAAATCTGGAGGGACCGATCTTGTTTTTTTTAATACCTACGCTTGAGTCTAGATCTTGTACTTGTAATCTTGTACTAACATTCACTGTGTATTATACAGCATGGTGAAGTTTATAGTCACCTTATATATGGCTACACTTCACCCTGATAGTAGACATGAGTAAACATCTCCATGATGGTCCAGGAAGACTTATTTCCGATGACAGAAAACAACCTGTTTGTCCTTAAACTTGACCTGAGTGATGTCCTATTTATAGAGTGTTACCCTATACCAGATGTGGTCTGTGTCCTCAGATGACTACTGTTATTTATCGACCTTGAAATTGAGATTCTGCTTTACAACCTTTCAAGGTCGTTGCTAAAGGTCAGGCTGGAGCCTATGATGTACCTTAGAGCACCATATGTGTGGTTGGTGTCCCTAAATGACTTTGAAATCTGGGCAAGCTTCTTCTCTATGAATGCTCTTTTTTGGGGGTAGCCTGGGTAACAAACCTTTGGTCGGCTTGGCGGTAATTTTTCTGCCCCGGCCTTTACCAAGCACAGGCGAGTTATCCCACGGACCTATCTCCAGCTGGTTTTCCTGTATCCGCTGACTTCCTGTATTACGCTGAGTCTTCTGTTACCTAACCCCCCCCCCTCGAGGTACGGTAACTGAGGCCTGGTTGGCGGCCCCAAACGCTCTCAGCGCCAATCGAAGGGATAGCGCTGAGCTCACGGTGGTCTGGTTACCAGGCTATTTTTTGGGAGGGGGGGGGGTCTACAATTTACCTGTGTGCACCACATATGGGTGGACGGTGTCCCCAAATGACCATGAGCTCAGGGCGAGATTCTTCTCTACACACCCTAGGTCAAGGTCAACACCAAAGGTCAGATGTATTTTGGGTCCGTGATGTACCTGTACCTACAACATGTGTGTGGATGGTGTCCCCAAATGACCATGAGTTCAGGGCAAGATTCTTCTCTATGCACTCTAGGTCAAGGTTAACACCAAAGGTCGGATTTATTTTCAGTCTACCTATGTACCTCAGTACCTACCACTGTGTGGACGGTGTCCCAAATGACCTTGAGCTCAGGGCAAGATTCTTCTCTATGCACCTTAGGTGAAGGTCAACACCAAAGGTCAGATTTATTTTGGGTCCATGATGTACCTGTACCTATACCACATGTGTCCCCAAATGACTTTGAGTTCAGGGCAAGATTCTTCTCTATGCACCCTACATTGTAGTTCAAGGTCAACACCAAAGGTCGGATTTATTTTTGGTCTACGTATGTACCTGTACCTACAACGTGTGTGGATGGTGTCCTCGATTGACCTTGAGCTCAGGGCTAGCTTTCTATGAACCCTAGGTCAAGGTCACCACCAACGGTCAGATTCATTTTGGGTCTACCTATGTACCTATACCTACAACATGTGTGTGGATGGTGTCCCTAAATGACCTTGAGCTCAGGGCAAGCTTCTCTGTGCACCAAGGTCAAGTTTGTTACTATGAACTGTCAGGATGGGGTCTATGGCGTAACATTACATGTGTGCACCACAGAACGGTGTCCCCAAATGACTTTGAACTTAGTGAGAACTTCTTCCCTATGACCTCTGGTCAAGTTTGTTATGAAGTGTCAGGCCTGTGTCTGGGATGTACCCGTATGTGCGTGGATGGTGCACGTGTCCCAAAATGACTTTGGGAAAGTTTTTTTCTACGAATACGTTGATGAAGGTTAGACATCCAGGTAACTAATACTATGCCAAATTGCAAAAAAGCAGTTACTCAAGGAACTGGATATGATTTTGGAAACATGACAAGATGATGCTAATCATCTTGTCTTGACTTGTCTAACTTTTGTTTCTTTTTTTTACTTCCAAAAAAATTGTCTTCACTTATTTGCGTATCAATCAATAGTTTGTGCTTATAAACCTGCATTTCCCCTCTGGTCTCTCAGTCCCTGACGAAAGCTAGTGGATGATAGCTGAAACGTCTGACTGTTTCCATATTCTTGAGTAACTGCTTTTTGGCGTATCTTTTCTATGAACTCTATAGATCTGGTCAAGTTTGTTATGAAGTGTCAGGCCTGGGTCTACAATGCACCTGTCTGTACCACATGTGTGTTGATGGTGTCCCCAAATGAACTTGACCTCTGGGCAAGTTTCTGTCAAGTTGGTGTCAGGTTTTGGAGATGTACCTCGAGTGCCCAGTGTGTGTGTGTGTGTGTGTGTGTCTGGTGTCCCCAAATGACTCTAGCTGTTCTCTATAGGATGCTGCATAAACAGGTGTCCGATGGCACTGTGCTCATACGTGAGGCAATCTTAGCTACTAAGGTCAACTGTGACTACCCAGATTGGTTACACTTCATCTGGGAATGCATCAGGTTGAGCTGGTTTACCTTACATTGCTTAAAGCCCCTGTCTCACATTCGATTCAGGACCTACATCACTAAATCATTACCCGGTGAATCACTAATGAATACTATGTGTGTGTATTTTATCAACAGTTTTTAAATGTTGTAACTGAACAATTGTAGTAATACGAGCAGTACTACATTTCTTTGTAATCATTTCAAGTTTTGTCAACTGAACGATTCAAAATTATGTGCAATATTATACATGTATGTCGGTGCAAAACTAAATTAACTGCAATTCAGTGACTGCGAAAGTTGTCCACTGCGAACGCTCAATAAACACATCTTGAATCTTGACCTTCCTATAAATTTGGCTTTGTTGTTTTGGGAGTAGCTGCTAAAATACATCCAATTCTATCTGCAGTTTACTTCATTGCACCTACTGTACATGTAATGATGTATATAGCTTTTCTGACTTTTCGAAATGTGTACAGTTGACCGGTTCAGTTGAAGGTCAGGAGGTCAAGGTCTCATTAATCTATCAAGATTAAAATGATACCAGAGTTGTGGAAGGATTGATATACTGGTAACAGGTGACTATCACCTGATGTCAAGATGTCAACCCTGCGACCAGACTGTAAGGTTTGAACCACTCACACTAGGAATTCGAAGAATTCCTGCTCTTTTTGGTAAATGTGGTGGGATCTTAAACGTGCTCTCCTTAAACACGGGACCTCTGGCTTTATGTCCCATCCGAGAAGATGCCCCTAGCTGAAGCTTAAGGTACTCATTCACACCTGAGTCAAGTGAGAAAATAGTACTGTGCAAAGTGCCTTTCCCAAGGCAGATACAACATTGAGGCCTGCCAGGGATTCGAACCCAGAACCTTCAGATTCAGAGTCAACAACCCTAACCAGAAGACCACCTTGTCACCTCAATAACACCATTACATGTTTGGCATATGCTGCAAGGTGAAAAGGTTTAATGTTTTGTTTGGGCACATTTGGCAGTTTTGTTGGCTACGATTTCTAGAAATTCCAAGGCAGAATGAAAAACAAATGGATTAAAACATGGCCGCATAGTCTGGGACAATGAACTGTGACAACCTCTGTTAAAATGTAGAAATGCAAAATAAAAACATCAAATGCAATCTGCTGGCAGCTAGTCTCTCATTGGTTGAACCGCTAATTGCCATGCTACCATTGGTTGAACTGCTAATTGTGATGGCCAGTCAGGATGGGTCTACTGGCATGATGATGCTCAGTGAAAGGTTATGTCCCTCATTGGTTGAACTGGTATTTGCCACACTACCATTGGTTGAACTGCTAATTATGATGGACAGTCAAGATGAGTCTACTGGCATGATAATGCTCATTGTAAGGTTATGTCAATCAACATGTCAATCAACTCACCATGGCTTCATGGAAGGCTTTCTCATGGACCACCTTTGCTCTGACTTTGCTTCCTCCACTGGAAAACACAACATTGATCAAAACAGAAGATTATAAAGAAGTCATAGTTTAAACTTAAACCTGACAACAGATGATGGTATTTCTATAATCTCCATGCTAATGTAGCTGCTTGGCACCATATTTGTATTGGTTACAGTGACAGGCAACAGTCATTATTATACACTCAGCACAAAAAGTTTGGACTAAAATTTAATCTTTTCTGATGATAACTTCCTTACTTATATAGTATTATACATGTATATCATTGGAAAGATTTCTTACCCTCTACAATGCTACATATTTCATGATCCTACATTCAGACATTGAACACCAAAGCTGAAAATGTGAGTTCGTCATTAAAAAAGAACCAAACTTTTTTGGGTGACCCAAATCAGTCCTGACAATCTTACCCTGGTACAATGATTCATAACACAACAAAGAGGGTATCATGATTGTAAAGGGAAACAATAACTGTAATTCCTGATTTTTTCCCTGTACTGTTATGTAACGTTTTAATACATGTTCACTGTTTTCACTGTCACTTCTGTACGTGATCTTATCATTACAGTGACTGTCTAACAAATAATTCCTGGACTTTCTTTTTCCTGCACCTGTTGCCACCGTGAATATATAGTTCCGTGAACATTGTGTCCATTTTTCTCTGACCGTGAACTTTTGCTACTGAGAACATAAAGTGAATTTAGTATGTACAGTACAACCATCGAACATATTACATGTAGATTGAGTAACAACAGAGAAAAAAGTAGTTCAAATCTAAGTTTCGTGTCTTGACTTGCTAAGTGTATATAGATTTTTGTAATCAACTGAGAATCTAAAAGTAGAATCTTCTTCATGTTTACAAAGTCCAGCTGTATCCAACCATTCATCAACCTGGAGACCAACCCTGCGCCCAAAATAACCTCCCCTCTGACAGATCCCATAACCAGCACCAGATGGCTCACATCTGCAGGGCTATTTTTAGCAGACCAGAATCAGATGATAAATTTCGGGGCCTTGGCTTGGGTAACTGGATCTCAGACCTGATTTACATGAGAGGGCAAAAAACAGCTTTTATTTACAAAAAACAGTTTTTATTCACTAAAAACACAGAAAATTGTGTAATACAATATGCACGTGAGCATACAAAAATTGCTCACGTCAAATTTTTCCTGCTTTGACGAAAATCAAGAACATACATCTTCTTGTTTGCTAGTGTGTGTACACTGTGAGTTTTCATACCATCATTTTTTGCTAGTGTGTAAATTGGGTCTTAGGCCACACCAATTTAATTTCTTGGTTAACGGATTTTTCTAGAAAAATAATGGAGCGGGCGGGCGAAGAATAAATAAAAATGAAAACAGTACGATAGGAGCCATGAAGTCAACACACCAGGCTGGTTCAAAATTTAAACAATGAATTTTTAAAGGGGAGGTCCAATACTTTCAGTTTTGGGGCCTTTCTACCCAAAATCCTATTTGTAAATGGTGATTTATTGGTTTCTGCCAACCCCGCACATATTTGCCGTGATATCTGACTCGCTCGATGTTTCGCGGCTAGCGCCAGATTGTCCGCTAGGCGGCGCTGCGACTGGATCTGTGACGTAAAAGGTTTCATTGGAACAGAGTTAGTACACAAGAAGAGCTTCCACTGGCGGGTGTGTTCAGACCATTTCGAGGCTGGATGCTTCACGCGAACGTCAGTCTCAATTCCTTTCTGTTGGGCGTATGGGCGGTCGATATGAATAAATCCGTCAAAGGGTCGAGTAAGTTGCAATGTAACAAACTGCGGTATTCGCGGTACCGGACCTGTTAGATACAGGCTCCTGCACGCCCTGCCGGATCAGATCCCACCGAAAAATCAGCAACGTTCGGAGGTTTGCCGGGTGCAGAATCACATCGAAGTCAGGGTGGTTTCTGATGCATGGGTGGTCTGTACCGACGTTCTTTTCAGTGTCTGTCAGCTCTGGCAGGTCGTGACAACAAACACTCTCCCGTACAGAGGGCATTTCCAGGCAGTTTCTATTGTCTTCGTTTCCACACCGGCACCAATCCCGGTTCTCCAACCCTCTGTCTCCACATCACCTCCATCCCAAACGTTCTCATCGCCTGGATCGGGGTCAGAGTCACCACTACTGTCCGTCTGTGGCTAAAAACGGAAGGGTTGCACGCCCGCCATTGTTGTTTACGCTAGTAGCAGAATGAAACCTTTTACGTCACAGATCCAGTCGCAGCGCCGCCTAGCGGACAATCTGGCGCTAGGACAATCTGGCGCTAGCCGCGAAACATCGAGCGGGTCAGATATCACGGCAAATATGTGCGGGGTTGGCAGAAACCAGTAAATCACCATTTACAAATAGGATTTTGGGTAGAAAGGCCCCAAAACTGAAAGTATTGGACCTCCCCTTTAACTTTTAATGATACCATTGCATTGAAAGATGGAATAACTCTTACAACTAGGAAGAAAAGGACTGTTTCCAACTATTCCAGCCAGAATATGAGCATTTTGCAGTTGATTCTGAATTTTTATTTATATTTGCAAATCTGAAAAAAATGAAGCGGGCGAATCCGTTAACCAGAAATTAAATTGGTGTGGCCTTAGGTTAAGCCACACTGAATTTAAAGTATATGCATGATGCCAGTCTCAAAGAAAACAAACTTTGCAACGGTTACCATACTGTTTCTTAAGGTACTTGAAGGATGACAGAGGACTCTGAGGTCGAAAGGAAAAGAAAAAAAAATGCCACAAGAATATATTAAGCAGGTCTCAAATTACCACTTGCTTGCACCACAAAGTCTTTCAAAAGTTGAAAAAGATGAGAGAGAAAGAGCAAAAATGTTTTGAATTTTTTTATGTATACCATAGTCTGTGTATTCAGTCGTTTCTTCAACCTTCTTGGCCACTTAAATATGAAGGTAACTTTTTCCCCCTACTTTTTTGTTTAAGCAAGTTCGCATCAGTTTTGGGGTGCCCAGAGGACGTCACCCATAACACAAAATCAGTATAGTTGGATTTTGGAAACCTGGAAAGTGTCAGTCAATGACTTTTAACCTTCTCCCTGCTGATGTTGCCTTTTGGCATCCAGTTTATATTGCTTACAGAGTTAGGCAGCAGGGAGATGGTTAAAGATCACTGTGTGACAAGCCAACAAACTGTATGTAACTGTCATAATGGTATATGAGGGTCTGCATGGGGGGGTCCTGGCAACGGTTAACGGTAAATTCAGCAGGGCCGATAACGCTTAACGGTAAATTCAGGACGGTCGACAACGCTTAACGGTAAATTGCATGACAGGCTTTTTTTTTTCGAGCTGCACTGGATTTGGTATCTCGCTTTGTGAGAAAAGGTGATCACTCACAAAATTACGTACACCTTACATGTAATGAAGCACGCATTTAAAGGTATGTGTTCCCTGTGTTTCCCACCTGCCCTGGTCCCCGAGTGCGTCCACAAATAAAGGGGAGTCCGAGTCAACGTCGGCCAGGGCTCTACCCAGCTTGACTTTTTTCGGATTTAAGACTTTGAAGCCTTCAAAAACGCAATTTCCCGCATTTTGAGAGGCAAATCATGGTTCAGAGTGTTTGTCGGTCCTTCTGATGTTTTCATATTTTTACTCAAGAGTTTTGTTAATTTTGTCTGTCAAGGTTGACGGATTCGTTAACTCTCCGCAAACTTCCGATAATTGACGGAAAACTGGTGCTGGCTAAAGCCGAAGGGACCGAGCGCAGAAGCGCGAGTCGAGTGCCGAAGGCGTGAGCAATGTAGGAGGGTCCGGGGGCATTCTCCCCCGGGAAATTTTGTATTTTTAAACCTTCAATGACGCATTTTCCTGCACTTTGAAAGGCAAAATTAGGCGTAACGAAGAATTATTCATTAACGCTTAACGCTGAATTTAGGATGACAAATAACGTTTTACGTTGAATTAAAACGACCAATAACGCTTCACGATGAATATACCGATAACGCTTAACGTTGAATTAGAGCGGGTCGGCAACGATTAACGGTAAATTGAAATAGCCCATAACGGTTAACGAAAAAGGGCATGCAGGCCCTCGTATATCAGTGACTTCAGATGTATGTATAGGTTATCACTATGCATACACATATACAAGATGATACAACTTCATATTATGCCAAAACATGAACATGTATTAAGTCAAAAAGGTTAGGTTAAATTGTCAAACTTGGAAGTGGGAGTTTTAGATTTTCATCAAATACAAGAACCAATAACTTTCCCTTACTTTTGTCCATGGTATCAAATGGCAGCAATTTTAGTGAGTTATTTTTGGGGAATTTCTTCTGTATTTTTTTACACTTAAATTATGCAGTTTTTGTACTTGTCAGCTTTTTACCAATGTGTAAATTGTGTCTGTCTGTATCTGTATCGGTATAGCCGGTATAACCGACCTTCGGCGTAACACACCATCTTCGCAGGCACGTGGCGCGGCGGCAGCTAGCTATATCACACCGAACGACTTGTTACACTCGATTTTTGCACATTTGATTGCAGGAGTTGTTTAAAGCTTTCTAAATGATGCCCCAACTGTGCTTGGTGGCAACGAGTTCCAGTCTACGATAGTTCTGGGGAAATACAAGTTTTTGGATACCTCAATTCTTGGTTGATAACTCTGATATTTGAAGGCATGACTGTTTCTTGTTTTTTTCTGGGCTGGTATCAGATACTTAGTGGTTGGTACGTCCACCACTTTATTAGTCATTTTGTACATCATGCACAGTCTGGACATTTTACATCTGTCTTCAAGTGACCCCCACTGTAGGTTTCTTTTCATTTCTGTTACACTAGCACCCCTTTGATAGTTGTTCGTGCAGAATCTTGCAGCTTGGTTCTGTACCCTTTCCAGTTTATCTTTGTCTTTCTTTGTACATGGATCCCATACTGTCACAACATATTCTAGTGTCTAGAAGCCATTTCAGGACAGAGACTTAACGTTACCCTTACCCAATGAGTTGGCAGGAGCAAATGTAGATCCTGGATTCTAGTAACCCCTGAATGATTTAACATCTCTGCAGGGGACTGACTTAACCTTGGCAGTGATATTAGCTGATTCTTTACTTTCTAAATACCAATGGCTGGGACTAGTTATACTGCTATATCTTCCAATTTTCCCAGTGCTTAATTTTTGCATTTTTTTTTTCAAGTTTCTTTCCACTGCAAATATGTGTTTCTTGTATTACCACTGTACTACAAAACTATTTCCACAACAAAAAATTCCTATCCTCTTCTATGTACTGCAAACTTATAAGTAGTATTATAAATAAATTTACAGTAGTTGCCAACAGCAATATGCTGGGGTTTGGCAGTTTTTATTATATGATTGTTGTTTTGCTTCTTAACTTCTTGAAAAAAAAAAAGCTTTCAGGAATAAGAAACAAATAAAATCATTTAAAGTACTAAAACATGCACCACAAAACTTTTTGACTAAAATGTAGTTACTGAAAACAAGTTATTCCTTCCACAAAGATAAGAAGTTAGCAGTTTAAAAGATCTTTGGCAAAATTAACTGTGTGAAATAAAGTGGGCCTTATTTATAACTTTCCCTATAATTCTCCATGCAGTGCAGAATTCCTGGCTTCTTGCCTGTATCTGCAGCTGCTGGTTAGATTGAGCTAACAAACCTCAAGACCTGGAGAGTCAGAGAGTCACCCTGTCCACATCTGTTTCCAATAGAGAGGTATCAGTGCCAGTTTTTAACAAGCCACTGCACTTAAAAATAGACTTGACCTGTCTCACTGGAGGATTAATCTGTAGGGTCCCACATGTAGCACTTCTGGGACCTTCTGCCTAACTAGCAGAACATTTCCTGTAAGGCCTGTGAAAATTAAAGTTGTGTTTCCGATCACAGTCCTGAGAACACTTCTGGGACCTTCTGCCTAACTAGCAGAATATTTCCTGTAAGGCCTGGGAAAATTAATGTTGTGTTTCTGATCATCAAAGTCCTGAAAAAAATCCACTGATGTAGCACTTCTGGGACCTTCTGCCTAACTAGCGGAACATTTAAGGCTTGGGAAAATTAATGTTGTTTTTCTGATCACAGTGCTGAAGAAATTCACTGATGTAACGTTACCACTTCTGGGACCTTCTGCCTGACTAGCGGAACATTTCCTGTACGGCCTGGGAAATTTTAACATTGTGTTTCTCATCACGGTGTTGAAAAAATCCACTGGTGTACCACTTTGTTTCCTTCTGCCTAACTAGCTGAAGCTGCGGAACATTTCCTGTAAAAGTGTAAGGACTTGGGAAAATCAATGTTGTGTTGAACTGATCACAGTACTGAAAAAAATCACTGATACATGTACAACTTCTGGGACCTTCTGCCTAACTAGTGGAACATTTCCTGTAAGCCCTAGGAAAATTAACCTTTGTTTCTGAACACAGTTGTGAGAAAATTAAGGTCGGTAGTTAAGCATTGTTTTTTTCTTCAAAGATTTCGGCTAAAGTGACCCAACGAAATATGCGTATAGGTCTGCTGGTATTTAACGGATTTTGTTGGGTAACCAGAAACACATTTAACATTTTTCCTGGGCATAACAGGACCCTAACACAGCTGTAAACTACATGTAGACTACGGAAAGGAATTCAGAAAATTTTGAGTAGAAATAATTGTCATTGGTTACTTTTCAGCAAATATGGAATTTCATACTTTTACCACAAACAACAAAATCTGTGTTTCATTAAAATGAAAATGGAAACAACGGTATATGTCACAAATTTTGAATCAGGTCCCAAGTATTTGATGTTTGCTGACATTACATAAAACAAGATAGACTGCGAGTGAAAAACAGGTTTAGACACAGTAAACACAGGGACTAACCTTCCCTAACCTTTAACATCCTCAAACACATTCCAGTATTAACTCATTTTACCTAACTAGTTACAAAAATACCTTCCAAAGCAGCTTCTTACCGGTACTATACTACCCACACACTGTGCATGCATGTAGTCAAACTCGAACTGTAAACTGGCATATTCAGAATCTAGCAGTGTGCATGTCTACCTCTGTTGCACATGTACCTACCCTGTAAGAGCAGTCAGTACTTTGGTGATGTTTTCTGCACCTTTAAGTATGACTACAGGATGGGTGAACAACTGGGAAATGTCCAGCTGAAAAAATTGGAGAAATCAGACTTCCAGGAATTATATTAGGTTTTCCTGAATTTATTGAACAACCTGAGGAGATTGTAATTAAGTTTAATTGGGGTGAATTCTGTGATATTCAATTTTAAGTTCACTCCATACATGTCTGAGTCTGACCTTTTTGACAACCGGTCATATTGTTACCTGTCTATTGATCCATTCCCACACAAATGCTGTCAACAGCTCTAGATCTGTCCAGACACAAAACACACAAACCCACACATCACAGGCATTCAGAACAATACTCCCATACCCTGAAAGTAACAATGACTATGTACCTTTTCTTGATACATACATTATACTATATGCTAAGCTTTTAACCATGATATTCCTGACCTCTTTCACTAGTTGCGGGTTGAAAGCCAGGATAAGGATTGCGGAGGCACCCAGCAACATGGCTTTCTTCACCTGTAAACAAAACAAAACAACAAGTTCAACTTCAACTTCTCCTCGCTTTTTAGTTATAGTAGAGATAAAGGAACGCATGTTTTTCGATGGAAGGCTTGTCAAGTCGCATTAGGAGTATGAACTTTTCTACAGTAGTCAAGTGTATGAAGTAAGGAATAAAGAAAGGCTAATAATAGTATACACAGTGTCTTCAATACCCTGTCGACTAATGTAGCCCCTCCCCCACACTGATCAGTCAGGTTCTCCTCCACATGGAGAGTTCCTATCCAGCCACGCCCCCAGGTCATCATCAGGTCATCCTCTTCTCCATCATCACAGGGAGGAACCTGAGGGGGGGAAACATCAAGTTTCTTTGGAATATTAAGAGTTTTGTGAATTCCTTGTTAGGCCATGTTGATTTGTTTATATGGATGACATCCTAGATGGGAACCCCAAAACTGATGTGCGTGTGCGAATAAAAAACAAGACTAGTTTAGAAAAAAAAATGTTGCTTTCATCATGAAATCTAAGTGGTGTGAAGGTTAAACAAATGACACAGGGTATGGTATGGCAAATAATCTACTAGTAGTAGTACTACTCATCTATAATCTACTACAAATTCATTTCTTTACATATTTTCGTCTTTTTTGTTTCATTTTGTCATTCTACAACATTGGTATCGTTTTCCAATTTCCGTTTTGCAACTTACAGTAAATATTTGCTCATTTTGCAACTGTTTGGTACGTATACGATTTACAGTATGGTTGAATTTTTTTTTTCTTGGAAACGGCCAAAAATTCATGCACGCGCGGATGTCATCCAAATAATCAAATTACCATGGCCTTACTGTGAATTTCTGTTTATATTCTATGCATTTGCCCACTGGCACACACACATCGGGCCCCGATATAGACAGAGTTGCAGGAATATAGATCAGAGCATTCCTAGACTTCCAAACATATTTCCAAACGCTGTGATTGACCTAGATTTAGTGACTACTCGAACTCTGAAACTGCATTTGCTGCAAATCACAGCAAATCGTAATGAACAGCAAAACACAATAGCTTATCTTATGATACACAGTTCACCACATTTTCAAGTGTAGTTGAGCGTTGTATTTGACAGTACCAGGTGTAAGTCTCCCTCCGCGTTTTTGACAGCTCCGATGCCGGCGAATTCCCCCTTGACCTGGACTGGATCTGCGGTGTCCCCATCTTTTCCCGCCGAATTGCCGCTCGAAGAGACCTCGACATACGCCGCCCTGCTGCCCAGAGCTGCATTCGGTAGTGTCAAAGCGATCACCACAAAAATCACCGGCCTGACTGTCTTCGATCTTGGAAATCTGAAGAAAATGATGCAGAACTGGATCAAAATCCAGCCGAGGTCGGCCATGATTGTTGTGATGATGTAAGCACAGGGATTTTACCCAGCGTGCACCAAAAGTCTGCAGTGCAACACTGACATCTAGCGAGAGTGTTTCATACTGCAGCAAGACGTGGACTCCGATCTCTGCTCTTCCAGATCTATGTGGCAAAGTCCAAACAATTTGCTGGCTTTGAGTATATTCTAAAAGAAGTACATTTCATTTTTAGTAATCTAGACCAAGCCAGAAGCCGTGTCCTAATCGACACAGGATGTTCGTCAGTTACATGCGTATCATTTTCTGAGTTCAAAGTCAAGGTCGCTTCGCTATTTCAACAGTACCGTGATGTATGTAACTGATCGATATGAATTTTCATAGTTGTCCACATCACTAGAAAGGGCAATTCTGGTGTGTGTACGTGAAAGCGGAAATACATTTTGATATGATATGGCTAATAGATTTAGAAAATTCTATATAACAGTTATAGATCTATAGACTACTAAAATACGTATACTTACGTTCAGGAAAAAGAGAAATATGGAGAAATTTAGACTCGAGGAGGCCAAGAAAAGAAAATAAAAGGCGAAAACGCAGACACACAGTCAATTGCTATTGACTAAATATCACATCATAACCCTATATGTAGATTTTGCTCAGGCTTTTACATTGGAGATGGGCATGGGCATCATTTTCCCTGACATGTTTTTGTCAGGGCTTTTCTGGTACACTTTGCTTAATTATACTTTACACCATTAGCAATTAGCACATTTTCCCTCAGTAAAGTGCTACGCATTCTGCCAACCCACCACTATAAAAGAAAAGCTTACTATATGATTTTATTTGGTGCTGCAGTAACTTTTTTCATTCCCCATAGATTTATGTACTAAGTGCTTCTAAAAGTTTACCTGTGTTTTGAAAAAAAATGTCTGCCCTCGCTCGACAATTGAAGTTCAAGAGGTTGACTCGTGACTATACGATTTTATTTGCTGCGGAAGGGCCTTTTTTGACTGGCACTCCCCTATAGATTTACGTACGTATTACTAAGTGCTTCTAAAAGCTTACTTGTGTTTTGAAAAAAAATGTTTGCCCTTATTCGCTTTCTCAACAATTGAAGTTCAAGGCAACAGAGTTTGAGTCGCGTATTTGTATTCAGTTCAAGTTCCTCACTTCAAGTTCAAGGCAGCAGACAACGATGACTTTCACATGCCTTTCACAAAAAGGGCGGACAGCTTTCCATGCGGGCGGACAAAATAATTCTAGGCTGAGGCCGGAGGAAATCGGTCCGTTATTCTGAAAATCATAGCAGAGTGGTGTAGGCTATGGCATTTTCAATCCCTTAGTCTTTTAACATTGTAACTCAAATTTAGACTAGCCTTCCCCTAGGCCACGTTGATTTGATTATATGGATGACATCCACACGCGCATGAATTTTTGTCTTGAACTTCTAGCTCTAGACATTGTTTAAAGCTATCTATTGACAATGCCCCTACTGTACTTGGTGACAGTGAGTTCCACTCTGCGATAGTTCTAGGATTCTTCTAGGAAAGAATGAATTCTTGAACACCTCAATCCTTGGTTGATAACTCTGGTACCTGAATGCATGGCTATTTCTTGTTCTCTTCTGGGCTGGTATTAGGTACTTAGTAGTTGGAACATCCACCAGCTTATTAGTCATTTTGTACATCATGCATAGTCTGGACATCTTTCTTCTGTCTTCCAGTGAGGCCCACTGTAGGTTTCCTTTCATTTCCGTGACACTAGCACCTCTTTCATAGTTATTCATACAGAATCTTGCAGCTTGATTCTGTACCCTTTGTATGTCATATGTTGCAAAAAAAAGTGTCGGAAAACGATATTGATGCCATAGAATGCCGAATTCAGGAAAAGAAGGAAATGTCAAGAAATGCTCAGGAGGACTGGGGCCCGTAAAAACACTCCTAAGCTGGCCTGTAGAGCCAGGCTACCAGAGCGGTATTGCAGTGATGGCTTCAGTCAGTAAACGAACAGTAATATGTCTCTGTTTATGCATATAAATTTTTAAATTTTTCTTCCGGGAATATCATTAACAGTCATCATAAACGCTCACTGCGGCCATTCGTGGGCAGCATCTTATGCTTACCATTAAGGAAAATGGATGCTGGCACTGCAATAAAATAAACATTCCGGATCCAATGCACTTAAAACGTCACATAATCAAGCTTGAGTGTGTGTCGTGAGAATGTATAAGACGTTTTTGTAAGCGCTTTAAGTGCCATGCATGAGCTGGACTTCATCCCAACAATTAGGGTAATCGCATGTGAATATTACATGTAGTTCGAAGTACCATGAATATCTTACGGAATGCATCTGATCAACATGGGGCGAATGCTTATGTGTGTGCGTGTTTGCATGGATCCTAGCTGTAACATGTCGTATATTTCATAATGAAAGCAACCTTTATTTTTGCAAAAGTTTTTTTTTTATTCGCACGCTCGCATCAGCTTTAGGGTTTCCAGAGGATGCCATCCATATAATCAAATCAACATGGCCTTATCATGATTGGGGGAGTTCGGCAGTGTTCAAGAGGCCACATTCGGCTCTGAGTGACAGGGGCTTTACTGACAGTAGTAAGTAGGTCACAGACTCCCCAGCTACACAACAAGTGCCACCTACACCACAAGTGCCACCTACACCACTAGTGCCACCTACACCACTAGTGCCACCTACACCACTAGTGCCACCTACACCACTAGTGCCACCTGTAGACACCACTAGTGCCACCTACACCACTAGTGCCACCTACACCACTAGTGCCACCTACACCACTAGTGCCACCTACACCACAAGTGCCACCTTCACCACTAGTGCCACCTACACCACTAGTGCCACCTAAATTAGCTCTGAAAACAAGTGAAGACGGAGGCGAGTTTGGCCAAGAGCGGGGAATAGAGGGGAGAGCGAGGCCACGTGTGCGTCCTCGCCTAGCTCTGTCCAAGTGTCAGGGGTGACGGCGGGAGCACATGTGTCCGGAAGTGAGAAGGGACTGACCGGAAGGGGGAGGGACACGTGCAGCGGGCAGATTGTTTGGCAAATTAACAAAAATGACATTGGGGTGACATTTTTCCTCCACCACTAGTGCCACTAGTTCGGCAGTGTTCAAGAGACCACATTCGGCTCTGAGTGACAGGGGCTTTACTGACTGTAATAAGTAGGTCATAGACTCCCCAGCTACACCACCAGTGCCACCGAACGATGCCGTATATACCGTGCATGATGAATGCGTTCTTCCCTCTGCCGGAACAACTGTAATACAACATCAATGCAGTCTGACCAACGGGCATAACACTAAGCCTATTATACATAGTCCAAAGGTTGGAAGAAAGAACCCACTTACAGAAATCGATGGTATGCGTTGATGGATGTAACGACGTCGATCACTTCTTTGCCAAAGAGCCGCGCGCGGTTTTTACTATCTATAACGTATTACATTATTCTCTCTGACAGTGTGATTGTAGTCAGCATGTTTGATATGTCAGCATGGAGGCACGTGGCGCTGGTTCAAAAGTTGATGGCATTGTGTGCTCTATGCCGTGTGGGACGGTAATATTGGCATAGGATTTATGGAAAGCACGAGTTTTAATACAGCAAAAGCAGTTCAGAGAGAATTTTATATACCTGGCAACAACGAACGGGAAAATTTATCTGTATCTGTATCTGTATAGCCGGTATAACCTCCCTTCGGCGTACCACACCAGCTTCGCAGGTACGCGGCGTGGCGGCAGCTTGCTACTTTACACCGATCGACTTGTTACACCTAACCCTAAACATCTAACTCTAGACATTGTTTAAAGTCATCTAATGACAATACCCCCAGAGTGAGTGCCACTCTGCGTGCGATAGTTCTAGGAAAGAATGAATTCAAACCTTGGTTGATAACTCTGGTACTTGAAGGCATGACTATTTCTTATTCTTTTTTGAGCTGGTATTAGGCACTTAGTAGTTGGGACGTCCACCAGTTTATTAGTCATTTTGTACATCATGAATAGTCTGGACATTTTTCTTCTGTCTTCACTGTGACACCCACATTGATGCCGTCATCAGAACGCATCCAAACGGAAAGCCGGATCGATCCCCAACTGATCATACAATCATCTGCACAATTAGAAGTAATCATTTCCTTTTGATTTAATTACCTCCCATGGGTGTGACTCATTAAGCAAAGCCAAATGGCGAACGCCTCACTTGTATAATGTGTAACGTTATCACCAGAGACAGAGACTTATAATCCCTTAACACAAGCTTGTCACCGTCGCCATAATTTTGACGAGCTAGCTCCCTGTCCCTCAGAAACCAATAAAACAGCCGGGCAATTGATTATAAGTCTTTGCGCGTCATAGACGCATTCCAGAGTGTTTTCGAGCACTTCTTTTGTGTCAATTTTTTAATGGAATGCCTCATCTTGTTTTTAATGAGCCCCCAAGAGTGTTACGTACCTGTTTTCACTAATGAAGTTGAAGGCAAAATGGGGCAGAGTTGTTGCGCAACGCTATCTAAAGTGACTACGTCTGTCTTTGCTTATTACTCGGGTCTAGTGTAGAGAATAGAAGAAGTTTTCAGAGTCGTTAAGACGTTTGTCAGTCTCGACAACTTTCTAAAGGTGAGAGAGTTCGAAAACGTCACTCAGCTGGGATCTTGTGGAATCAGTATGAAGCAAGTTTAAACTGCAATTTCCAACACAACAAATTGGACTCACCCAAATTTTCGACTGTACAACTCCAGTCTTTGTCAAGGAATGAGCAATCCACCGCTTCCGTGACGTCACGCAGATAACACACGTGTCTGCGTGAGCAGTGGGTCATAGGTTGCAGAAAGTCTGTGGCGCCCCCCGTCTCTGTTGAAGGATGGTTGTAATGCCCTAATGTAGATGGCCTCTTTAATCCCAAAGAAGTCCGGTTCTGTGTCCAAGATTCTTACTTTGTCCAGTAAGACTGAATTGTGGAATCGTGTTGTCATTGTGAGGATGGTAGGTTCACGACACAAATTCCTTTCTTTAGT